TGTTTTTCTTGCCAAACATAATAGCTAAGTGTAAAAAATCTGATAACTAAAACAGTGCATGTGTTGCTTGAGAAAGAGGTAGTGTGTGCATCGGTAATTGGAGCATGGGAGATGTAAACGACTTCCCCAAGCAGGAAGAAGCTCACAAGGAACAGGTATACAATAAAAAACAATGAAAAAAAGTATGTGTATGTGTGTTTGAGGCCTATATTATGAGAGTGTTTTTTCTTGTTACTAGGGTCACAAGAAGTTCAAACTGTTTTTGTCTAAATGCCACGACTATTTTCTCGAGGGAGCCGTCGAACTCACTGAACAGAGAAAGGGTATTCCTGCCAGTTGCCACATGAATCCGTCTTAACAGTCGTGTTCCCGGCTGAACAGGAAGTCCACAAAACTGGATTTGTATAATAATAATATGAAGGGAAGGTGTTGCTGCTGCTGGTGGTCTGTGAGGAGGCACAGGGGAGGCTCGGCTCATAGCCCTGCGAAAACAATGAGATTTCCTCAAATTAAGCCGCTGAGTAGCAAGAGCTTTACTGACAGCAATTTACTGTTATTTTGTTAATGTTTACCGTGGGACAGTCGGTGTCACAGGGTTGGACTCCACCCGTCCCCTCTGCCACAGGCGTGTAAATCAATGTCGTTAAAGTGCCATGATTGGTCAGAAAACACTGTTCAGGCACAGTCCAGTTACCGTTCCTCTAATGTCTAAGTTGGATCAGATTCATGTGCTTTAACAGTAAATTAGGAATGAAAACAAAAATGTTGAAGAAAAGTTTGATGTTTTTTTTCTAGTTAAGCCTGAAGAAACATGATAGACGTGATATCACTCGGGGGGCTTTGAGGCAGCATTTCCTGCCATTGAGGCAGTGGGTCACCCCTGTCCCCCCTCGGTTCCTCAGCAGAAGACGTGATTTAAACAGCTGATATGTGTTTTATGCTCTGAACCACAATACACCCATGGGTCACAGAGGGCCGAAGAGGGGAAGCAAGACATACCAGGATTTCACAATCAGGGAAGGGAGGCAGGTTACACTAAGAGCCAGAGTGTTAAAAATATGATTCTGAACTTTCTCTCTATGGACATCACTTTACTCCCACATGTTGGGTGTTGTAATATTTACACAAGGTTAAGTTTATGAACTTGTCCAGAGTGGAGAGCATCCGGGGGATTCAGAGCTGATTTTACAGAGTGCAGGGGTCCTGGAACTGCAACACATCCAACCCTTTACCCGAGGACTGTTTCCACACAAACACACACTTTTATTTTTTTCATTTATGGTGTCAATCAAATATATGTTTCACTAATTAAGCTTAATAAAATTTATTATTGAATTTGGATCAATGTGTAATATTTTTTATGCTTAAACAACTTTGTTCTGACTTTAATGCAAATAAAGTTCACTGAACTGAAAATTGAAGGAGAGAAAGGGAGAGAAAGAGAGCGAGAGAGAGGAAGAGATAAGAGGAAAAAAGGGAAGAAACAAGAGAGAAACATAAAAACAAGAAATAAAAATAAAGATATGCAAAAAAAGAGACAAACAGTAAAAGAAGATAAGAAAGAAAAATTTGGGGGTAAGAAAGAGAGATGGAAAGAAAGAGGGAATGAAAAATGACAGAAAAATAAAGAAGATAAAAAGAAAAGAAAGAGAAAAAATGAAAAAAAAAACAAGAGAAATAATAGAGAGAAAAAAAAGGTTGGAAAAGGGGAGTAAAAAGGAGAGAGAAACTATAAAGCAATAGAAATAAAAAGGAAAGAAAGAAAGAAAGAAAGGAAAAGAGAGAGTAAAAAAGTCAGACAGAAAGAAAGAAAGGAAGACAAAAAGAAAAAGAATAAATGAAGAAAGACAATAAAAAGCATTTAAGAAAGAAAGACAGAGAGAAAGAAAGAAAGAAAGAAAGAAAGAAAGAAAGAAAGATGAACACCCTGAGTGTCGTGCGTTGGTGGGTGCGTGTGTTTGTTCTGGGGGTCGATGGAAAATTAACCTCAGTTCAGCTTTCTTCTGTCCTCACTCAGGAAATGGAAACAACTCCCTTTTCCCTTCTCTTCTTTCTGCACGCTGATATCTGACTTTGAGGTCCAAAAGTCAACCATCAAAGCTGAAAAATGACGCCAAGAAAGAGTTTCCGAAAAGCTGTTGTCCCTTTTACGGCCACTTGGGGACAGCTCCAAAAAGTGAGTCAATCCTTTATCATTGCCAAACACTGACGTGTCAGATCTGACTGAAAGATTAATCACAATGACAGCTGTGTCGGAAGTTTCTTAAGTTTTTAATCACAAAATTTTCTTTTTCTCTGTCATCGGCTGAGCCAAGTTAGTGAAGCAACATATCCGTCTCTTACTAAAACAGACATAGAAGGTTGAACAATAACTTAAACACTGTTCACCTTATTCGACTTCACTCAGCCTTCTTTGTCCTGCACTTCATCAACAGGGTGACCTCAATATCTGGCCGTTGTGTGGATGTATATACAGTATTTCAGGCAGCAGGAAGGCCAGTCTGGGTAAACGTCCATAACAATAAAAACAATAGAAGTACAGAATAATAGAGCCGCTGAAAAACTGGCCTGAGCCGAGGATTCTCAGAGGGGAACTGACAACAAAACTGTGGCGAAACACATCACAGTGCATTAATTTAACATGACAATGCAATAAGCCGAAACGGTCTTCTTACTGAACCCAGCGAGGGTTCGAAAGACACATCTCTCAGGCCGAATCGTCTTTTTCTTGCCGCTAAAAGAGCTCCACGTAGGATTTAATCTGCCCACTTAGCCGTAATCTTAAACATTCGCTAATAAAACAAGGAATTAATTTGTTATACCAGCGTGAACAAAGGTTTCCCTTCCTTGTACGCAACACTCATATCCCCTCCACCCTCTTCCATACTACCACACCTCTGAGCAGAATAAGGACGCACCGAAATAGCATAGAACCATCCGGCACTGGAAGTCGTCTGTTTAGGTGAGAATATCAGTTATCGCAGAAATGTGCATAAAAATAAATATTCTGAACAAATAAAATCCTGAAAGTCATTTCCTCTTGATTACATACTCTCTGATTCTGGCATTCGTTCAGAGCTTCATCCACTGAGTCACAGGGAGGGACCCAGATTGGTGATAACATCCACTCAAACTTTTACTACTACTCCACTCTGGAAACAATCGTTAGTAACGAAAGGGTTAAGTTCAGAAATACTTTGTCACATTTTTATGAAGTGTGTCATGCTTTTTTTTCTCATTTCGGCTCCAGAGACTCTATAGAGTCCATGTAGTATCCCTTTCCTTTTGGGGAAGTGAGGACTAGTCTCAGCGGGAGATGTTGAATCGTCTTAGGATGGTGACTGATTAAGAATGACTCAAGTCAGACTACTGTCTCTTTACCTCAGCAGACGTTATTGCACTTCAGGAAATTCAATACAGCTTTAAAGTCAGAGTTGGTCTTCAGAGAACTTTTAAAATTATCTTACAGCAGGACTATCAATCATCATAGGTGCAGCAAAGCGATGATGCAAACCCACCATGATTTGCTGCAGAGAACCATGAGCATTCATCAGGAGTTTTTTTTTACGTGTTTGCCCTTTAATGAGCAGCCAGAATGAGCTCATATTTCTTTGCACAAAATATCTGCTTGATCCAAAGTTATTGAGATTTTTAAGAGCGGGTGAAGATTACTGACGAGTGCTGAACGATACAAGAACTTTAGGGAGTTGCTGACCATGATGGACACATGGATTTTTCATTGCAGCCTTTAATGGTTTAGGGGTGGGAGAAAAAATTGATACTACACAGTATTGCAATATTTTGTCTGGTGATAAATCGTATCATCTCATCTACCAAGTATCAATTTTTTAAAATTAATTGCTAACATAAGGTTAAATCTATGGAAATGGGGAAATAAATCAACTATTTGTCCAGTGAGATTGGCAGAGGTGACATCATAGAGAAGGAAAATGTTAGTGCAATAAATATATAAGGTTTGTAAGATGTGCTACATGGAAATTAAATGCAGCATAAAAAAGACAAACATAAAGAAAAGCCAAATGTGGAATTAGCTAAACAGTTGAAAAATTGGATCAATCATAAAATATTGTATCCCAATACTCACTGTGTTGCAAAATGTTAATAATCGCGATAATATCGTATCATGGCCCAAGTATCGGGAGAATATCATATTGTAATAATATCGTATTGTGATAATATTGTATCGTGGCACAAGTATCGTGATAATATCCTATTGTGATAATATCGCATTGTGGCCTAAGTATTGTGATAATATTGTACCGTGATAATACCGTATTGTGATAATATCGTATCGTGATAATATTGTATCATGGCCCAAGTATCATGATAATACCATATTGTGATAACATTGTATCATGGCTCAAGTATCATGATAATACCGTGTTGTGATAATATTGTATCATGATAATGTTGTATTGTGACATTATTGTATTGTGACAAGTTATTCCCACCCCTAGAATGGTTGCAGAAGCTACATGATGCATCTTTTAATAGAGATATGAGGAAAATTCTCCTTATTTAAATAAAACACTGCTACATACATTTATTCTCTTTAATGTTACTTTACCTGTGAGTATGTGCAAGGAAGTTTTAAAAAGAATACTTTTCAGTCGTCTGTTCTGACATCTACCCCTTTACACCACTTTTAGGCGTTAAAAACTACAACAAAGAAATGATCAGCCTCATTTACTTCTGAAGGTCATGAAGGAGCAACAGTTCCAGTTAAAAACTCCTCATAGTGCCTTTAAAAAGGGCAATGAGTGGGTACAGTGTACACTGGTTGTCTCATTGCTTTCATTACAGCCAAACCCTCAAGTTATGTGTCATCATGTTGACGTCAAATATCGGGTCTGAAAGGATGACTGTTTCTGTGTGGCAAAATATTGAATCAGGCAGAAACACTGAGGTGGGATGACTTTTCATGCAGATGCCGCTTTTGTATGAAAGGGTGATCAAAGCAAAAGTTCCAGAAAAAAAAGTGAAAGTTAAAAGCTTTTATTTGAGTTTTATTTGAAAATCTTTGTCAAGAAGTCAGATGTGGGGCTGTCTGTCACAATGTTAGTCTGAATATAACATGTCAGCTACTATCAGGGTTATCTCTCGAACCCTGGATACTCTTCATAATTTATCTGCTTAATTATTCTGTCTCATCAGTTCAGAGCAAGTCCGTTTTTACTGCCCTATGGTCTCAAATACTCATTTTTATCCCTCTCACGCACTAAATAAAAAGTTAAATAAATATGAAAATCCTCACTTTTGGAACTTTGACTTTCTTCTGACAGTAAATAAATTTTACTTGATTAAAAAGGATAATTCAGGTTCAAAGGGCAGAGATGAGCATTATTGAGTTTGAAACTAATTTGGTCAAAAAAAAAAAGTCTTAGTAAAAATAAATAATAATAATAACTTTATTTTTGTAGCGCTTTTAAAACAGATGTTTACAAAGTGCTTTGACATATAGTCATAGGGCACATGGAAAAAGACGGATAAAAACAAAAGCTCAGCTAAAACAGAATTGAAGACCATTTTCATAAATCATAAGGAACTCAAACAATACAAGAACCATGTAACATAAAATGAGACCATGAGGACCAAAATATAAACAAAGTAATTAGAAAAAGAAAATGCAATTAAAAGGGGGGGTCGAAAGCCAACAACAGGATAGTAAAAATAAACGTTTTTTTCAGACTAAATGCCATTGTAAGCTCTCAGATGAATGACTAACCCTGTGATAGAGGTTGAATAAATAAATCTACAAGAATAAAGAAGATACATTCAACACAACACCACAGGCTTTTGTCTGATGTGAGATATATAGTGTATCCGGAGTAAAAAGTGCAACTATTGCTATTATTGTTATTTTAACCTGCTGTAAACCACCTTCTAATGGATTTTGACTTTATTTATTTGTCTGAAATAACCTGTAACGAGAGTTTTACTTTGATATGGGTTCCACCTTCATTTATGACTCATAAAGTTAGATTACGGTTGTAATTACTATTCTACCTGTACCAGGAAATACTTCACACACACACACACACACACACATTTTTTCCCTCCTCTTTTATCGGCGTGGGGGCCGAGCGATCAGCAGGGGCTCAAACCACTGAACTTCCTTCCTCTCCTTGTCCGACAGTAGGAAAAAAAAAGTTGGTAGCTTTAATAAATGGAGACCGAGCTGAGCTTTCAGAGGCTCAATCCGCTTCAGATCGTCACACAAAGGGATTCACACAGCTGTTTCTACTTTATTTAACATCCACATCCAGCTTCGTCATGGTTCCCACGGTACACGCACTTATCATCTGCGTGTTTTTCCTCTTCAGGTTGGATGAAACGGTGGAGGCGCAGCGCGGTCGCTGCAACGGGGGTATTTGTTTTGCGTTGTTTTGGAAGCCCACTGACTTTTCAAACGCAAAGAAGAGCTGCGAAGGCTACGAGGGATACTTATTCTCGTACAACACCGAAAGCAAAGCGTTGCTGAGCGGCCTGGTGGGTGAGCGGAACGGGAGTTACTGGCTGGAAACGTCCAGCACCGGTGAGAGGAAAGAGGAAGCGGCTCTCCGGCAGAACTGCTCCTCCATCTCCGTTTCCAAAGGTGAGAACCTCGAGGTGACGCTGGAGCCGTGCCGAAAGGAGCTAGACGGGTTTCTCTGTGGTTATACCTCATCAGCGGGAGTTTGTGCGGCCATAAAGACGGGCAAGGACGCACAGGTTACGTACTCAACACCGTATGGTTTCGAGGCCGAGAACTCCGACGTGTTACCGTTTGGAACCGTCGCTGTCGTGAAGAAAATAGGTGAGAAGATCCCGGAGTCCAAGCATGTGTGCATAGAAGGGTGGGCTAAAGCTCCGTGGACGTGTGAGGTGATGGATGGTGGGTGTGAACACGAATGCAGCCCCGCACCTCGCACCTGCATCTGTCCCGCAGGGAAAAAACTCCATCCTAACAACATCACCTGCGTTACAGATCCGTGCGCAGGCTGCACGCATGGGTGCCAACCAGAAGGTGATACCTACGCATGTACGTGCCGCCAAGGCTACAGGCTGAACCCAGACGGGAAAACCTGTGAGTGCAAAGATGACTTCGTGGAGGAGGGCGGCGTGTGTGTGAACAATTCAATTTGTTACAAGTGTGAACATGATTGTTACAAACACAACGGGGTGTACCAGTGTAAGTGCAGGACGGGGTACAGAGTGAAAGCCGAAGACCCCACCAAGTGTGAGGAGTACTGCGGCAAGAGACAGTGTTTGGCCTCATCATGCCTCCCAAAGATGGAAGGGGACGGAAACTCGTATCAGTGCTACTGTCAAAAAGGTTACGTCCATGAACACATCAACAACACCAACTACTGCACTGACATAGATGAATGTCTGGACGAGAAGCCGTGTTCTTATAGGTGTGAAAACCTCTACGGTGGTTTCAGATGTTCTTGTGAATCCGGGTTTGAGCCCTACAACGGGTACAAGTGTAAACCAATTAAAAAGGAAGAGGGAGAAGAGGAAGGGTCAGGCCTTATCCCCTTGCTCCCGACCCCAGCCAGCGCCCACCCTGCCTCGGTCCCCTCTTACATCAAGACTGGCAGCGTCCTTGGTATCTCTGTTTTTATGGCCCTGTTTGCAGGGCTGCTTTACTTCCTGGTGCGGCACATGGTGAAACGTTGCGGCAAGTTTCAGCTTTCCTCCCTCAAACATCATGACATTGATATTTTCTATCTGCAGCAGGCGACCACTGGAACATATAAGAGGTTCTCTTTTGACAGACAACTGAAAAACGACCCAGATATCATATAAGTTCAGTAAATCAAGCTGCTAAGTCACATTATGCTGTTTTCTTTTCACAGAGAGGTCAATGAGGAGGAAGTTTCTCAAAGTTTACTCAAATAGGAAAACTTTTTAAAGCTGCTATCTGTGGCATGCTGTCAGAGCTCCATGTATGAACTCAAAGAAGAAAGAAAAACTGCAAATACTTTCTGAACATGAAGCAGATTTCTGATTATACATCTCACTTATTTGTTTAGTTTTCAGCTGAGTTATACGAATAAATTAAGTTTTTTTGGCAATGGTACAAAGAAGTCATTTTTCCCAATTAAAAAAAAAAGTGAAACAAATTCAGTAACATGAACCACAATGGGCAGTAGATGACTATTAGACATCTAGTTTTTTTTAGACCTAATTTCAACTGTCTAGATTCTATATATTTTTAGATGGAATTTAGACGTTGCACATTAACCTGTTATTCAATAACTATTTATTTCAAAAAGCAACTGTGAGTTGCATAACTGATCTCCAAGTACTTAACCAAAATATTTATGATAGCTATTGAGCAATATACTGGATAGCATAGATATAGCCCAGATTTAGACTTGGTTTAAATTTAGATGTCTAAAAAACTTTCATCCTTATACTCATGGAGCCTGATTTTAGACCAGTCGTCTCGGCCAGTGGTTCTCAACTGGTGGGTCCTGACCCAAAAGCTGACACATTCTGGATAGTTTACAAACAGCTGGTAAAAAGGTAAATTTTTAATGCGCATCTGATGTTTGACATGTCTTTTATTTTGAAAAATAGCTTATTTTAAAAGGCACGAGTTATGTCGTGGTCCTCCTAGGTTTCTTATTAATGTGGCCTGAGTGCAGTAAAAATACAGGATTTATTTTACTTTATTTTTTTTTGTCTTTATTTTGTGCAATTTTAAATTTGATATTTTCTGTATATGCACCTTGAGTAGCTGTCATCCTCAGTTCATGTGCTCTGAAATGCACTTTACTCAAAAAAATGGGTGTATTTATGTTAAAGCTTAGAGTCTTAAAAGGATTTTTTTTAATAAAAAATAAATTTGCATGGTTTGAATTTTATAAAAGTGGGTTTTAACTTAAGGACCATGGAAGAATGTGGGTCCCAGAGTGTGACCAATTGAGAGCCACTGCTCTTGGCTACATTTACATGTCTATTAGACCTTTTTTAGACCAAAAAATGCTCAGTGGGACCTTTTGACCAATGTCATAAGAATTCAATGTCATGAGCAAGACTTCTTTATATGGTTTTATGTTGGATTTGAAGTTGCAGCTGCAGCGTTGTCACACTGGACCTCACGGCAGGTCTATTATTCTTGGTCAAGCTCCTCCAAAGATATTTTTATCTTGGGAAAATGTGGAAAAGTACAAAAATCTCTTTCACTAAATTTCCCATTTGCTTGCTGTTGTTGGAATGGCTCACTGTGATAAAGGATTCACTGAATGTTTAATGGTTTTGCATTCGGATCGATCAGGATGTGATCGGATTTTATATCTACTCCTGCAGGTGTCTTTCTAGAATCACAGATCTTTACTCTGAAATGTCCAACATGTGTTTTTTGTAAATCTAATCAAAGGTTGTCATTCCATTGACATAAAATCCTGACTCTGCAGGCCGTGGTTTTGGTTCTGGATAAACTGTGCTACTGTATTAGAACCTCATGCATGTGCTTGAGATTGGGATGCTTTACTGTACAAAAGACTGCTGATTGTAAAAGACCAATGAACTGAAAAACTGTCCGTAGTGGACATTGAAAACACATTTGCACCTTATTCTGATGCTCAGCCTGTACAATGCACCTGCTCTGACGAAGTGTTTGATGATCTGTCCAGGAATCTGTCACTACTGACTGTTTATTTACAACCAAAAGTGCTGTTCTTGTGCTACTTCACATGTTTAGCTCACTAAGTTCAACACTGGGACATGTAAAATAGAAACTGAAAAAGCAATAAGCTCAATATTTGTAGGAATAGTTGCCACTCAAAATAGACACTGTTACAAGCAAATCAATAAATGATATCTGCACTGTGCCTCTGTCCTTTTTTTCTGCACTTACTGTACATGACTTTCTTAGGCCTGAATGCAGTCCCTTCAAAGTAAAGGACTGTAGAAAATAACCAGAAACAAATCAAACACCTGTAGGGGAGAGCTGAGCCAAAAGGTAAGTTGAGCCACCCTCTGTTGCTTGGAAATGGTAAGAGAAATTGATCATGTGACCAAATATTTAGGAGATGGGCATCAATTCATGGATTCTGTGAAGGTTAGAAGCACGTGGGTTAAGGGGTGAGACATTTATTTCCAAAAACACATTCTTTTTACTCTTGAAAGTGAATTTAGTCTGACATAAGTTTTTATAATATATTTTTTTATAAAATAATAATTATTGTACCAGTTGAATAGGGTATAATAGATATAAATACACACGAATGTGAAGAAGTGACTGTTATTTAGGGAGAGAGAAGGTGAGGGAGGGCTGGGGTGGAGAGTAGGCGGGTAGTAGGGATACAGCTCAACTTACCCCACTCCTATGGTCAACTTCGCTCACACAGATAAGTTCACCATAAGAGACCACTTTTTTGGCATGCTATTTTATCAAGAAAGTTCTGTTTACACTCATTCTTTTGGTTTGCAGGGATGAACATCTTGAAATATCTGCAGATACACTAGTTAGAGAAAAAACTATGATTGACTTGATGTAGTGATCCAAAATATGAAAAATGGCTCATCTTACCCCACTCTCTCCTATGCTATTTTTCTTTCCAACTTTTTTTGTTGCTTCACAACAGATATGCGTTTTAAAAAATATCAACTCACTTTGAGACCCCAGCTGTCTAAACTTCATCCAGAAACTCTAAAGCATAACGGCACAAGATACACAGCCTGGTGAAGAGTCTGAATGTGAAGGACTGGTCTTCATTTTGAGCAGCTGACTGGACCTGGGAGGGGCTTCTGCACAAAGGGGCGGTGGGTAGATGCTTACTTGCGTGCATGCAGCCCCCGTGCGTCTGTGCGTAGAGCCGTGCGTAATTGGGAATTCTGCTCACACAGTGCCAACAGAAAGTTTGCGAGGAGACAGTGAGCTGCAGGCAGTTAAACACCAACTTCCTTCCCCCCGCCGGGCCACTAACATGGAGCTGGGGGCGTATGAGTGTGAGTGGAATCTGTCTTACTAGACAAACGAGTCTGTGGACACAGAAGAACACAGAAGAACCTAAGCGGACAACACGAATTTCAAACATGGTGGATGTAAAAGGACTAGTTTTTATCTTCTTAACTCTTCTGATGGAGAGATCCGGAGCGTTGAAGCCAGATGGCGGGTATTGCATCGAGAACCAGTGTTTCACGGTGTTTCAAGATCCCAGCGATTACCCGACCTCGCGGGACCAATGTAGGGATCTTGGCGGACACTTGATGACAGTGCGCTCGCCTGTATCGCATGATATCCTTTCAAACTTGTTGGGAAAGTCTAAAGGGCGATTCTGGATCGGTTTGCATCTACCAACAGGCTGTCCAGACCTTACTACCGAGCTTCGAGGTTTCCAGTGGGTGACCAAAGACAGCGAAAGTGAGTTTTCTGACTGGGTACCGGATTTTGACAGCAGCTGCTCTTCTCTCCGCTGCGTCTCAGTTTCCCAGGAGGAAGACTTCAAATGGATGCAGGAACCATGTGATGCGCACGGGGCAGGGTTTCTCTGTGAGCACACCGTGAAAGAGCCATGCAAGAGTTTAGCAGTCACGGACAAAGACACTGTCATCTACAACAGCTCCTTGGGGTTTCAGGCAGAGAATTTGCCGTCTGCTCCTCCAGGAAGCATCGCCATCCGGATGCCCGCAGAGACCAAATACGTGTGTTTCTCCGAGCAGTGGGTGCAGGCTCCCTGGAGCTGCGAGATACAAGACGGGGGATGTGAGTACAAATGCTCAGTGAACTCCGAAAAAGAGCCCACCTGCTACTGCCCACCGGGACACACCATCAACCCTGCAAACGGAGTCACCTGCGAAGTGTCTGCAGAAGACCCGTGCCTGAACCTGCACTGTATGCACGCCTGCTCCCAGGAGGGGGACATCCACAAATGCGTGTGTCACCATGGTTATAAATTGGCGCCCGACGGCCGATCGTGCGTGGACTTTGACGATTGCAAAGACGAGCGGCAGTGTCCCGGAGAGAACTTCAAGTGCGTGAACACCCCCGGCGATTTCCAGTGCGTCTGCAAGGATGGATACAAGCTGACTGGCGGCGCTTGCGTGGACGTTGACGAGTGTGTGTCCGCTCCGTGTGAGCACTTGTGCGCCAACTCGCCCGGTAACTACACGTGCTCTTGTTATGATGGGTATAAGGAGGACCCGGAGGAGCCGCACAAGTGCAAACTTTACTGCGGGAAGGAGGAATGCGATGCCGAGTGCGACCCAAACAACATGTACCAGTGCTACTGCCCTGACGGCTATATAGCTGAGGAAAGAGGGGACAAGACGGTCTGCATCGACATTGACGAGTGTGTTTTCTTCTATTGTGATCAAGAATGTGAGAATACGTTCGGCAGCTACGTTTGCGGATGCTCTCGTGGTTTCACACTCGAAGGGAAGTACAAGTGCGTAAAAAACGAGGATGATACAGACGAGGATGGCTCTGGTACCGGTGCCACGACCCCACCTTCAATACCACCTGTGACCTATCCAAATCCGACCAAGCGACCTTCAGGGTTGTCACCGGGAGGTCTCGCAGGGATTATAATTTGCATTGCGATATTTATAGTGTTGGTGGTGTTCCTGGCGCATCACATCCTTTGTGGCAGAGACAAGAGGAAGAGCGCCAATGAGGGACCCATGGTGCTGAGCACGTGAAGACTGATGTTTGAGTTTTGGGCAACATCTCAGCAAATGAAGGAGAGACTTTTGGACAGTTCTGGAGGAATCAAAGCACAATAATGTAATATTATAGATATGTTTATTTCATGCATCTCATAATCACATGACAGAAATATGAAGAAGCTGCACAGATGTCTTAAAGATTTTCTTTGGTTTGACAACTCACATTCAAAAAAAGATAATGGTATGACAGATGAACTTTGTTTTTCAAGATTTTGTTCTGGGCATAACTGCATCATAAAAAACAATGAAGTATTAATCTGCTGGTCTATCTTTTTTCTTTTTAAACCCCTCAAACATTCTTACCTCCAACGTGGGCTGACAGCTCCACCATGTGGGGAAGGAAAGGAACAACAGGTCAGCCATAGTCAGCAGAGATGCTGCTGAAGACCGAACATGCACAATTTCCTCTAATGGGACAGTTTGACCAAAACAGCAAACTGTATATAAAAACTAGAAATCAAGTACATTGATGGTGTGAGTGAGAGAGTAAAATCTGACTGAAGTAGTATTTAACATGGGGAGAGGCCAAACACTGTTTCAACCAATCAGGGATCACCCAGGAGTCTATAGAGACAAAAGCCAAAATGAGTTTGACAATATAATTAATTATTAGGTCTATTCTGTACGTCTGGTAAGCTGTTAAGAGTATCTGTGTTCATGCAGTAGTCCTAGAGAGGGTAGTAAGAGGTAGTAGCATAGCCTGGACAGAGGCAGTGTGGTTTAAAGGGATATTCTGGCGTAAAATTAAGTTAGGGTCAAACACATAGTAACACTGAGTTAGAAACCCCCTTAAGAGATGAATCTTGCAGACCGCTTGCTTCTCTCGTTATACCAACTTTAGTAACGACTGCAGGATAGCAATACAGAGAACCACGCACTCAACCAAAACACCACTGTATAGCCACAAATAATGCTCAAAACAGCACCTAACTTCATCAAGAGGACATATAGGATCCCGGTCATAGTACATTTGAGACCAAACATAAATACCCTACCAGGGGTCAAAGGTTAAAGCCATCAACAACAACAAAAATAAGAACACTGACTGACAAGCATAAAGCATAGCAATGTGAAATATAGAGGGAAAATAAAGGACAAGGTTCAGACTTCTCTTCATGTCTCCATGAACATGTTAGGACACATGTCTGATCACGGGTCATGTGTGTCGTTGCAAAAACACTTCTCCAAAAAGAAAGCACGTTTGGAGAGGACCCCCGTGTGCGTCGTGCGTCACAGCAGGGCTCGTGTTTGCTGAAGATTGCCGAATAAACAGTGAGGAAAGAGGTCCGAAAGGGGAAGAGGAAAGACCCGCAACGTTGCTCTGGATTGTCACACAGACTGAAAACTGGAGCAGAAGACAGAGTCGATGAATGTGATCCACGAGGAGGTTCAACCTGCGACCCCACCCATGGGAAAAACTCGTGAAGGGTTTCATAGTCAGGGTTACACCTTTTTAAAGGTAAGATTGTCGCTTCATTTTCGACTGAATATAAACAGTGTTTGTTTTGACCCCCGGACACTCGTCTCTTCGTCGGTTTCTCACGGTAGTAAAAATCCCACATTCCCGTTGCTGAAATGAGGAACCCAGATGTCGTGTGCAATGTGGAAAAAAACTGCGCACGCTGAAGTTCGCTATTTCCGTCAAAACCCAAGAGTTTTGAGGGTTCAGGGTTCGAGCTCGTGCATTAGCTATTTATCATGGGAGCAGCAGTGGCGGGAGAGAAGGGGGCTAAAAGGGGACCCCAGTGGCCCCCTTTAATACAAACATACAGGTAGTTCTATATAATGGAGCTGCATCAGTGAATTATGAACACTTTGCAACAGTTTCCTCATTTTCCTGAACTGCTAATTTACTTCTCACATCTTCAGACCGCCTGTCTTTAATAATATACAGTATGCACTGCTCAGCCATTTAAAAGGGATATTTTGGCGTAAATTAATTAAGGGTCAAACACACCATAACACTGAGTTAGACACCCTGTCGAGATAAATGTTGCAGACCGCTTGCTTCTCTAGTTTCACAACTTTAGTAACGACTGCAGGGTAGCAATACACAAAATCTAAACAAATCTAAACGCCACTCTATAGCCACAAATAATGCTCAATGCGCAGCTCAAGGAAGAACATTTATGATCATTTCCTCATGGAAATGCAATCAGACCGAGACGCTAAGGCAGAAGAACTACTGCGTCTGCAGTGAAAATTATTAATATGATTATTACTTCAAGGAAATGATAAAGTATTGGTAAAGTATAAAGATTAGTTTTGGTTGTTTGCTTTGTTTATGGCTCCTCAGACCGCTGTGTATTGCTATCCTGCGGTTGTTACTAAAGTTGGTATAACTAGAGAAGCAAGCGGTCGGCAACATTCATCTCTGGAGGGGGTGTCTAACTCAGTGTTACGGTGTGTTTGACCCTAAATTAATTTCACGCCGGAATATCCCTTTAACATCCCATTATCTACACACTTTAATTTTTTTCTCTCTCTCAGTAGCTGCACATCTTCACAGGGCAAGGAAAGTATGGGGATGCTGGCTCTTTGTGCGGGTTTCCTTGCTTTATACCTGCAGGTAAGTTTTTCTAATGTGAGCTGCACAAATCCTGACACAGTTTGGCACAGAAGATCCAAAAAATATTTCAATTTACTTTATTTTTACTTGTTTGCGAAGGCTTCCTGCCAAGTTCTAGAGATTAAAGTAATGCTAGCGCTTTAATTTTTGCATTAGCTTCTCATGCAATGCTTTGTCAGGGACTCATCTGATTATTATTCTCAGTTCATCAGGGTTAATATAATATTCCTACCCGCAGGTGCCCTCATGTTACCCCACATGCACACTCTATGGCCTGGTAGCTGCCTGTGCCTCGAAGCACCTGTACTGGGTTCCCACCTTACCTTCAAACATCACCCACCTCTTCCTAGAGATGAACTACATCAGCGAGATCAACAGCACCTCCCTCAAAGCCTACAACCAGCTCCAAAAGCTAGACCTCGGCAAGCAAAATGTGCAGCTCACAATCAGGACTAACGCTTTCCTCCGGCAGAGAGTCTTGACCAGGTTGGTCCTCGGATACAACATCGGACTCAAACTCGAGCCGAGGGCTTTCGCAGGACTATTCAGGTTACAACACTTGTCTTTGGACTACTGCAAATTGTCAGACTCCATTCTGTCGGAGAACTACCTTCAGCCCCTTATCAACTTGGAAACACTCGATCTCTTTGGAAATGAAATATCGAGACTGCGACCGGGCCTGTTTTTCTCCAAGCTCGTAAAGTTAACCAATCTAAACCTCACATCAAATCAGATTGAAGGATTATGTGAAAATGATCTAGTTGGTTTCCAGGGGAAATACTTCACTTTGCTGAAGTTGGACTTCAATAAATTGGGTAACAACTTTGATTGGGATCGATGTGGGAATCCTTTTAGGGGGGTGGCCTTTCAAAAACTGGACCTATCATCAAATGAGTTTACTGTGAATGGATCAAGACAATTTTTCAAAGCAATAATGGGGACTCAGATTTCTCACCTTATATTCCATGGACACATGGGTAAAGGTTTTTCACACGATAACCTCCCTGACCCGGATTCTGGCACATTTGTAGGCCTTACTAACAGTACCGTCGAAATCTTAGATCTCTCTAAAAACCGCATATTTTCCTTACAGGAGGCTGTTTTTAGTCCTTTTAAAGATGTGATCATTATTGATATGTCACTAAACAGGATCAATAATATTGGCAGAAATGCCTTCAGTGGTCTCCAAGGACATTTAAGGATGCTCAACCTTTCATTCAACCTCTTAGGAGAGATTTATTCTCACACTTTCTTCAGACTGACAAACCTGAGGGTGTTGGATTTGTCTTATAACCACATCGGTAAGTTGGGTTACCAAGCGTTCAGCGGTCTTCCTTATTTGCGAGGTTTATACCTGACAGGAAACTCCCTCAAAGACCTGGGTTTCGCTGCATCCTTACCAAACCTGGAGCGTCTTCTGTTGGGTGACAATAAGTTAAATTCCATTCATAGGATCAAATATTGGGGGGGAAAGAACAGCACCCATTTGGACTTAAGACAAAACAGATTAACAAATTTGGAGGATGTTTACTCTGTTTTGGAGTATTTCAAACGTCTACAGGTTTTTGTCTTTGGTGGAAACTTCATCAAGTGGTGCGCTCTTAATTCTAACTTTGACATATCCAATAATACTTTGCTGGTGCTTGATCTCCATGACAGTTCCCTGCAGGTAATCTGGGCACAGAAGAAGTGTCTCGACCTGTTTGATAATCTAGAGAATCTGCTCGGTCTAAATTTAAGCCACAATTCGCTCTCTTCTCTCCCACACGGGGTTTTCAGCGGGCTCAGCTCCATCATAGAGATCGATCTCTCATCAAACGCTTTAACCTACCTCCACTCACATGTCTTTCCAGTCAGCTTAAAAACTCTCCACCTCTCAGATAACTTCCTAGCCTCCCCAGACCCTCTGGTTTTCAGGTCCTTCAGCCTCTTAAATCTGGCAGGGAATCGCTTTCACTGTAACTGTAATCTGGAGCGTTTCCTGAAGTGGCTGAATATGACAAACGTGACCTTCCTGAGCCCCATCGAGGAGCTCATGTGTGAGTTCCCGTCTGCTCTGCGTCACCTCCCCCTACTTGATTACTCCACGGTTATTGAAACATGTGAAACAGACGATGAGAAGAATTTGGAGGGTCTGAGGTTTGCTCTCTTCATCTTCTCTGCTCTACTCACCATCACCCTCACACTAACTGGGATCGTGTACGCCCATCTCCGAGGGGACATATTTATTATCTACAGGAGGATTGTGGGTCGGGTACTTCAGGGCACAAAAAAACCCACAGCACCTGCGGGTGAGATGAAGTATGATGCCTTCCTCTGCTTCACTGACGGAGATTATGGGTGGGTGGAGTCAGCTCTGCTGAAGAGGCTGGATAACCAGTTTGATGGAGGAAACATCCTCCGCTGTTGTTTCGAGGCCAGAGACTTTCTGCCGGGCGAGGATCATCTCTCCAACATCAGAGACGCCATCTGGGACAGCAAGAGAACCGTCTGCATCGTCTCTCAAAAGTTCCTTAAAGGTACATTTCCCCAAACTTAAACATAGAAAGCGGACAAATTGAAGAGTGCATCAACTCTTATCTTAGTCGTCAAACCAGGAGGTCTGGTGTCAGAACTGACTGGACTGTGCCCTCTTTCTTCTAGATGGTTGGTGCTTGGAGGCGTTCTCCCTGGCTCAGAGCCGGATGCTGGAGGAGCTGACGAATGTCCTGATCATGTTGGTGGTGGGGAAGGTGTGTGCAAAGCGGCAGGGTTACACACATTTCCTTAAAAACACTATTTTCAAAGTGTGTGCTGCAATGGCTGAATGATGGTGCAACGACTGTCACTCCTTCACCACAACAAGAAAGTCCTTTGGTTGAACACCCTGTGCACAGATGAGTTTTGTCCTAGTAGAGTCAAGACATACTCGCACGGTTAATAGGTAACTCGACCTGTATCACTATCAGCTCTTTAGCTGCTTACTGCTCCATAATGTGCAGGGCAGGTACCTCAGTGGATGATGGGTAATGCAGCTCCTACTTCCCAGCAATAGGTGTCAGCCTTGGTTCAGATTAAAAATATCCCAACTCTACCTGAAAACTTCACAACTATCTAAAAAACTGCTGCTGAGAAATGATTGTTTCAAATATAAATGCATGTTATTGACCTTCCCTCCTACCGATGTTCTTGCACAATAAAACTGCAGGTCACTCACTACCAGCTGATGAAGTACAACGCAGTCAGAGCTTTCGTCCAGAAGAGAGAATATCTAATCTGGCCCGACGACCCTCAGGATCTGGAGTGGTTTTATTCGCGGCTCGTCTCACAGATACTGAAAGACAGTAAAGTGAAAAAGTCTTCAGCGGAAAACGCTGAGTCAGCAGAACCGGACATCCAACCAAAAAGTGAGGACAGTGACCAATCAGACGACTTGAGAGAAACACAAATGTGAGACATATATCACCCCTCTGATTGATTCTCAGCAGCTTTACATGATTTACAGTTCAACAAACTCTGAACATATTTCAGGCTGCTGTCTTTGAAAACCCTGTCACCGTCCCTTTAAGGTCCCCCCAGCATTCTAGAAGCCTCATACACTGTTGCCATGCAAATGAAATGACAAATTTCCCTTTGAAGAAGATTCACTGTCTGATGGTGTCCAATTTGATCAAATCTGATATAATGATTTAATCATCTGTACAGCTTACCTGCTGCATCTGTGACTATTTTTGACTTTTTCATTCAAATAAATTTAGCAGAGACCGACCCTGGATGTCTTTGGTCTGATCTGCTTTATTTCCAGAGGAAATGCACAGGAACCATTCGGTTTCTTAAAGAGAGAGAGAGAAAAGTCCCTGGAACTAAAAAGTTCTGGATCATTTTGGTCAAAAAGCACAGGAAAAACTCTTCTTTTTCCTCACAAGGGGACGCCAAGACAAAGAGCAGAAGTTCCTTGCAGAAGCTTTAAATGATCTGATATAACTTTGTCTTTATTTATTAGCATTACATATAAATGATCTGAAATGTATTTTGTCTTAACCCCAAGGTTAAACCTCCAGGAGACCTTCCGATTGATTCTGATCTTGAAGATTGCTAATTTTTGGTTTTTATTCAGCATTTTCTGGAGTTTTCCACAGCATGCACCGCTACACCCTGAGGAACTACAACTATTTAAATAAATCTAAATAAAACTCTGGGGTAGTCAGGGAGGCTAACTCTGCATCAAGACGGTCATGTCAGTACTTAATTGTAGGATGAACTGAAAATACCCAAGTCCCGTCTCTTGCTCTTGGATTTGTTGGCCTGTAAGAAAGTGGCTTTGAGGTCAGCCAGCTTCCTTTCATTTGAGCCGTGTGTCTGGAAACAGGAAGCTTCCGGGCAGAGAGGCTTATGTCCTTTTTGGCCCTCGTCCTCCCCATCTTTATGAGCCAGCTGTTTGTGACATTACTGCCCATCTGCAGACTCTGAGAACAGTCCATCAATGTGGACCCAGTGCGGTATAACACCTGCTGAGCCTGGAGTTCATTTGAGGAGCCACAAAACGCAGTGAGAAATACTGCAAAAATATTGATTAATAACCTACATAACCTTCCCTAATCTCACCTGTGCAGTAGTTGACGTTTTCACCTCACAACAAGAAGGTCTTTGCAGGCCAGTAGAGTCAGGAGAATCAGATCCATGCACTGGCGGCTTTCCTGGCTCCTCTGGGTCTGCTGGAACCATGTCCCTTCGGCTGAGCATCCACCAGCTTGTTGTCCTGATCTAACAGCACTTGAACAACCCTGTATAGACCCTTGAAAACTGGTGACAGTTTAGCAGCAAAGCCAAATAAAGGAGGAGTATAGATACAGATATAAAGATACAGAGGTATTTTTCACACATTTGAATACCCGCTAGAATCAAGGCCTTGCAGCTCCACCAAAATCTAATTTAAAAATTGGAAGCAAATGTTTACCTTTGCATGTTTTCCAGCTCTGTTACTTTTCCAGTTATTTAAAGCCTGAAAAATATCCTCAGAATAGACAAGGAAGTGTTATAAACCCTATGGCCATAACTAATATTTGACCTCTGTTTAAACAAATATACGTACAGGGCTGAAGGGGGGAAAGCGAACTCATCTCCACAGAAGTGATTGAGAGGAGAAGGTTAAAAGCAATCTGAGGAGGATGAAGAGCTTTGGTAAAAACAGAGTGATCTCTATGAGCTGAAGTAGGAGATTTCCTTAAACATACAAACATCATGTAATCAGATTAAACCTTTTTTTAACTCATGAGACAAAGTGGACTTACATAGCCAAACTGGGGTACAGGAACATTGAGCACCTCTTGTCTATAAACCATCATGTCTCATTAGAGTCCCTGCCTGCCTGCTCTCCAGCTGCTTCAACAAGCACCAGTCTCACCTCCCTCCACCTCTCTCTCTGTCTAACTTGAGTCTGGTTCTGCTCGAGGTTTCTGCCTGTTAAAGGAAGTCATGCTTTTTAAACATTGGACAAGCAGACAATATGAAACAGCCAGATGACAGTGATATAAAAAGACACTTTAATCATATTTGAGGCATGTTGAGTCTGAAGAAGTTTGTCAGCTGGTGAGATGTGGCTCGGATTTAGTACAATCTGTATTTTCAGACATATTCATATATACCTGCAGTATGACAAAATAGATACTGTATGATTTCATTTACAGGTTGGTGCAGATGGCTGCTGTATGAATAAGCTTCATGATTCAATGAAGGACCGTTAGCAGCAGTGCACATTTCTCTGCGAGTTATTTTAAATTACAGTTCATGTAATCTCACATATGTGTGCTCAAAAATAAGACATTAGCAGGTAGGGGTATCCTGATACAACTTTTTTTACCTCCGATACGATGCCTATATAGTATTGTCTGATACCGATATTGATCTGATATTAGCATAAACTTGTGCATGACAACTTTTGCACTCAGCTGTAATGTCTTTTTTGGACTTTAATGAAAAATACTGCCACACAGCAGACATCACTCCTACTCCTTGGTACTTTGTTACTACCTTAATACAGACTGTTGTTGTGATCCCTTGGGCTCTACATGATGGATCCAGGCGCTGCTAGATTGAGGTGCTGAAGCGGAATCTGGAATGGACTACTTGTATCGGAGTGCTGATATCTGAGATTTTAGATGCAATCCGATATTCTATTTTTTACTGATATCAGCACTCCGATATTCGACATCTATATCGTATCGGGAAACCCCTATTAGGAGGATACTCTAAGTGGGTGTGGAGATTTACTGAAATGGATTGAGGCACTTGCTGGACCGCACAACAATATGTCCTTTTCATAATATTTGCTACTGGTTCTGGATCAAGTTTTTTTTTTTTTTATCAAAATCACAAAGTCTCATCAGCATAAGCTCTCAGACGAAGGATTAGTGTGAACTGCGATAGGAGGCACGCCGGTTTCAGTTTTGGGAACGTTAAACTCTGAAGCTGAATTGCACTTAACTTTCAAAGTCCTGCTCAGAGAGTAGAGTTTCTTTGGAGAGGCCGAGGACGCTCGCTGCCTTTCAGAGTTCTTTTTGCACTTTTTGACACTTTTCTCCCGTGAAACAGGAAAACGTTCAACGTTCTTCTCGATTGTGCAGGGGATTTTACCACACGTATCCACTGACGTAGGTGTGTCTGCAGTTGTGGATGACACATGGTTCTCGTTGGATTGAGTCTGAGCTTGTGTGTCTATATTTTGGCATTTGACAGGACTCGAGGATATCAGTTCCGGTCTATGATCTTCCTCTTGTCCTGCAGGTTCTGAGCTAGTAAGTGAAGGAGGAGCTGGGTCTGTGTCCTGGTTTGAAGATGTGGATGTGGTATTCTGGTCTCTTGTTAAGGTACCCTGCTGACTTGCAGTGTGGACACAGTACTTCCTGAGTTGGCAGCTGTGGGCAAGTCCTTGCCGGGGGGCCACGACTCGACTCTGGGAGCAGTGGTGGAAATGGGCAGAAGAGCAGTTATAGTAGTGCATACGGCACTCCATGTGTGTGAAGACTGGGTCTAAGTTTGAAGGTAACAGGGCTGCATTTGGTTTGTTTGGGGTGTGTCCTGAGAGGGGGAAAAGCTGTGGAGTAGGCGGGCAGGAAGGAGAGTCTTTGGGAGGCTGAACACAGGAGCAAGTGGTCCACTGCTGAGGTAGATGAGCAGGAGGAGGGTCCCTACATGTGTAGTTAGTGTTTTGAGAATACTGGCACCTGGTGGGTGTGCTTAGTGTGGCTACAAGCCCGTTCTCAGGGCCAGTCCTGCCGCTCTCAGTGTTGCTTTTATAATGCATGTGTGAATAAGGGTTGGCGTGGTGGTGAGGAGATAATCCGTTATAAAACGGAGCGCACACTTCCTGCTCCTCTCGAGGTTTCTCCTCGGTTTTCTGACTGGAGGCCAAAGGTTCTAACTCGTAATGCTCCACTTCCTGACCCCTGTTGTCCAGCTGGTACTTCCCCAGGCCGGAGCCTTTCCCCTGAGATGAGGGGTTTGTTGATGTGACCTCAGAGAACATTTGGCACTGCAGCTTATTGGGTAAGGGGATCTGGCCACAGGTCCCCTGGGGTCCCAGGCACCTGCACATGCACTGGAAGAAGAAGGTAGCGAACGCCCAACTGATGCACATGATCAGCATCATGAAGGTGCCGAGTTGGGTGTAGGCCAACACAGTTGAGGGCATCATCATTGCCCCAGCAACAAAGGTGGTAAGCGCTGCCATGGCAATGGCAGAGCCCATACGGCTGAGGGAGAAAATGACCTTTCCCTCACGGTCAGGCTCTGGAGCAAGGCGGTAGGCCACACCGTAATGAACGGCAAAGTCCACAGACAGCCCCACAGCGACAGAAATAGTGACAGACTCCAAGACATTGAGCTCCCAGCCTAGAAGCACCAAAGAGCCGACGGTAACGAATATGGTCCCGGCAATTGACAGGATGGCATACAGACTGATGATGACATTCCAGGTGGTTAGGAGCATGACGCTGAAGGCAACCGCCACTGACAGTGCCATGGCGACCAGGGTGCCATCTGACAGGCTGTCTTGCAGGTCGTAGAACTCCAGGTTGCTAATAAACCAGCCGTGGCTGAGGCCTGCAGGGGCGTATCGTAACTCCTCGGTAATCCAGGCATCGACCTACAACATCACCACAGAGTTTATGTTAGCAGAGTCAGAACTGAAAAACCAAAATGACAAAACTACGATGAAACACCTCAGACCTTACCTCGCAGTAAAACTGGTACATCTTCTCATACGCTAGCGTGAAGAGGTAGGTGCTCTGAAACTCCAACACTATGGCTCTGATGGTGTCGTTGATGTCAAACCGGGGTCCAGGGGTCTTACTGTCCAGATGGTAGTTGGTGCTACGATCCAACTCCATGATGGCTCGTTTGATGCACAACTCAAAGACTTCCTGCTTGTAAGGGAAGGTGGACTGGCTGCAGCAGGGGTACACAGAGGCCTCCTCACAGTCCTGGTTCTCCATCCACTGATCAAATAAGAGGTGGAGTTTAAAAGACACTTTACAATCAATTAACAATGTTGATATATCTGATGAACACATGCAGTACTGACCTGTTTGAAAGTCTCAATGAAGCAGCTGGTGAAGTCCTGCTCATCGGACTGAAAGACAAAGCTCTGGTTTCTCAGCTTCTGGCAGAAATTGAGGATCCACAGCTGAGATGCTGGACTGGCAATGTTGAAGCTACTGTCCAGCATCAACTTCCCCTTGTTTTTGGGGTTCAGGGGGTCTCCGTTGTCCACAGGCGTCACACCCCATATAATGGTGATCGGCATATGTAGATCCTCGCCATGGTGGACCCTCTCAAACATAAAAAGTTTCTTGTACTCTGCGTCGTAGCGCTCAAACGGATGCGAGGAGCGGAATACTTGAAACTCCGCCAGTTCCAGAGACGGGAGCTTCATCTTCGGGTTGACGCAAACAACATAAGCCCCGCCCACTGTTATGGCAAGGAACCAGAGGAGCCAGAGGTAGCGCAATTTGATGACGATGCAGGGCAGCACCTTCTCAAAGAATATTCTGGACGCCTCCGACACGGTGAACAAGCATTTACTGACTTTCTGGCACAGACATGTCAACAACATCCTGCTGCTGTAACCTCTCTCCTGGTGAGGAGGTTTGGAGCAGGGCAACATATTTGGCAGGTAGCGTTCATGTAGCACCACCACAGCCGGAAGCCATGTGACCATCAGGATGTAGTTTACTAATATGGCGGTGCCTGCGTAGACACCAAAACAACGTATAGCAGTGATGTTGCTTATGTAATTTGCGTAAAAGGCGGCGGACGTGGTGAAGCTGGTGACGAACATAGACAGGGCTGCGTGTTGTAGGGTCACACTCACTATTTCTGCGAGCTCCGCGTGTGGCTTGTCTAACTTGGTGTAGTTCCACACGTCACAGAGCACGAAGGCGTCATCTGCCCCGATGCCGACGAGGATGATGAGCGCTGTGAGGTTCATGAAGGGGAAGAACTCAAAGTTGAAGACCATTCGGTAGAGAAAGTAAGACACGATCAATGAGCTGATGATGGCGATGATTGTCATGAGCGTGATGAAAACAGAACGGGTGTAAACGCACATGACGAGCAGCACGATCACTATCGCTATGGCAGGATACACAGTGTCTGTGAGAAGGTAGTCCTGAAAGAGGTCATGTTTGATGCCAAACTCAATCCCTGTGATTGTGGTGACGCCGTCTGAGGCGTTCCAGTTCTCAAAATTGTCCAAGTAAATGTTCATCATAGACTGGCCTTTCTCCGTGGGGGAGAAGAGCATGCTATATTTGAGCACCGGGGGAGGATACTCCAGGCTTTTTGGACTCAGGAAATCTTTGTCCACCAGGAAGTGAAGGATTTGGTAGACCGCGTTGTACTTGGTGCACTTTCTGGGCACACTCGCACACTTAAGCTGGTCTTTCCGTCGCAGAGCCATGTCCCAGCAGTCAGGTCCCAGAGTGCCGTTGTGATAGTACTTGGCACAGGAACGCAGGGTTTTGAGAGTGTGCGATACGTCACGTTCGGTTATCTTCTGGCAGGACGATCTGTTGGTCAGGACTGCGATGTAGTTACCGATAGTCCAGCTGGGGCAACAAGACTCATCGTTTGTGCGCTGACACAGATTCCAGTAATCCCGATGTGAACGCACCTAAGAAAGGAGAAAAATCATTATTACTCGGGTTCAAAAGACACGAGTTAGATGGTTTTGTAAAGCCTTATGTGCTCACCCTCGTATTGTCCAGATTGCACATGGATTTGATGGCCTGTATACTCCACAAGTTCTTCCCTTCAGCGGAAGCGAACACAAGCCTTGAGTAACTATCTCCTGCAGAAACACAATAATCGTTGACAGTTTGTATTTTATAATTTTACTCTGCAAAACTTTTCTGTACACTGTCTATCTTTGGGTTTCTAAATCTCACCTGGAACATCACAGAAGAAATCTTTACTAAAGTCCCATTCGGCTTGCCGTTTGTCTCGGTCAAAGTGGTCCTCAGGCCACCTGGGCTCTTGATGGCTGCAGAACAAACAAATGGTGAGTTTTTGCATTACACGAAACAGCATCTTAAAATCCTTGATTCTTACATTAGAAATGATAACTGTCCCTGATTCACAGCATATTCACATTTTTGAGCAAATACAAGTTGCTCTAATCTGTCTGTATTTGGTGCAGGGTTTTAACTGTAATATTAATACAGAAAAAAACCTCACATCATCCCATAAGATGAATATTTATTATTTCATAGACATAAAAACAATTTCCCCACATCAGACACCAAATATGGAAATAAGACACTAAAGCCATTATTATAATAATCGTATGGTGGCTTTAATTAAACAGGGGGTGGTTGCCAAGACTTTGCTGCTTCATGTATTCGTGCGTAAATGTGCATTCTTGCTGCGGCTGTGTTTTCTGAGTAGCAGTGCCTACATGCCAGTGAGCAGACAAGAATGGCAGAGTAATCAGGTGGCTGTCAGAGAGAGGCTGAGGGGTTGACAGACTTGAGGGGATGAGGCAGGGAGGCATGTTGACAGCCGCGGAGGCCTCTCGGTACGCCATCCCCACATAAGTACACAATTGCATCTGCAGACAGATGCACGGCAAGATAGAAAGGAAGACCAGGACAGCCACAGAAAGACAGAGACGAATGGGGACAAAGCAGACTACAGCTAAGAAATCCAGTCCTCCTGCAATGGTGGATATCCCTCATTTTAGATGGCTGAAATGGAGACGAACAAACAATTTAAAACCTAACAATGTAATCAGTTGAGTTGAGATTTGAAACAAAGCACAAAAGGCTCAGGAGTGATCAGTCAGAGATAAATAAGATCTACTCTTGGTGGACCAAAGTGTGGAAAGATCTCCACTTTGGTCTCATTTTCTTTTGTGGAGGGATTCAGACTTTTCAGCGTGTATGTCACTCGTATCCTTCATTTTCTCCACATGCCATTGAGAGAAATGGCAATTATACTGTGTGCCAGTACTGCAGAGCAGCAACAGCCTTTGGCTGGGCTTTCTCTGGCTTTACTGACAAAAAACTGGACCAGTCTCGGTTTCTATCAGTCACAGGCAGTACGGATCAGGGAACTGGATTCGGGATTGTATCTGGAGTATTTAGTCTAAAGACCATATAGCTTCAGGAAGAAGTAGTCCCTGTTTCAGTGACTACTAAAAGACGAGTGGATAGTGAAAAGATTTGCTTTAAATTACTTTTTGGCCTGTTCATCAGCATATTTGAAGGGGTAATTGGCAAGTGTGGCTTTGTAGCCTGTGTTCTTCACCATGTTGCTCCATGTGACCAGGCGCTGGCCAATAGCTGTTCCCCGTGGCTCAAAACCCTGTTGGAAAAAAAGCGTTAATAATTAATAGAAGCAAACCCAAACTACAGATGGAGTTACTGGTTCCTGAAGCTATTCAAAATGACATCTTCACTTAAACTTCTGAGTAATTGGCTGTTTCAAGAACTCAGAGGTATGGATCTGGTTAGTAGAGAATTTGGGTCGGCACTCACTCGCAGTGGGTCAGAGAAATCAGGCAGATCAGGCACCAGGATGCCGACTAGAGCGCATACCACAATGAGCACTGTGCACACCCCCAGAACCACCACGGGCCAATCAGCAATCAGCTCGGCGTAGCTGTAAACAAGGAAGAGGCTGTTGGTTCGAGCTCAGTGACGACTATGAACCTCTGTGAGTTTAATATCAATCAATAAAAACTTAATTTATAGAGCACTTTTAAAACATGGATATGCAACACAAAGTGCTGTACACACACAGAAAAATAGAGCATAGAAAAAAAACAACCCTCCATACTACACAGACACACACACCTGCACATGACAGGTATGACACTGAGGATTGAGGTAGCGCCATCTTTAGGGCCCTCCACACTGGGAGGAGTTGCAGGCTGTGCCACAAGGGGAACCAGCGCCCAGGCCCCTTGACCCTGGCAGACAACAGCCAGGCCAACTGCACCAGCCCAGACACAACTCCCAGTGTGGAGGACCCCCCTAAGGAAACACTGCAATAAAGCTAAAAATAAAAGCATTAGATAGGATAGTCCCATTAAATGAATAAATATGGAGCTAAATGCCAGTCCTGGATATGAAGAGGAAGAAAACATTCATATGTGTGTATGTGACAGATGCAGGGTTATCATCATGAGCCTGCCAGGTGTGAAAAAGACCAGGAAGAAAACAAGAAATTGACACGAGAGCGAAGCTGAGTTCAGGTTTGAACTGAACGACTGGAGAACTGTCACAGTGAGCGGCATCGCTGTCACATAAGAAGTAGAGAGTGCTAATACAGCTACAGTTACAACAGGCTGTATATCAACTTGTGAACCTTACTTGTACCTTATTTCAAACCCACAGTTTTAAATCTTGGTGTAAAAGTTGACAATGATTTTAAATTGGATCAACAAATCAACTCTGTTGTTAAATCCAGTTTTTATCATCTGAGGCTTTTATCCAAGATTAAATTCGTTTTATCTTTTAATGATTTTGAGCAAGTAATTCATGCTTTTATTTCCACTCGGTTGGACGACTGTAACGCTCTTTACGTTGGTGTAAATCAAGCTTCTCTCACACGCTTACAGTAAGTCAAAAATGCTGCTGCTCATCTTTTAACAGGTAAACGAAAACATGACCGCATCACTCCTATTCTGGCGTCCCTACATTGGTTTCCCGTTCATTTTTGAGTTCATTTTAAGATTTTACTGTTTTGTTTTTAAATGGATCAGCACCACAGTACATCACTGACCTCTTAAATGTTTCTGCAGTGTCTGTTCTTTTAATTTTATTGTGCAGCACTATGGTAAACTTGAATGTTTTTTTAAATGTGCTATATAAATAAAGTGGATTGGATTGTGAATCCGCAAGAGTACATCTCTGGGGACAAACTTGTGGTCGGGTCTCACTGGGGTCTCTTCAAATATAAACAAAGACACAGCCTCATTCACCCACATTAGCCTCTAAAAACAATAAATAATACAAAAATAACTGCGAGGCGGAGTGGCAGCACACAGAGAAGCAGAGCTGGAGGGACGTCAGAAGGACTTATTTCAGCCTTATTGTCTTTACCGAGATGAAAGTTTTATCCTCTCAGGCCAGGACACTGACAGTGGAGTTCACAGCTGTTTAACAGAGAGATAAAGAGGAAAAAAGACTGCTGCTGAACTGAGAGGTGATCAGGTACGGAGAGGTGAACGACTCTCTCATGACTCACAGTTAAGGAATGACAGCTCTGTGGGAGCAATGATGGATGAGTGACATGAATAAAGGGAGGAGGAGGAGGAGAGAGCTGTGCAGTCCAAAGCATCAACACAGCAGAAACCATTTTGGCACCTCTTACCTTTTGGGGAATCGAATGGGCCTTGCAGGGCTGCAAAACAAACGGAAAGAGAGATTTCAGGTTAATGTTTGGAAGTCATAGCAACAGCAGATCCAAACAGGTTTGATTTGACTTTATTCTAAGGTTCTTTTTCGTTCATTTTCAAGAGATAAAACAACAACAGCTTATTACATTTAAGCTAATTATTCTATAGTCATCCAGGAGTCATGTCCAGCTTTGATCAAGCCAGCATAACACTTTGGTTGTAGTGCTGTACAATAGGAAGAAAGTCCCTTACTTTCCCAACATCAGATATCAAAGATTCCCCACAAATTAAAAGAGGAAGTCTCATCCTCAGCCCGACTTGTAATTACAGCCTTACACACCAGGATTAGAAGAAACTAAATTATTTCCTGCTGTTCCTTTAAAAGGATTGGTAGACCTCCTAGTGGGCACAAAAGTAGACCAGGAGATGGTTGCTGCCCTATCACCATACTATAATTTCACACTTTCACAAATAATGTGTTCTTGCTCTAGGGTTCGTTTTGCAGTCGAACAGTGGACAGTAGGAAGCTCCTGTACTAAATTGACTACAAATGAATGCAGATATGTAAATATGTCGTAAGATTGTATAAGGCTGGGCGATAAACCAAAAGTGACTGATACCGAAATTTACGACAACAACCGACGTCATTTTGCCCATTTGGTATATTCGGTGTCTAGAAATAAATAAAGTTGGTTTTGGATGTGTGTAGGTAGGCTATGGTCTCATGTCCCTTTAAGACGCTGAAGTAGACGAAGTTAATGTGGGAGGGGGTGAGCAGTTTGTGGAGTAGTTATCGTCCATTTATCATTATCGAGGTGAACTGCTCAATAAATCGTGATATTGTTTTGATGCCATATCACCCAGCCCTAATATTGTATTTTAACTCTTTTACTTATCCTTTGACCCTTAAGGGCAGCGCCAGGATTTCTACCTGTTGTCTTTATCAGCTGTGCACACCATGTCTACCATCTCTATAGAGCAAGATCATCCAAGATCATATTGTGTCTCTCAGGATAAAACCTACAGTGACTTTTGACCTAGTTTAAATAAACGATTCATTAATGAAAACACTTAATCCTATAAAACGCTCCTCTACCGAATGAACTTCTTCTCATTGCCCTGGCTTTCCATGTATAGTCTTGAACTGCAGAACACAGACACTGCTTAAATTGAGGAGACCAGTTCCAGGAAATAGTTGGACTGGATTTATATAAGCCCTTTCAGGCATATCTATTTGTTCGCTAAGAATCTGTTTTAAATTCTGGCCTGCAGCGCTTTAATCTGGATCCATTCAGCCAATTGGAAAGATGCGTAGCATACCTAAGTCAGCCATTTGGCAGCCGGTCTAAAGATGAGACTGATGAAGGCTGATCAAGCCACTAGTAATAATTCTCATAAAACTTAAACAAACCATTATAAATCTGAGTGATGCATTAACGATCCGGCTGGCAGAAGCAACAGCTTGGCACGACCCAGAGCAAATAAGTTTAGCTGTGGCGGATTTACGAGTCTGTTTCCAAAAAAGTTGTGATGCTGTGTAAAATAAAAAGTATAAAAAACCGAGAACTGTTTCTTCCTGATGCAGATACTATCCCGGTAATTATGATTGATAAGGTATAAGAAGTTATAAGACTTGGCAGCACATATATGAGCTGCTATAAGCAAGGAAAATAAAATAAATATAACAATAAGTAGAAATGCTAAGTTAGGATTCCTATCTAACCAGTACCATGATAGAATAGCTGCCTTCTGCCTACCTGATCCCAGGTGCTTGGTTCTGCAGGTGCTCCTGCCAGCTCTGGTGATTGTGCTGATGGAGGCAGAAAGGGGACGGCTGATGGATAGGATGGGGATGGGGGTGGGAGTATGTACTGGCAGGGTGGCAGCAGGGGTAAGATGAATTGGTCCCATGGTTGTGTATGGAGCCAGACCCAGGTCCAGTCCCGGGGTTCTGGAAGCGCAGACATTCCTGCTGCTCACACGGGCAGCAAAGGGGGGACTGGAAGCGACAGTGCTGGCTGCAGAAGTCCACTGACGTCTGGAGGGAAGGGGAGGGAGAGCACGCAGAGGGGGTGGAGGGAAGGTGGCGTTTGCCTAGCCTCTGGGAGTCTATGACACTGGGGGAGGCAGTGGTGGCAGAGGATGGGGGAAGGTATGTCAGAGATCCGTTCTGTTTGACCACGCCACCATTTTGAGTTGATTTGTTTGTTCTTTGGACAGCATGGGGTTTTTGCCTCTTCTGCTGTAAATTAGGTCCTCCAACCTTCGCTATGGCGTTTTCCTCTCCGTCTGCAGCGGAGTAATCGTCACCGGAGACAGCTAAAAGATGGTCTTGGGAGTTTTTAACCAGTGTGCTGTTGCTCAGAGGGGCATTTCCGATGGCGCTGAGGGGATGGTGCTCTGCACTGCTGAAGGCCATATGATCACAAACCGCATCACTCAGAGCCATCGTCCTGTTCCAGCGGGCCTGACAAGGACACCGTCAGTCTTCTGAGGGAGAAATCGGAGAGAATAAGAAGTTTAGCAATTTCCCATTTTATGTCGATATAATATAACAGAGAATGAGGTTGAAAACGCTTAAAAGGCTCTTTTTGTTCCTGTTACATGAATCTGATTCTGTTCAAGGTTTCTGCCTATTAAAGATAGGTCTTGAGTCTGGTCCCGAAAAGGCCTCTGCTTGTTAAAGGAAATTCTTGAGTTTGTTTCTGCTCAAAGTTTCTGCCTTTTGAAGGAAGTTCTTGATTCTGGTTCTGCTCGAGGTTTCTGCCTATTAGAGGAAGTACTGCTCAAGATTTTTGCCTGTTACAAGGAGATCTTGATCCTGGTTCTGCTCAAGGTTTCTGCCTGTTAAAGGAAGTTTTTCCGCTCCACTGTAACTCTCTAAATGCTGTAAAGTGTTTCACTCATGTGGTCTGATCTGACAAGATGAGGTTCAGTCTGATCCCAGTCTGAGCGAACCTCTTTACATTGGGTCTTTGTAAACAGAGTCTGGTCTAGACCTGCTTTTATTGTTAGGCGTCTTGAGATAACATTGTTGTGAATTGGCTCTGTATAAATAAAGATTGATTGATGATGACAGATGATGTACTCAGTCAAACAAACCGAGAAAATGCCAGAAACTGCACACACGATAAGGAGAGCTGTTTGTAGTGTTGCTGAGTATTGTCAGGATCCTGATTAACATGCTTTGAAACTGATTTAATAATGTGTGGAGAATAACAGACATACCAGAATAATCTATTACAGTACCTTTGAATAATTGTTAAATAATAGTGTATGCAATTTTATCGTGGGTTAGAAAAAGGACTCAAAATGAGTCAAACATTTATTGCATTCATTGCTCTGCCATGAAAGGGAAATGTGGCTTCTGATTGGACCTATGCAGATACAGACAGACCAAAACAAAGATGGCAGCTTCAGTCAGCGTACAATAGAAATAACACTGTTTCACTAAAATGAATAGACACCACAGAAAACCTTTGTTTTTGAGAGATTACATCTGGATAATCTCTGAAAATACACTAATCTTCGCTGTGAGATAGAAAAAAAAAATAGACATTATCTTCAGAAAGCTGCTGGTCTCACAAACTGAGTGGATTTTAAAGTAAATCAGAGAGTTGTGCTGTTTGATTTTTAGAGCTGATATTATGAACATATGAAAGAATACAGGACTGATTCTATCTCCTGTGTGCCATGATTGTTTTCTCAACCCTTTGGCTGTCTCTGGATGACTGAATGACCCACAGAGTTCCCTCAGGACTGGAAATAATCGATTTAAGGGGTATTTGAATGGATATTAAATTTGGAAAATAATATTGCAATGCACTTTTGTTTTACTTTAGCCCTAGTTTGAGAATAAAGAGTTCCTTCTACTTGCCTGATTCTTTTTTGAGGCTGTATCTAAGGAGTGCTGTACTCAGTCCCAGAATGACATGGAGAAGTTAAAAGTTTAACTTTATAATCCACCCAATTACCTAAATACTAGATGTTTTGATTTATGATATGTCCAATGTTATTGATTACAATTGAAAGCCGTTAAAAATAATATTGTGATATAATTTAGGGGCTAAGGTTCTCCGATGGGCTGTTTTGTTTTAGTTAATTACAGCATGAACTGAAGTGACCCCGAACTGTAAAGGATACAATTAGAAGTAATATAATTATAATAATTAATCACTCAAGCTTAATCCAACATGTCAGACTCTGTCTAGACTTTAAAGTGAAACATAATTCTGGTTCTCCCTCATTTTCACAGAAACACCTGCAGCGTCACAGGATCCCGTTCCAGTAAGAAGAACTAACCCGGTCCCTCTCAAACCGCACGGGTCCTCTGCAAGACGATTATTTAGTGTACTCAACTTTTAAGCATCCAAGTTAACCGACCAAAAGCTAACATATGTAATGGTCCCCATGGCAACCGGTTGGGAAAACCGCAGGTGATGACAAAGCACTTCTTCTGCTGTCTTTCATGTTAAGTTTATGATTATGGGGTGTGAGAAAGATAGAGAGACCTAAGGCGACAGGCAGCTACACAACACGCAGCAAGGCATCCTGCATCCCTTTAATTAAAACTAATAGGCAGTAATTACAAGGGATCAGTCAAGAGGCTGTCAATAACCACACTACTTTTATAATAATACCAACAAAAACAACTGTGGAGTTGTTGCAGCTACAAACGTCCCAGCCAGACTGGGGCTGAAGGACACGCTCTCTTTTTCTGCTTGTCAGGAGAGATTTTGGACATTGCAACCCCCCCAGGATACTCTTTCACAGCTCGGCTGTTGAGCATACCAGTTTGACAGAGCTCGCTCAAGGCACATTAGGTGAACTGTGTCATTCCATCAACCCAGGTGTCCAAGGCAATAATTAGGACGACAAGTGAGTCGATAAATAAGACTAGAGAGGATTTATTTAATCATATTAACCCTAGAACACTATCGCAAACATGTTTACGTGATTTTCATTATGTTGCGTTTGTCTAAGTATCATGGGTCCCTGGGTAGCTTTAGCGTTGCCTTTGACATCTTTGAAGGCATATTTGTTTCCCTGATCCAAAACCTGCTTTTTCCTACAGGCGCGTGTTCACAGAGTGATTTTCACCCGGCAATAGTGATACAGGGTAAAGTAGGTTTGTGTGGATTTGATAGCTGCATGAATAAGGTCAGTAAGAGTGGTTCTGGAATTTGCATTCTATCTTGATTTAGTGCAGTGGTTATGAATAACTATCACAAAGTAGTGATTTTCAAGAGAATTCATATAGTGATAAGAAATATTTTGGTCAGCTGGTCATTTTTACTCACTCCAAATCTGCCATATTTTGGTTCTCTCTCCTGCAGCTGTTATTGTGCCAAAGACGCTGAGTCTTCACCAGGGAAGACTTACATGCCCCAGTAATGGGTGGAAAGGAAACTAAGTTTACAGTTTCTATTATTTTTTTTAGGAATTTTTTGTTCATGAATGCCTAATTTTGTTGCATTTTTATATGTTCCCCCTCCGTTTGGACATTACACAGTGAAAAATAAAATAAAACTACTTTAATTTGTCATGTATTGTCCTATTTTGATGACATGTACTTTTTCTTGGGTATATTATTTTGGGTAAAAATCACCCAGCAATAGTGATGGTGTTACTAATTTTAGTGATAGTGTTCTAGGGTTAAAAACACTTTTTATGTGAGAGTCAAGCACAAACGGCTGAAAACCATCATGCTACAAATTGTCATATTAGGATGCCAACATCCATGAGTTGTTATAGTTAAGAGAATTTTTTTGTGTGTTTCCTCAAGCCTCACTTTTTCTTGACTGGCTCCTTGAGATGAAACACACCCCAGTTTCTCCCATGAACTGATTTAAGACTTATACTTTCAAATCTTTAATATTTACTGCAACTTTCTGGAGATACAGTGTTAAGGATATGTTCATAAAGAGTTAAAGGGTAAGTCCTATCCGTTTAGTCCCCTTACAGTCGACATACTGACGCTCTGCAACTCAGACGCATGGACCCACAGACCCACAACTTTCCGAGCCTGGACTTTCACTCGACTTCTGAATCCAGTCAAACACACACACCCTGAGCGAACCTCGAGGATTTAAAGCAAACTTCAGTCCATCTAATGCGTAAATTATGGCGCTCTGACGCCGTTTCTAATGTCCTACCGTGTTTTTTGTCCCCCGGTAATCGCCGTTGGGATCTGCAGCACGCGGCGCCCCGTTACGAACACGAACGACCGAACGGCAGAGGATCCTCCGATCGCAGCCGAAATATCTCCGAGTGCCTCCAACTCCGAAACCCCGCAAAATCCACAACAGTTCACGGGAGGAGCGGATTGTTTTTCATGGGAGTGTGTCCCGCAAGCATGACAAACAGCCACATACACTCACACACATATACACACACACACCCGTACACAAACCCCGGCTCCCTGCCCCTCCGGAGAGACGGAGGCAGGAGGAGGTGGGCTGGGACTGCACCGCAGAGCACTGATAGGACAGTCCCACTGTCAGATTTAACCCACTCACTGCCATGGTGGCGGCACGCGCCAAGGTATCTCTCACCTTTGGGTTTTGTTAAAGACTTAAAGTCACTATAAGGATTTTTGGACTAGTTAACCCTTAGAACTTCCAGCTATATTTTGCAATATTTGGTTCGCCTGTTTTTTTTCTTTTCTTTTTGTAAAGGTCCTTTAACTGCGGGAACGTTTTTTTTGTGCGATTATTTCGGACATAAAAATTTTTTTCGAACCCGCATCCTGTCAATACAAGCGTTCACATCAGCAACATTTTACCATTCTGCGATATTGCGGAATTTATTTTCTCAGATCACTGTCGATTTTTCTAAAGTTTCGCATACTGTGTGTCCATTTCTAACCAATCAGATTTCGTGTTGTTGCGACGTCAGATTCACCGGTGTATCCAACATGGCCGACTGGCTGATTGTTTACGTGCCGGAGAACAGAGTGCTTTTTGATAAAAGACAAATATTACAAAGATAACGACCTGAAGGACAACTTGTGGAGAGTCATAGCGTCGGATTTCTTATATGACGATGGTTTGTGTGCTTTACCAGTTTACTAAACGTCTTTGTTTTAACTTTCATCTGTGCTAAGTAACTTTAGCTCGTAAGCTAACCTGTTCAGATACAACATAACATATGTATTTTAACTGTCTCAAACTCAATCACAGCGTTGCTGTCCCAGCGCCATTAGGTCTCGGTTGTTACCTTACGTTTATAGATTATAGTTTAATGTTCTTATCTGGTACTGACCCTGACTCAGTACATGCTATCATGAGAGACAGACATCTCAACACTAGAGTCTAATCAGAACTGAAAAACAGTCAGTCTGCTGTTGGGTCAGTGTTCTTGCTTCCACCCGGGACAGAGTTATTGACAGGTGTAGAAATGCCTGGAAACCCCCGATAGATCGCCAAAAGGGTAAGCTTTTGAACACTTTTTTAACCCACGGAGATACACGGTATAGTTCCTGAGAAACTCTAAACAATATTAACGTGTCACGTATGATCGCCGGCGATCCAGCGGAGTTCTAAGTGTTAAAAAAACACAACAAAACTGATATTGACGTCTTTAAAAGCGAACCAGACCAACAGCAACATGGATAATAATTTCAAAACTCAGTATCACTGGGATTACTTTGAAGAAAAGCCACACTCCTTCAACATTTGGTGTTGATTTTGACAAAGAATTATTCACTTATCTTTTTTTCCATGTGCCAAAGACCAAATCAGTGCTGTCAGGTTTGCATATTGTATAAAGAACAAGTACTGGCCAGCTGCAATTATTTGGCAAAGGAACAAGATCATGTCCCAGACTTAGAAACAGAGGCAAGTTGTTTCACTGGCGTTCTATGCACAGTTTTGCACACAACTAGTCCCAGCCTGGCGGCAGATCTAACCCGTCACACTGTTTATCAAATGGGAGAAAACGTGTTAAGTCCAGCAAATGTGACTCTTATCCAAATGGAAAAGAAAAGATCCTTATTTGTCGAGCATTTGGGGTTGGATATGAAACACAAACAGGGCAACGGGGAAATTTGGCAGAACAAAGGGGAGCAGGATGGTCTCCTGATAAGAGGCAGATGGACTGAGGAGCTGAGAAGGACAGACAGTTCAGAGCTCTGCTTGGGAGGAATTCAACGGACAGATGTGTAAGTGTGTAAATTAGTGGAAGAGAGTCCCCTTTGAGAGGACTTAAGTTAACGTTTGCTCAAAAGGAGAACAACCTTTTAAGAGCTGCTCAAATATACTCAAACTCTGGAGCCTTTTGACACCTCTTCCATCTCCTCTAGGGATGTGAACTCTGTACACAGCTTTGGTCTACACTCTTTATCACCTCAACTTAAAAACTACAAAAGTAAAACATCAGCACAGATGATAAACCACCATTTATACCTTTTTTTTTGTTTGTTAAAATAAGACCAAAATAATAACTTTCAATGCAGTACGGGTTAGGGTCACCTGATATCTCTAAAAGCATCTCTGAAATCAAAAAACTCTATTAATTTAAAGTATTTTTATGACATTTTAATTTAAAACAAATTCAAACCCTGAAGTAGGACACATTAAAGTCATGATAGCTTGGCCTGGATATTTCATATATAATAGAGCACCATGTCAGACAGTAGGAATCTGAGGCAGAAATGGGCCGTCATGACTCTGAAGAGAAACTGTGATAAAACTTGAAAGATCACATCTGTGTGTCAAATTTCTCAGGGGGGCCCTCGGGGCCTCTAAGGCAGGGGACTGCAGCCTTGGGGAGCCAAGAGAGAAAAAAAATCATCATCTTATCTCGTGGGCTGAAAATGTCCGAGAGGTGTTAGATCACATCCTGCTGCGATGGTACGAAATACTGGGATAGAGGCTGAGATGTGGGGGAGGACCGAGTAAAGGAGGGAAACACCAAGAGAAGGATGGAAAGAGGGAGACTGAGGTGTGGAGATAAAACACTCTCCCTTTTCTTTTTTAAATACAAACTTGAGAAACGTATCAAAGCTTTAAGCAGGCGCACACGACAAGATAATGCTGCTGATTTTGAGTTTGATTCCTCCTTCCCGACAAAAGCTAGTAAAGGCCCGGTTATCCGATGGTCGTAAAGATTATCTTGCCAGATTAGGTGTGTGAGGAGTGATTTTTCTTCCCTCCAGTCTGCAGTGTGTGATACTGAAGGGTGTTCCACATGTTTTGGGCTTCATTTTGTTAAGGGAGGTACAGGGCCAAACCACACCACGCTACAAAACGCCATCTGTCACCTTTATTTGTAGAGCTTTGTAGGATTTGATCGCAGGTACAAATTTCAGCTACAGCTCTGTCTAAAGTCAGACTCCATGATCTTTTTTCTTTGTCACTGTATTGTTCTCCTTCTGAACTCTGGTACTTCTCACTGATACTTCATAAAGGCAGGGATGTTGTTGGCAGGGAACGGATTATATGAGGTCAAACAAGAAAAATCAAACATGCCAGACTTTCTGTCAGGAAGTTGAGAGGTGTCACACATGTGGAAGAGATTTCTGTTCACTATAACACACTATAGAAGAATAAAATGAACCGTTTTGGGGGCGCTACATTTACCAAGTGGATAATAATCATGATTCTGACATGAAACAGGAATTGAACAAGATGAATCGTGCTCAATCTTACCTCCAATTTCCACCTCACCCAGAACAGCTACAAAAAGGCAGTATCCGCCGATCGCAGCTGATCGTAACCATTCAAGTTAACGTGTCAATTTCCACCGGCTTCTTTCCGTTCCGCTACGGATCGCTGGACTTCGCAGCTGATCACAAGAGTTCTATTTTTTCTGGACGCCGGAGCATGCCGGATAAATTCAGCACAGATTAACCTGTGCTGGAAAGTTGGGCACAGACACAAAATTGAACATCCAACTTCTTTTCAAAATAAAACACTCCGTGTTTCAGGCAGATCGTATTTTATACCATGCAAACGGGCGGAGACAAACATGTGAAAGGTTTATAGACAACATTTCACCCCGTTGACACCATGAATGAGGAGATGCTGATTCTAGGAATGTCGCTAGGAATTGACGGAAGGCGAAAATCGCCACCGTAGCCGTTCTGGATGCAGTAAAAAAATTGGGGGTTAGTCTCATCACCCCCTGGTTAACTAGCATTATACACACAGCCATACGGTGCAATGCAAGGATGACCAGAATAACTATTTGCATGCCCTGCTTGACTTCACCATACTTTGTGCTGCTCAGGGTTCGTTTTCTGTCCGTGTTCCTCTCATTGGAGAGTGAGCAGAAAGCTGCACCATGAGAAAAAAAACAAAAAAACCTTGGCATGGCCCCACACTGACTGAAACAGAGATGCTGGTGCCAAGGCAAACCGAGTGACTTCATCCTGTGTCGTCTCACCCAAGGACAAGCGGGGAACTGAAAGACTTTGGACGGTTTGGGAGGAAGACGAGCCGAGATAAGAGTTTCCTTTATACTTGTCCGTACATATACACATATATGACATGAGGTACCTCTGCGAACAAAACCAGGTATGTCTGCATGTGCATGAGTCAGCTGGTGGTTAGTGCCCAGTTAAGGGCTCTTCCCACTCCTCGAGGAGAGGTGTGCGCCAAAGAGACAGGATCCAGGGCCTCTGCAGCTGCTCGCCCTCGACACACACCCACACACAAACACACAGACACACGCACAAAGCAAAGTTTGTTTCACATCTCTTTCATTGCCCTTGTTGTCTCCATCTGCCTGACTCATGCTGCCTTGAATCCTCTCTCTGTCTCTGTCTCTCTTTTATTTCCACAGTCTAAGCTGCTAAGATCAAACAAAAACAGGGATGATCTTACAGGTTGTTACAAAAACGCTGAACTAATAATGTACTACCTTTAAGAGCAGCACAAATCAACAAAGGAAAGTACTGCAAATCAGATACACATACCCTAAACTAAGGGTGGATATTGTTTGGATTTCATTAGTACTCATATCTATACCAATCGATCTTTAACTTCATCTTTTTAGAGCTGTTACTTAAACTTTTCATCTGCAAAGACCTACCACGAAGGCTCGGAAACATGTGCTGTAAGTCACATTTCATCACTGGGTTTCTGCAGGTTCCAACAAGTCAAAATTAAGACTTTTTAAGACCGTAATGAATATAATGTAAGATCCATTTTACACCCATACTGGCAAAAAAGTACAAAAGACATGAAGGGAAATCTGAACATTATAAACTAACCTTAATCTTTATTTGTAAGCAACATCAGTACATTTTTAAGACCTTTCAAGTTTGTATTTAAAGACATTTTATGAGGTTTTAAGAGAATTTAAGACATTTTAAGACCCAGCAGAAACCCTGATATCAGCAGGTAAAGTGACAATATCCTAAACATGCTAACAGAACTAAACAGGGAGCCAACTGGGCACTCACATGTTTTTGGTTTTAGGCACATCTTTGAGAAAACTGTGTGAGAAGCTTTATCCGACTTTGTATCACCAGAAATGCAGCAAAATGAAGCACTTCAGACAAAGCAGGTCCAATGTTGAAATGAGGTTCTTTACAAATGCCAGTATGAGATAAATAAGTGGTTTTTGGAGTCATTGAATCATGCAAAAAATGAGCTCACTGAGTCTCCTTTAAAAGTTCAAATGAGGAACTCTTGAGAGGATTGCAGGTAGAAGGAAATAAAAGTTGGACGCTGGTTCTCACTGCTCACGAATATTTAAGTTTGAGTGATGCTCGCTGTCCAGACAGCTTTTACTGGGGTAAGAAGGAGCCAAAGATGCTGTCTGAGATCATGATTCAAACCAAAAACACAAACAAGATTTAATTTAGGAAATAAGTCAGGGTGCACAGAGGACGAAGTTGGTATTCGGACTGTGAAGTGTTGGTCTGGACCCCACAGGAGGATGGATATTGTGTGAAAATGTGTCTGTGCAAGTTTTTTTAGAGGAAAAGTGTGTGTCTGTGGGCCTGTTTGTGTGTAAAGGGTCGGGTGTTGGGTGTCAAAGCTAGTACCAGCAGAGCGTAATGGAGACATGGTGAGAAAGCCGTGGGTCTGACACCAGTGGGCAAGATGATAAATGTGCAGTTTGACAAATGGATCCTCGGAATAATCCCACGTATGAAATCCTCTCTCTCACGCACAAAGTTGGGAAATTCATGTTTGAATGTGTATAAGGGAACTTAACTTCCTGCTTAACATCACCATCTTTGTTAAATAAACTAACCGTACCGGGACAATAACGGCGCCCCTACTCCTCCGATCAGTTTGTTCACTACACAACACCTGATTCCTACGCAGCATTGAGCCTCGTTAACCAAAACAACCCCGACATCAAACAGGAAACTGATACAGTGCTGGAAAAGTAAGGGTGCGCAGGTGTTCTTTGTGAGTACAGGTGTGTGTAACCTAGCATACTTGGGACTATGTCCAAATGTGGGCTTGTAGAGATCTGTGAATCCGTCTGAGGGAAGTCACTGCTTTGCCACATCTGTCTGTCAGGACACTTGCGCCGCAGAAATTAACCAAAGGCTCATGAGGGAGTTATTGTCTGCACCTGGCATGCATGCACACTTATTGCACCGGGGGGCGTGTTTGCAAATTTCTTTTCAATTTGAAGAAGAAAAACAAGTTGTTACAATGATGAATCAAAACGCTGCTTTGTGGTAACGGGAAGAGCGGCGGCAGCAGAGGGGAACGGTAATAAACCGAAAAATAAAAATAAGTGGAAAGTTGTACAGTTTCGGTTTGCCAAGGTGGACTTTACTGGCTGTCTGTCTATGTTCATAAATATTTATAAACACAATATAATTGCTATAAAAGCACATGCAAGGGGGGAAAAAAACTCCACACCCCAAAATGACGGGGCCCCAGGCTCGGTCTGGTATTCGTCTTAGAGTTATTAAAAATGAGGGGGAAATAATTAGTGACAGGCTTATGGAATTACATCATGCTCTGGGTCAATGGGCCTCCTAGAAAAGGAACAACAAAGGGAGTAGCAGAGGTGTATCTCCGATCTCTGCAGCTGATGCAGAAAAGACTTTTGTTGGTACAACTCAAGTTTGACATGTGACAAAAATACATCTATACTTAGATTACATCCTCAGATTATTTACATTAGAAATCTATTCATCGTCAGGGGACTTTCGCTGCCCCTGGGAGAGTAAACCGTTTAGCAGTGAGAGGAACATATGATGGAACAAGTGGCCATCCCAGGGTTCCTCAGAGATTCCTGGGAGTTTGCTTTCCCAGTGTGCATTGCATGTGTTTTCTGCTCCTACCAAAGTGACCAAAGTCAGAGATCTGTGCCCACATCCTCGCCACAGAGTCACACATGTTTGTGCTGGCTGCCGCAAGGGTTGTCCCTCATCACAAAACTGTTTGGGATTTTCATGGACAGGATATAAAGGCGCAGAAGCTGACCCTCAGCAGTGAGTCTTATTCATAAATATGACATTTTAGATTTTTTTAAATACTGGAGGTTTTGACCACCACAGATGTAACATGACTTTAAGTCTTCCTGTCTGAAGAGCTCCTGTGCAAAGGTTATAATAGTTTTGGACTTTTCATTAAAGTTTAGTTTTATTTAATTTCTCTAATTCAGTTAGCTTTAATTAGCTTTTATCAATAGGAAATTGACAAAAACAAAAGCAAAGGGATTTAGCTAGTTTTGTAAAGCCACATTATAGTTTCAGTAAGTTATTGTTCTGTACTTCAATGATGGTTTTTATTTATTTCAGTTAACAAAAATATTTTTTAATTCCAGTTTTCGTTATTTCGTTAGCTTTCATAAATGATAATAACCCTGTTCTGAGTTTTGTGACTTGGAGGCATGCAGCCTATTTGTAACTGATCATTCACTACGTCACTATTTAATATGATACTCAAGGTGTTTTGCGTGACTTTCAATTGTCCAAACATAAAAGTTTTTTCTCATGCTCATATCAGTTTTAAGCAGAGATAAATTTTCTGTTGATTTCATACGCTATATGTGTCCGAACACATCACAAATCCACTGTTATCTGTTGCACCACTATTTTCCCTTCAGGCTATCCTTGAGTGCACTGAGTTGTATTTGGCAGAAAACTTCCATCCATGCATTGCCCAAAAAAAAAAAACCTATGAGATCCAGATATTAAGTCAAGTGGCTCATAAACTTGCAGTTTTCTGGCAGCCGTCGGCCTCTTTCCTGCCAACCCTTCACCTCCTGCTATTTTACATCATATCTGACATTTCAGTGTCTGAGAAAATAATCTTATTGGGTTATTTAGCAGGAATATGAAGAAGCAGGGTGCGCCAAAAAGCTCAGGTCTGAGTTTTGATTTGATATCTGTCCACATGGATTTTCTAATTAGCTAAAAACGGCTTTTTAATGAAACACTGGCGTTGTAGCACCACGGCCTTATGATGTAATATAACCACTTAGTCCGCACAATATACAGAGTCTCTATTCAGATCTTCCTGGAACCCATATCTAGGCTTTGTCTGACACCAGCTTTGCCTACAGGCCTTGCATGAGCTCTGGTCAAAGTCTCTTCCCTAAGCTGACCATTGTTGTGGGGGCTGATAAATATTTACTCTTCCCAGCTTGGCAGGGAAATGAGTGGGAGGGAAGAGACACTCATTGTGACAGAGGGGTCAGAGACACTGACAAGCCAGCAGGGACCTTCCTTCCCCACTGGAGCTTTAAACTCCAATACGCTTCAGGACAAATCTGCTACTCGTAGGGCTGGGACATTCATGTGTGTGGAGAGGGACAGCCGCAGAAAAGGACGCAAAATCAGGAGAAGGAGAAGAAGACAGACCACCACCAGAACTTAAAAAACAATGGAGAGAAGAGGATCGCAACACCAGACAATGACAACCAAAGGAAAATGAATAAACATCCATCCTGACTTCAGTTTAGTGCCATTTTGTAATTTAAAGAAACAACGCAAGTTTGGCCGCTGAAATCTAGGAAACGAATATTTTCCCACTTAGCTTCAGGGTTACACTTCTCAAATTCAATCTGATCATCCTATAACATGAAAATTTACCTACAGGTTTAAGAAAATCCATTTAGGTTCCTTTTTACAAGTTTGTAATGAAAGAAGAAAATTTTCAATAGGAAAAAACAGCATTTCGAGATAGGGCTGGGCGATTAACCAAAAATTTAGTGATACTGAAATTTATAAACTTTACCAACTCTCTTGCAGTTTTAGAATAATACAGAAATGATTTCTAAATATTTAAACAAAGATAGTCCGCCAACTCTGCTGAGGATTTTAACATGTTTCCATCTCCTGCTCCACTGCTGTCTGCGTGTCAGAGCCTCACAGGGACAGACTGACACACACACAAACTCACAAAAATGTTAAATTGATCCAATAAAAGTTCTTTTTTAACAGATTTTAAAAGTTTAGAGTTAAATCAATAGTCAAAGATTAATCATATTTGGCTTCAACAGCGCTAACGCATTGATGTCATTTCACTCCACCTGCGTCTTGTTACATCAATGAGAGGTGTTTTCCTCACACCTCCCTCACATCAAGAAACACAACAGATTATTAAAATCAACAAATCATTAAATTTAATGAAGACATCATCCCAAGTCTCTGCAGCTGAAGTTTTTAATGAGCCAAAAACATGCAGCTGTCTGCCAACATGAGGTTTTGGACAAGAAAATGCCGCCACGGGCATCTTCAGACAGGCGCACTGTAGCATTAATAAACATCTTCAAACCACTCATTAGGCTAATAAAGACTGTTGGATAACCCCGGGCCATGAATGCTGGAACAACAGTCATTTACAACTTCGCTTGATCAAAGTTGAGCAGGCTGTGCTCGGACATTTGGGGGGTTTAAGGGGGGCGCAATAACTCAGATGTCAGACTCAGAACAAATGTACAGTCAGCGCAGTAATCGAGGCAGTCGGAGTGCACAGGTGCATGCTGAGTACAAAGAGTGGCAGACTAGACGAACAAGAATAACTAATCAGACAACGCATCAAATTACCTTCATTTAAACCAACTCTTCTGTGTTTATTAAAGGAATATTCCAGCGTAAATTGAAGACCGCTTGCTTCTCTAGTTATGCCAAGTGAAGTAATGATCGCAGGATAGCAATACACAGTGGTCTATGGATCCACACGCTCAACCAAAACGCCACTCTATAGCCACAAATAATGCTCAGAACAGCACCTAACTTCATCAACAGTGAATATAGGGTCCCAGCCATAGCACTAGCCACCAGACATCTTTTTAGCTTTGTCTAATTTCGATAGCAAAGAGACTTAACACAACTCACCTACTCTCTTCCAGCAGCCGCCGCATGCAGCGGATCATCTCAAATATGTAATAATCACCATATTAATCGTTTTGCAGACGCTGTAGTTCTTCTGCCTTAGCGTCTTGGTCTGATTGTATTTCCATGAAGTAATAATCATCAATGTTCTTCCTTGAGCTGTGAAACTCCACAACACTCTATGATCGACTCGTCAGGGCTCCCCTACAAGCGGCTGCTGGAGGAGAGCGGGTGAGTTGTGTTTGGTCTCTTTGGCAACATTCATCTCTCAAGGGGGTGTCTAACTCGTTATTACGGTGTGTTTGACCGTAAATTAATTTTGCGTCTGAATATCCCTTTAATCAAAAGTATTTTGTGTACAATCACCTCTGTGCTGACTTTTTTTCTTTAACTTGATGCAACTTCACTCTGTTGACACTAAACAAAGCAGCTCCTTGACAGGGATCAGCATTGACCTCTTTCAGGCTCTAAAATGCCTCCTCTCAAAGGCCATAAAGTGGATTGGATGGTAAGAGACGCTGGGCCGGGCTCAAGGCCACGCCAAAGTCTCAAGTCCAGCAGAATCAACAACAGATGCCGTCCATGTCATAAAGCAGCTACAGCTGCTCCACTAAAGCTCTCCTCAAAGTTAACCAAAATTATATACATGCTCTCAGAATAATCACACATGATAATAAATGAAAACAGGCAACAGACACACAATGCACAATCACGCTTTTACACATCTGCACAAACAAACTTGACACACACGCATCGCACAAGGATCTATTCTGTGCGTATCTGAACTGAGCAGTGAGTTTCCTACATCGAGAAATGACAAGGAAGCCGATGTGGAAGAATTAAGAGGGGAGACAGGCTGGCGTCCAACCTGCAGAGCCTTTAACAGAGGGAGTTTTTGGCTGACTGACACGGCCCAGAAAGCCTTTCTGCAGGTCAGGGCAGAGGGAACCAGAAAGACAGATTGAGTGATAGTGAGAGAGGGAGAGAGGTGAGTGTGTGTGTGTGTGTTAAAGACTGCACTGACTGCACTTCTGCTTGAGTTTAATTCTATAATTCATCATGAAGTCATACGCAATATCAGAGACACATTTTATCCTCTACTGTCAACCCGTCAGAGCTACTTTCTTTGTTTGGGATAATCTGTGAATACACTCACACACCATCACACACTGTTTTAACCTCAGACTGTTAAACACGCACGCTTGGAGAGACGACAAATATCTTTAAAGGTCTCTTTGAAGATCGCTTCCAAGATTCATTGCGCTGCTAAAGAGGTGAAGATGTGAATGTTGTTTGTTGACGATCTCCCCTTTGAGACTTTAAATCCACTTTCAAAGGTTTGTGGAGGCTCTCCTGGGCCGTGTGGACTGTGAGCCGTGTGTAGACACCTTTACCTCGCTCACTGACCCAGTTGTAGCGAGGTGAAGAACAAACATCCACCTTTTTTTTCCTCCCAGAGGCTTGTCTGGACTCGCCATACAGAGACAGAGGGGGGAAAGGGAAAGGACCAGGAGTGGCTGCTTTAGAGCTTGATTGCCAACTCTCTGACATGTTTTTTATATTAGGCTGCTTGTGCTCAAGAGACACCGGTTTTTAGAGATTCAGACTTTTGAGCCAAGAGGAGGAACTATTTCTTGCTGGCTCTGCAATGACTACATTGAGAAAACCAGTTTTCTCGGATGTCCATATGGTCAGGCGTCTGTCGGGAGCACAACTGGGTCAGAAGTGGTCTGATAGAAAACACACTGCCAGCTTTGCCAGTCTGTAAAAAGTTCTCAACCTTCGTCCACTTCTTTTGTGGAGACCCGGCGCACGGCTGCACTCCTTCGCCGAGCGTCACAGCTGTGTGCAACATTTTTGAGACCCTTGATTTGCATAGAAATTTGCTTTGAACTTGAATCCTGACGGCTAAACTTTATACGAGACCAGACTCTGTTTACCTTACCTGAAAGAAAACTGAACAAAGATCTGCCTGGTATCAAGATCTAACTAGATTTGTAGTGGAGAAATGGAAAAGAGAGACAATCTTACATATCTTACCTGCAGGATGACAGTAACCCATGCCTGCATCTCACGTCACAGACTCTCAATATCTTCTCGGAAACTTGTAAAATCTGCAAAGAGACAGAAAGGTCACATTCAGTCAAAAAAAACAGAAAAGAAAGACAATGACTTCTTTCTACAGGAGCACCAGGAGACCTCAGAGTCTTTGGACGGCCTCTGCATACTCCGAAACACACACACATGCTACAAACCTGCAAGTCTTTCCCTCTATTTAAACGCATTGACCTCCAGCTGAAAGGTCACACCATTGCTGGCTGCCTTTAGCTTGTTAATAATGACTGAAGCGGTCACTTAAGGGTGGAAATTACACCAGTGAGGAGATGCTGAAGGTGATAATCAGGTAGGTGAGCTGAAGAAGAGATAAGAACTAAATAAGACAAGGAACCATCACAGGAAGGTACAGTCAGGTAGCCCAATAACAGGGTTATGATAGGTCCTCCTGTCGGTCTAATGGCTTCCCAGAACAGAAGGCCATTCAAACACAACATATGGTCCACATCAGCAATTACCAAGGTGTGTGTGAATAGAGAGAAGATGAAGAGAGTGGTGGTAGCCACAGAGGGAGTTGAAGTATGGTCAGATGAGAGAGAGAGAGAGGACTTTCTACCAAGTTAGAGTAACAACCTCAGGTCAGGAGATCTAGTTCAACCTACCAAAAGGGTCAAAGTTCAGCACAGCCACTAGTGCTGATCTTTGAATTGTACACTCAGCTGACAGACATTATTGTTCATATCATTCTTTGTATTCTCTTGACAGAACCTCTTTGTGCTCTTCCTGTACAGCTCCACCTTTTTGAGCTTCTCTCTGTATCTACAATGACAATCATGAAACAGCAAAACTTCTAACATTTTTAAATCCCTTCTTGATAACCGTTGGTTTTTAGGGGTGTTTACACCACCCATTAAAGTCCCAGACTGAAAACTTGATCTGCCGTCATTACTCTCATTTCTGCAAGCCTGTTTGCTGTACTCCTAAAAAATACCAGAGCAAAGGCAGAGACATTAAGCTCAGACAATAACTATAAATGAATAATTAATAACTATTCCAGGAAAGAGGCCGACTCAGAATCCAATTCATTGCTTTCACAATAATAAGCTCAGGCCTGAATTCCTACCTTTCTCCAATTCTGAAAGCATCCCTTTGAGCCCGAGAGGACACAAACAATCTCCTGATTCAGTGGCAGAATCCTTCCCCTTAAGCCACTATTTGCTTTTGCAGCGATGACACAAGTAAAGGAATTTGAGCAATGCCTGTGTATCGTAGACTCATTTCCTTTGAGCCGGAGCCATCTCGAGACAGACAAGGCAGCCCTGAAGTTTTTATGTATTTATTTCTGCGTCTGCGAGTGTCCTTCAGACTCGCCGGTGATGATTCTGGCTTATGTGTCGCATTTTAGACAGCTGATTACTCGTTTCACTAGCCCACTCAGATGCTTGTAAGGATCACATCTTTGTCCTGTGATACCGGGTTTTGTAAGTGAGGCGGCTGCAACAAAGTCGCTCCTGTAGCTTCACAAAGGAGTTTTTGAGGTGTACACTTGGACACCGACTGTAGCTCGGTTTTCTCCCCACCAAGGGGTCTCGGCTAAAAGCCAGGTCTGAGTCATCATATGAAGAAAAAAATCCAAGAAGAGTTGAAGAGGAGTAACAAGGAAAGTTTGACTGGATGATGATGATGAAGCAGCTAAAATTTTACTCTTGGCTGTTCTTTTACAAATCAGCAGATTAGACAGTGGTTGGATTCATGTAGGGCTGGGCGATATGGCCTCAAATCAATATCACGATATATTGAGAAGTTCACCTCGATAACAATAAGGCCATTTCATTTAATGCAATTGCTTCTCAAGGTCTCCTGCAGCATGTAGAGGACAAGTCGACGTCTGCAGAGTAAGAGGGAAAAAGGCAGCCAGTATCAGATAACAGAGGGATATCAACAAAGGAAATCTCAAGTGATGAAAGCTGTGGCATATGAAAGGAACTGAGAAAGCCACGGTAAACAGGCTATGGTAATGTGGGCTTAACAAATTCAATGATCACAGGATGGGGTAGTTGAGATTAAAAAGGATGAATAGACTTCAAAATCAAGTCAGTGCACAGATTTAATCCCATTACAAACTGTATTAGTCACCTGACTGAGCCCACCTTTTCTAGACTCTTGAAATACTTTGACCCAAAGTCTTAAAAACAGATGAATACCCTCACGCATAGGCAAATGTGCTTCCACCCACATCCACTCATGTCAGTTCATTCTGCTAAGGTGGTTCACTCCACAAAGTCTGACAGAAACAATGACCAAAAACACAAACTCAAAACGTACCTTTTTAGTCGTGCTTTTAACTAAATTTTATATCATTAACTTAACTTTAAGTGTTTTAGCATTTATCTCTTTCTAGTTTAATGACAGGAGTGTCTTTTATTGAGCTATTTTGGTGCTCTTATTTTACTATCTTTTACTCTTATTTTATGTTACTTTGTTTTTAGAGTTTTACCTAACCTCCAGTGTTTCCTTATCTTGAATTTCAAAATTTCAAAATTCTCACTGTGCATATTCCTGTTTCCATGAAATCGAACCCTTTTCAAGTGAATGCATTTTAATACATGTTTCTGTTGTGTGGGTGGGAGGTTTGGGTCTTATTGTTGTTAATTGTTGTTTTTAGCCTCCGTGAGGCACTTTGAACTGAATTTTTTGTCTGAAAAGTGCCATAAAAATAAAACTGAATTTGAATTTAAATCACGGGGTGGGAATGAGGGGTTGGGTTGGGGTAGATTCAGGTATTCTTTGTTTCTCTTATTCCTCTGCTGTGTAAAGCACTTTGTGCAACATGATTTTGTATGAAAAGTGCTATACAAATAAAGACCAATTGACTGATTGATTGAAACTCAGACTGGGGCAAGTGGAGGGATAGAAAAACTAAGAGTTATCAGTCAAGAAGCTTTCTGTCTAATGAAGGAAGTTGTTTTGTTACAAGTTTGTCCATGTTCTCTATTATTGGTGTCACTCTTGTAAATGAGATCTCGATCTCAACAGGCTCTTACCTGGTTAGATAAAAAGTTAAAATATATTTATTACTTTGTAAGCACAACATTATCTGGTCATAGATAGAAGGGTTTGGACCAGTCCTGTCTTCTGTAGTTCATTTCTTGGTTGTCGTTTGCACTGACTGCCTTTTGTGATGTATTGTGTCCAAGCGGCATATTTAGTCTGGAGAAATGAAGCCGATGCATAAAACTGCACACTCGGCATGCAGAACGAGATTTTTTCTGGTTGCTCATTTCCCATTCCCATATTTATTAAACAGTCTATGGTCATGTTATTGCCTTGTAAGGGATGCCAAACTAAGAGGAAGGCTTTAAGACCATCACCACTTTTTAATTCTTCCCCTTTCAACTTGAAAACTTGTGTTCGGGCCCCATCTTGTTTGAGTATTAGGGCCACATTAAGAAAAAACTTTTTGAAGACTTTGTTTACTTACGAGAATAAAGTCGTAATAAAATCATTACTGACGAAAATAAAGTTATAATAAAATCATTACTTACAAGAATAAAGTCGTAGCTAATAGCTGTTCTAACCTGTTATTCCCATATTTATTAAACAGTCTATGGTTTTAGTTTATCCTATGAATCTATTCGCCATGAGGTGTTGGTGCCTCTGCAGATGTAGGTTACTGCCGGTGTTGTGCCGGCATCAGAGACAGACGCGATGCTTGTCGGAGCTCAACTCCCTCTGAATCGCAAATGTTGATCATCAGTTGGATTGTTTCTTGAGAAACCATAAAATCCCTCTGAATGGCCCGCTGATGCACCCACTGATAACTCTGCAGTTGACCAGTTCAGACATTTCCACAAGAGCAGCTTTAAGACTTGATTTACTTAAGGACTTTATTCTTGTAAATTACAATTTTATCACAACTTTATTCTCATATGTAATGATTTTACTACAACTTTATTCTTGTTAGTAATGACTTTAATCTCGAAGTCTTCATTTTTTAAATTCTTAATGTGGCCCTAATACTCAGTCGTATGTTTGATGTTTTAACAGTTGCTCAAAAACTTTCTTTGTTTTTGCCAAGATTTAAAAGAAAAATAAATCCAAGTTTCCCCTCTCTCAGATTCGTCTTTCATGTCTATTTTTTTTTTTTTTACTTGGGAGAAAATGACAAATAAGCAACAAAGCAGACCGGAGCAGCTTTGCAGCTGGCTCTGTGTGCCTTCGCTCCGTCACTGTTTGTGTTCCCAGGAGAGGCAGACAAAGCGCTTCCAGGTCTTCCTCTGGCCTGCCTTCACATTACCAAAGGTCAAACTGCTGGAACACAATGCTGACCTCTCATGCCAGAAGTTACTTGGTGGACAAGAGGAAGGAGGGGGACTAGGAAGTGAAAGAGGAGTGACGAATTCCCTAAACAACACCTTCTGAAATAGATTTTGACTATCTAGCATTAATAAACGGCACAGACTTGGTTACATGCATATGGATGACGGCGCTCTCAGATCACAGTGAGCTCATTAGCAGCGGCCTGCTGTTGCATTCACTCAAACTAGACCAAAGATGTAATTTGGAATTTCAAAGAAAGTAGAGAAGCAGGAGGGGGGAGGGGGCGCAGAAATGTTTCCTCAGATGAGGCCGAGCCAAATAATGACTTCCTTTAGCCTGGAAAACAAACAGAGAGGCACTGTGGACAATAGTAGGAGCAAAGATGTAATCCAAGAGTGTTGTAATGCCTTCCACGCAGTGTAATCTATCTATCAGGTTATGTACAATAGATATGGCTTTGGTAGGGCCGGGTGTACTTTGTGGGGTTAGAACATCTGGATCTTGTAATACATGCCTCTGGGGTTTCTGACAGTCCCTTACTCTCAATTGTGCAACAACCCCCTCTCAGTCCATCCACAATACTCCCTCCCCCTCGTTTGTCTCCTCCCTCCTTGTCGTTCATTCTCCATCCTTTACTCCCCTCACACAAGGCCATGTGAAAACTCCCAATAACCACAGACAGGGTAATTATTATTCCGGATTAGGGATTGACTAACATTGTCAGGAGGAGGGCACAGCAAGCAGAACAAGTGGAGAACAAGCAAGGTCTTCCAGCTGCCTTCCATCATCCACGATAATGGACGAGAGGAAAGAAAGAGAGGAACCAAAGACAGAAAGTTTTAACAGCAGAAAACAGCCCTTGGTCCTCTGAACCAAGACCATAGACTGTATATACAATGGACAACTTGGTTCCGCCTTCTGCCAGTATGCGGATTTGAAGCCGAAAAGCTCTCAGTATTTCCGCGATTTGTCTTCATTTCCTAAAACCAACATCGCGCAGTAGCATTGTACGCATTCAGTGGGAGAGTTGCAGAGAGTTGCTGTGATGATGCTCAGCTTCATCAATCTTTGTACACCTGTATCGATATTTGTTTTTCGGCTGATATTGGACCGATACCCGATATCAACATTGTATCGGGACAGCTCTAACTTAATTAATCAAAACCCCATTAGCCTGCTTGGCTAAAGTCTACCACTGTATGTTCATGGTCGGATACTTTGATTGTGGCAACTTGGGTGTGTCAAAGGTCTCCGTCACCAGGTCATAGTGTCACCAGGTTGTGCAAAAGATTGGGGGTGGAGCCAAATAAGGGTGAAGCCTCTCTGCCGGCGTTGAGCTCTGCCCCAGACTGAGCACTACAGTGAGGGCTGCTTGAGTGCAGTTGACAATTTCACACCAAGCAACTACATTCAGTGAGCAGCAAATGCATTAGTGTCAGCCCATGGGGGTGTGGTCTTAAAAGTCCCCTCAGAGACTTAATCCTGCCCATACACCCATGAAGACCTGCAGATGACTTTAAAACTAAAAAGGCGGTAACCATGTAAAAACATCATTACACCAACAGAAGAGATCGAACACCTGAGGAGACCGATTACAGTTTTAAACTCGACTCTGTCTTAGCAGAAACCGGTTCAAACTATAAAAAAAGATGTTCAGACAAGTTTTGAGGATCAGGCTGACCTCTGCCCTCTGCCACAGCCTTCCTCAGTTCACCCTTCATCTGCACCATCTACCTCAGTACTGTGGTATAAACAACAGACCCCACAAGGTCAGAGTCCTTGGGCCAGGTCCAAGATAGCTCTCTTTCTTCCTCCCTCCCTTCCTTCACCCTGTTAAACCCTCTCTGGACTATGTCAGACTAATGAACAGCCTTTTAATTGTTTTAAGGCATGAAAGCAGATGGAACCATGGGACTATTTACTGCATGAAAAAAAGGGGAAGAGGGCAGTTAAGTTGAAAAGGAGGAGTAAGAAACGCACTCTTAAAACGTCTCTGGCTGGGGAGCCTAAAATACTGTATGACTTGCAGTTGCACATTTTTCCAATTTATCTCTTATTAAATTAAGGTTTCAGACTCTTGGACGCCTTTCAGGAGAGTATAGCAAGAAGAGGAATATGAAGACACAACCGCAGCAAAATACACATTTCAAAAGGAAGAGCGAGGTTTGCACAGGTCCTAGTGAAACACTCAGAATAATATCGGCGCCAAAGATACAGGTGAGCTGGAAGGGCAGGACGGAAATATACAACCAGATAAAAAGACAACAGATGGACGCTATGCTAACAGTTTTTACTCAAATTACTTCTATATGCTTGAAATAGTTTGACAGCGAATATGACTGGAAACAATGGTTGAGTAAATGTTTGTGTGCATGTAAAACCTTCATTGTCATCCTGTTCTTACTTGTGTATGAATGGATGACATGACGATATTAGAGGGGGTGAAACTTCGATTGTAAAATTTCAAGGTTAAAGTCGAAACTATGTGGATAAAGTTGAATTTTCGAGATGAAAAAGGAAAGTTTCGAGATTAAAGTCGGAATTTCGAGATTGAAGTCAAAATTCGAGACTTAAAAAGTTGAAATTATGTCAATAAAGTTGAATTTTCAAGATGAAAAGTGGAAATTTTGAGATAAAGTTTAAATTTTGAGATTACAAAATGTTGAAATGTTGTGAATAATGTCAAAATTTTAAGATAAAAAAAATAATCTTAAATTAAAGTCATATTTTTGACTTTATTCACATAATTTTGAGTTTTTAAATCTCGACTTTTTTAAATTTCAACATTAATTTTTAAATGGAAATGAAAATAATCTCCCTACTGTAATTATTTTTTTCCCTTCTTGTGGCCCTAATCCTAATCTCTTCCATACAAACCAATATTCACTTTTTTGTTGCAGCAGAATTTCCTCTTCCTCTCACTGCAAAAGCCTCGTAATTAATCTTTATTTTTACTATTAATAAAGGTGCAAAGTGAAAAAGACCTGAGCGCTTGCTGTTTTTGATTCCAGGTTGTTACTAATTTGTTGGCTGTTCTTCAGTGTAGTATCAACTTGATCAGGAAATATTTCCTGTTTCCAATCAAACAACCCAGAGTATGATTTATCGAAAAAATCTAGTCTAATGCCTTCAACTTATTTTTTTAGGAACAATGATGAACTTTGTTGAGTGATGAAACAGAGCCGGCTGGAAATCAAAGGCAAATGTTGAGAGCCCCTGAGAGTCAGTGTTGAGTTACATATTCCATATGCCCGGCGTTGCTCAAATTGGCTCACACTGGTTCCTAAGGGGGCAAGCCCTTTCAACCGTTCCACACAAACGGGGCCGACTTCACAGCACCTTTACTATATCCGCTCTTTAGTGTGAGAAACAGGAAGGTGGTGGGATTCAAAGAGAGTGAGAGACAGACTTGGAAAACAGAACAGCTGGAGAAAATGTTGGTGTTTCTGCTACAGACGGCACAAAGAGCTGCTTTCTTATGACACACTCGTATCTCGCTCACAGTAACTGAACTTTTCCGCTAACTTTAAGGGGAAAAAGTCCAATAACAACAATCTTTTAATCCATCAACTTTCCACCCCTGTTTGATCGATCGAATCTGCAAAATTCACTTCAATCCAGATCACGGAAACGTTGAGATGCCAATGTCACCCCTCTGTGGCCTCTACATAGCTTGCTTTTTGCGACACAGCTATTCTTTACAGAGCAAAACAAGTTTCTGGCTGGAAAGCATATGAGCCAAATACGACTGGACAAGACCCCATAGCTTCAGGGTCAGGCCCCAGCAAGGAACATGTGTCTCCAGGAGGGGAGGCTTTGTTGCTCCCTCAGCCAGTTAAGATTCTCCAGTTTGTGCAACAAATCCTAATGAGACTGCTCCCTGTGGGGGGAACCAGGGCCTGTCTGACGGGATTTGTCTGAAGAGCTAAACAACCAAGGAAAGACGTGAAGCAACCATTGGCTTTCACCCTCGTCCTGTAACACATAAAGAACAGGGATTGATTAAAAAAAAGGAAAGAGAAACAGAGCTACAAGCTAATCAAGGCCAGGACTTTATCAGTCATCATGTCAAAAATGTGAGCTTAGATTATTGTTTTTATGATATAACTCGGCCAACATATTACTGCAAAAAAAAAAAAAAAGAAGGAACAGAGTTGGGAAATAATATCCACTTACAGTAAAAATACTGGTCACAAATGCCAAAACGAAACATGGCAAAGTTTCCATCTGGGGTTGATATTCTCACAAACTCAATACAGACCATAAGAATGTTCTGAGAAGAGACAGCAGCAGGACAGAAATAGGTCGACGTTCAAAGACATTCCTCTATTCCTGATCTGTTTTTAGGTACCTTAACCACATTCATTCACTTTCCCTATCTGTGCGCTTTCTTTTTCTGCAGAGAGCTGCGAGAGAGGGGAATTCTTTGTAGCAAAGCTCAACTTTAGAGTCACACAGTCATATATTACAATGATACACTCTGACAACTCTATTGACCACACTAGACTTCAGCAGAGGGAGAATAGTGGCACTAATGCGCAACACCTGTTCCTTTTCGGCATCCGTCAGTATATCAAATATACAAACAGTGACAGCTGTGGTGCAGTGATATGACAAGGCTCTGGGTCTGCTCCACGCTAAAGAAAAAGAAGCAGGGGTGCTCTCTCTGTTCACCAGGATCAGGCCTCGTTCAGGTCGACAGCTGAAAGCAGAGGAGGGTAGTCAGTCTTACTTCACACAACTTTTTTAAAGAGCTCTATTGATTTCCTTGAAACCAAAAGGAAAAGGTCATATCAGGCTGCCTGAATCCAATTACGAGCTCCATAAAGACAATAAGAGAGGAGTTGATGTGATGGATGGACTGCAGGGCCTGCTTAAGTTTAACTTCCCCTGACAGGATCATTTATGTGCAAAAGACACGCCCTAGACGTACGATCAGACACAATCAGGGAATCCTTCTATCTCTATGTTTTTATCTTTGTACGAGGAAAGCCTGCATTATATCATGTCGACAAGTGCGCTCACACACAAGGCGACTGAAATCGTACTTAGAAACATTTGACCCCTGATGACCCAGAGAGAGTGCTCCGTAGTATCACACCTTGGCAGGGAAAACTTACCCGCTGTCGATCAGTATCAGGAAATAAATCCTACTTTACTTGAAAAAACAAAAAGTAAAAAGAAAAACACAACATGATCAATACTCCAGGGTCCGACAAGCTGTTCATGATTAAGCTTAGAGAAATTTACTCCACACTGAATTACAGGAGGAACTCAGAGGGTTGTGCTGACTTTGTTGGCTTCAAAACGTCACAGACGCAGTACAAACATGCATGTTTTCTACGTCAGCTGATACACACATTATACAGTATCAAATAAAGCATACAGTAGATTGATTAGACATCTCTATAACCATAAACCGTAGTACCTAATCTCCCTCTCAGTGCAGCAGGTGATCTCCTGTTTCTGTCACCCTGCATGCATCTGTCTACTGTTTGTTTCTTGGAAACAATGAACTGTAAGTAGGAATTTCCCCTTGTGGGACTAAAAGAGTATCTTATCTTATCTTATCGTGTTAATGTTTAAACTAACGAAGAAGTTAATATGTAAATTGAAAAATGAATGAAAACTATGAGGAAATATACTGTAGTTTATTTAAAGGGATATTCCAGTGTAAAATTAATGTATGGTCAACAGCAAGTTAGACCAACTTTAGTAACGGCCGCACAATAGCAATACACAGCGGTCTCAGGAGCCATAAACAAACCTCAACCAAAACGCCACTCTATAGCCACAAATAATGCTCAGAACAGCACCTAACTTCATCAACAGGACATATAGGGTCCTAGACATAGTACTAGCCACCAAACATCTTTTTAACTTTGCCTAATTTCGTAACAAAGAGACTTAACACAACTCACCTCCTCTCTTCTAGCAGCCGCTTGTTTGTAGCCAGACCTCAGGCCAGTCCATCACGGACTACAGCGGGGTGACTCAGCTCAAGGAAGAACATTTATGATTTTTTCTTCATGGAAATTCAATCAGACCGAGATGCTAACACAGAAGAACTACCGCTTCTGCAGTGAAAAATTATTAATATGATGATTATTACTTCAAGGAAATTATAAAGTTATGTCTGATAGATGTTATTTAGGGTCCATCAAAAATCTCCCCCACAAAGTTGTATTCTCTGTGGTGTCAGTTTTTTAATATCAACTAAATCATAAATTGCAGAAACCCAATCGGCTGTTTTTTTTTACGAGCAGTCATACGAGGTCAAACACTTGCCCTTGCACCGCTCGACGGTGGTGCCTTCTACGCAGCTGCTTCACGTGGACGCCGAGCCATCAGGTGAGCCGGCCAGTTTTTAAGCTTTGTACAAAGTCGACATACAGTCCTATCTTTGTCTTTTATTTTTCATTTGTGGAGTAAAACCTTAACTAATTCCACATGGTGCTTGTCAGATGTTTTGGTGTTGTGATTGTCCGCTCGCTGCGGCTTCGCTTTACCAGAAAATCTACCAAATGAGGACAGACCAAAATATGACAGGGAAAGCAGCTGTGAGAGCCAGCTGCTTGGGTCAGTTGTTTATGAAAGTTCAAGAAGCCAGGAAAGGGTTAGGGAGTGGAAGGGAAAACACAACCGGCTGAAGACACGATGTTGACAGGAAGAGAGAAACTCAAAAAGTTATTAGAAAGAGGTCAAAAGTCACTAAAAGTGTGCACTTCATCACGCAGAGGGAAAAAAGGTTCTTGATGTAAAAAAAAAAGCTCAGGAATCGTGCAAACTTTGGCTTATTCTCCACATTTCACCTCTTCAAACTTGACAACAGCTGTGAGACCAGGCTCAGCTTTATAGATTACCAAGAGTCCATCTCTGGAACAGCATTAGGATAATAAATCCACTAACACTGTGTTACCAATCAATGGACACTAAATTAGTTTTGCATGATATGTAAAAGTCGCAATCGTTCCAAACCTTCTGGGTTATTTCCTGGGATAACATCAGGGCTGATTCGGTCGTCAGAAAAGAGACAGAAGACATGGTGCTTAAAACACCGAAAACCTCATTTAAATCAACGTATCCTTTTTTTAAAATATCAGCTGTTTACACACATCTGTCTCACAATCCCGTAAATTCCTCAATACGTAAGAAAAGTATATTGGAATGACTTTGGTTTTGTGATTTCAATCTAACATTAGGTTTTGCACATCTAAGCAAGCTGCAGAAACACTAAAGATATGACTTTCTAAGACATTAAAATTCATTAAATATGTTTGAGGGCATCATCATGAACGTTAACCTCTTCATTTTAAAATATGTGACTGTCACATGTTGATTTAGGCGGCCAACCAAGCACTTTTCCAGTACATAAGAACAGAAATCACAGCACAGGAGAGTCACTGAGGCTCAGTGTGGGTAAGGCTGCCCCCTGCTGTTCTTTTATAGATCCTACTGAACTGTGAGCAGCAAACGCACAAAAAAATGACGAGATGTGTGTATGAGAAGACTAAAATTCAACACAAACTGAACCTTGGTAGCGGTGCATGTAGGTAGATGCTATTTCTCCAGATACTTACTGTAATTCTTCAGATGAGCTTTGTGTTCAAGTCCTCTTGTTTCTAATAGCGATGTGTTGACTTCACCTGGTCAGCATCCAAGACACTGTGACAAGAGAGAAGCAAGATTGATGAATTAAAATGAGCAGCATTTCAAGGCAGAAAGGATATTATTATGAAAACGTGAGACTCTGGCATATTTGTTGATTTTTTAGACTACAACAAAACCCTGTTTTCAGACAGTCTGACATGACATGACCCAGTTTGGTTTAATGTTTATTTAGTTTAACCAGTTATTTTCCCACAAACTCAGTCAGGCCTCCTTGCTGTTTATTTTCCACCTTAGTTTCTAAACAAGCTGCTGGTCACGTTTGAATGCTGTTCAGAAGCTAAATGAAGGGGATTAGTTCACTAATGCCTGTGAGAGAAACACTTCACAACAAACTAATGGCACAGAGCATAAATGTACACGTTTCTGAGATTTTGTGATGGATAAGTCACTTTTTTTGGTTGATTATTGATTAGGGCAAAACATTCAAACATAAACCATAGAAATACATATTTGAAAAGGAGTGAGAACAATTACTCATGAACTCCGACCCATTCCCTTTAAATAGTAAGTACACACAAAGCTTCCTTGCAACTTGGGAACATGTATTTGATAATTATGATAAAGTACGTTCATGACTTTGTATTACAAAACAAAATCTACATCCACTTTGTTCCAACAAAACAAAATAAAACAAGAAAGAAACAAACAAAACAGACGATAACCTCACAACACTCAGTGCTACCCAACACCTTCCTCATCCCTGTACTTCTTAAAAATAGTGCCTTTATACCTCTTTTTAAACTGTGTCATGTTTGAACATTGCTTTAACTCCATGGAAAACCTGTTCCATCATCTCACCCTACTCACTGAAACATAAAAACCCTTTCTTTGTTTTTTTTCCTCTTTTTACAAAGATCTGGAAATGACTCTATGGGGTAGAGATGTGTTTCAATGAGTTTTACATCAGAGTACTTGTCAGAAAGACAAATACATAACTGGATATGAAGTCAGTGAGTTGAGAAACTTCTTATCAACTCTCCACATCCAGCATCCAGGTGGAAAGTTATAGTTTACACACAAGTAGCTTTTTGTGTGTGACTTGAACTTTTTCGTTAGAACAAAAGATATACATACTAGCATTACTTACTACCATTAAAGTAACTGTACTAATGCCCAAGTAGATCATTTTGGTTTAAATCCCAGGTGTTCATAGGACCCTGTTTTAGTCATCTATTCCATTAATATTAACAAAATGCCGCAAAATTTAATAAGCTTTTAAAAACGCTGTATTCACATAATTGCAAGATACTAACAGTTGAAACTGAAATACAAACAAATAAGTTTTTATCGTTGGTTCAGTCAGGTGAAAAGTTATAGTTCACTCATGAGTAGCTTCTTGGGTGTGACTTGAACTTTTTAGTTCAGAAGATACTTTCTGTAGAAAGTAATGTTTTTTCTACAGTTTACATAGTATTACTTACTACCATTAAAGTAACTGTACTAATGCCTGAGGAGATCATTTTGGTTTTAATCTCAGGAGTTCATAGGACCACGTTTCAGACATCTATGCCAATAGTATCACAGAAATACAGCACAAACTAAATATTAAAAGCTTTTAAAAACTTTGTATTCGCATTAGTTCAACATAGTGACAGCTGAAACTGAAATACAGGCAAATCAGCTCAATTTTGACACTCGGTTTAAAGTTTTTATCGTTGTTTCAGACTGGACCACGTCCCCATTTCCATTCAGTAAAATCCAGTTATCATTTTAGCTTCGGCCTTAACATTTATGTCAAATCACAGTAACGGTCACAAAAACGTTAGTCTTCCGACACCTCATTACGCATTTTTCTGTGCGCTTCTGTGAAAAACTTTAGTCAAACACTATCTGTTTCTTCTCAGAGAGCTCCAAACTCTTTCACTTTCCCACCAAAACAATACAGGGCTGATGTGGGATCTCTCTCCCTCTTTCTGAATGCTAGCTAAGTTGGTGTTAGCTGACCGACGCTGTTAGCCACTGTCAGCTAACACCGCTGACCAAAACAGCTGGATTTAAGGTAGAGGTTTCTCTGTGTAACAGTCCGAGATTATACCCGCCGGTTATAACAGTGAAACACATGTCATAGAGGGGTTAAATGAGAAAAAAGCGTACCTGGTCCCCGACTGTAACGGTGTGTTAGGTGTCGATGAATCCACTCTCTCTCTCCAGGCATCAAATCATGTTGGGTGGGCAGCGGCGCTGATGCTGCGTTCAAGTCAACTCGGAAAACCCATGATTCAGACGAAGTTCACACAAAAAAAACTCAATTTAATCTTACCCGATTTAATGAAGAGTTGTCTTAACTTACACCACTATCTACTACTATAGGGGCATCCAAATTAGCTCTTTAACAGCATCTGTTTTAAAGGGATGTGGGAACCAGCGTGGGGTAAGTTGAGCCAAAGGGTAAGTTGAGCCACCCCCTGTTTCTTAGAAATAGTCAACCTACCCCATACACAGGGTAAGTTGACCATAGGAGACCACATTTTTTTTGGCATGCTATATCATTAAGACAGTTCTGTTTACACTCATTCTGTTGGTTTGCAGGGATGCACAACATCTTGAAATATATGCAGATACACTAGTTAGAGACAAAACTTTGGCTTTTAGTTGAATTTTGTTTTATTTTTTTTTATCTGCATTATGTGTTCTTACCCTATTTTAGATTCAACCTCCAGACACAGCTGGAGGAGGCCAAGCACCAGCTTCTTGAGAAAAACAACCAAGAACTGCAGCTGGATGATAGAATGGATGAAGAAAACGACATCCTGGAGACCACAGTGGATAATCTGCTGATGGAGACATCCGAATTTAAAGATCAGGAGGAGACGTTCAGAGTCATCGGCGAGGACATCAGAGAGCCCTCCCCTGAACTGGACATCACTTCGATGGACAGCGAAGAAGAGGGTACAGTTCAGGAGACACCTGAGATTATCTTAACAACACCTGAGGTCATCACAGAAGCGACTGAGATGGAGTCCATCTCTCTGTGGAGGAGGTTAAAAAAGGCCATGACTCCCAAACATTGCCGCAAATACAAGAGGCAGAGGCAGAGGCAGGACTAAAGAGCCCTGGCTTCTTGCCTGACTGGAAAAAAAGAAATGAAAAAAAAAAAAAAAAAAAAAAAATTGAAAAAAAAAAAAAATCAAAAAAAAAAAAAAAAAAACTTTGCAAAAGAAATTATTGCCGGAAAATTTAAAACTGCAAAAAAATCTTTCCTAAAAATTTTTGCCAGAAAAAGGACAAAAAAGGCTCCCATCTATATTGCTGCACTTGCAGTCAAGAAGAGTAAGTGTTTGGTACATTAATTACCTGTACAAATAAACGCTCACACATTGTTTTGGGATTCACAATCAATCTTGTACATCATCTTTGAAAGTGTCTAATTATTTTATTATGTCTGTTTTATTTCAGTGTATAGGACCATTATAGAGGTTCAAAAAGTCCATGACTACCAAACATTGCCGCCAATACAGGAGGCAGAGGCAGGACTAAAAATCCCTGGCTCCTTGCCTTATGCAAAAAAAAAAAAAAAAAAAAAATTGCAAAAGAAAAAAAAATTTCGACACCACGCCTCAAAATAATAATAAAATAAAAACTCAGTAACTCAGTAACAAATTGTCTCAATTGGGTCATCCAAGCCCGGATAAAGGAGGAGGGCTTGGTTTTGTGACATTAAAAGAAAAAACAAGAACCGACAGAAGACCATCATGAAGGTTAAAAAAGGCCATGACTCCCAAACATCGCTGCCAATACAAGAGGCGGAGGCAGGAATGAAAAAAGACAAATAAATTAAAGACATGTCAAAACATCAGATACAAATTAAATATTTACTCTGACCAGCTGTTTGTGACCCATTCAGAACGTGTCTGCGACCCACTTTGAATCGGGGCCCACCAGTTGAGAACCACTGCTTTAGAGTAACTTCTTAGCCAAAATATTTATAAGAGATCGGGCCAACATATTGCCTCATATACACGTTAAATAAACAGATTCTAACATGTTTTCATCATATCTTGACTAAGAGAATATATGTCTTCTATCCTGGGAATAAATAGAGTTTAGAGTCATTTCCTTACTTTTGGGGGGAAATAGGTTTATATATTTGCAGGGAGGGTAAACACAGTGTTCCGTGAACTTTATCATCAGAATCACGTTTACATTTGTTGGATTTCACTGACTTTGAAAAGGTCCTGAGCAGTAGCAGCAGCAGCCGTGGTGACAGTAAAATATTAAAAACTGCATCCCCGTCTGTTAACAGTAGATCAGTCAGCCACGAGCTCCCCCCGCCCTCCCCGTGTGTCAGGGACTTGTAGTTTTTGGTGTAAAGAACACCGCGGCGCGGCAGCGGCTTTTTGTGGGAGTTAAACTACAGTTCCCTCAAAGCTACTCGGAGGTGTTAGTTGTCAATATGGCTGTTGTCAGACAGACAAAGCGGAGAGGCAAATAATTCGCCTCTGATTAGAAATCCTTGGAAAGGGGTCGGACAGGGCACTGTAATCAAATTGCTGTACAGTTTGGTTGCAGTGGAAACAGGACGGGTCATTGTTCGAGTTACAAAGTTAAATGGTTGAGTGGACAATTTGAACCGAGGTAAGTCATGTACTTAGCTATTTCCAATACTTAAAGTGATGTTATTAATATCAAATGTACGCTAGCCAGCGACAGCGGCTAACGTCGGCTAGTCCCAGCCTTGGCACAGCTAGCATGTCATGCTAATCATTACACAAGCCTGAAGCTGTTAAAACTGTCCGATGGCAAAGCTGCAAACCGTCCTGTGTGATGCCCACGGACAGATGCCAGTACGAAGGCATTACGATAAAATCATTATGCGGACGTATGTTCTGTCTCATTATGAATTGCCACAGAAACATTTGCTAACGTTAGCTTTTGGGCAAAGGGCGTGAAAGCTGGCATCACAAGGAACTTACCCGCAGCCTTGGAAAAAAAAGACCAACAGATTTGTGCGCTTTGCCACAGGCTTTACAGTCAGCAAAACGAAAATACATGGATCCTACAAAAGACAGTGAAACCACAAACTATGGAGAGTGTTAAAAACTGCAGCGCTTAGGAAATGACTTTGGTTTACAGGAGCTGCATGTTTGTGAATGCAACTTATCTTTAGCCAATATTATTGATCAGATATCATCCTAGTGAAGATGTTTTATTCCCTTTGTTCCATTAATGTCTGCTTAGTACAACCTGAGGTCAAACTAAGTTTCCTCTTTCTGGTAGAGTTGGTCTTTGCTTATAATGAAAAGGAGAAGTAGGATCAGTTTTAACTTTTTGTCCTCTGAGGAACAGAAAGGTCCAGTGTGCAACTGTAAATCACTGTAAAAGCTTAATTTTGACTCGCACACACCCGCAGCACTTCGCCTCTTATCAGTGTGTTTCAACCAGTTAAACAACCTTGAGGCAAAGTGAAAAGTTAACACTGTAAATACTTGACCAGGAGGGATGGTTTCCGACAGACTGTGAGAGAGCTCTTTATCAGTCAGTGCAGACACTTAAAGGGATATTCTGACATAGAATTAAGTTAGGGTCAAACACACTGTAGTTACACAGCTCGTTGAGAGATGAATGTTGCCAACTGCTTGCTTCTCTGGTTATACCAACTTGCGTAACGACCAAACGATAGCAATACACAGCGGTCTGAGAAGCCATAAACAAACCTCAACCAAAACGCCACTCTATAGACACAAATAATGCGCAGAACAGCTCTTATCTTCATCTTGTTTGTAGCGAGATGTTGGGCCAGACCATCACCGCCTGCAGCAGGGTTATGCAGCTCAAGAAGAACATTTATGATCATTTCTTCATGGAAATGCAATTAGACTGAGACACAAAGGCAGAAGAACTACCGTGTCTGCAGTGCAAAATGAATATGATGATTATTACTTCAAGGAAATGATAAAGAAATGATCATAAATGTTCTTCCTTGAACTGCGAAACTCCGCAGTAGTCTGTAATGGACTGGCCCGAGGTCTCGCTCCAAACAAGTGGCTACTGGAAGAGAGTAGGTGAGTTGTGTTGGGACCCTATATGTACTGTTGATGAAGTTAAGTGCTGTTCTGAGCATCATTAGTGGCTATGGAGGGGCGTTTTGGTTGAGGTTTGTTTATGGCTCCTCAAATCGCTGTGTGCTGCTATCGTGCAGACGTTACTAAAGTTGGTATAACTAGAGAAGCAAGCAGTCGGCAACATTCATCTTTCGACAGGGTGTCTAACTGGGTGTTACGGTGTGTTTGATCCTAAATTATGGAATATCACCTTAAGTTTTGAAGATGGTGATATTCTGTTTCTGCATCTTTAACACAGTTTAGTTAAAATCTCTGTGATGTGACAGGGTTTTGCAGTGAAACTGTGATTGAGAATGATTAACAGCATTAGTAACCTTCCTTATGAATGCCTGAACAGACTAGTTAATGTTCGCCTAAGCTACTAAGTAATGTTTTCCAGTGACTGTTCAAAGTGACTTCCCCCTGTTTGTGTCATCACCTTTCCTCTCTTGCTAAAGTCTGTTGTCACATCGCTCTAACACATTATTGTGTAATTTTCCACCGTGATAACTTCAAATAATATTTCACACTCTCAGTCTTTTTTAATTTATTTTTTTGGAGTAATGCTAAGGTGGAGAAATGCCAGTGACCCCTTTCAAACCATTTATCATATCGGCATAGGTTAGCTGGCACAGAAGATGGAAACTCTGCCGCAGTCTGATTCCAGTTGCATTGATTTTGAGCACAGCAAATTGCTTATGAAAAACATACAGCGTGGGTGGTGTGCAGAGCCAGGGATATGTTGTAGCTCTTAAAGAACGGCAGTCAGAATGTTAAGATAGCATCAGCTGTCAAGGTGACTCTGGCACTCTGCGTGTGTTGCCTGCTGGTTCCCAAAAATAGCTGATTTTTATGCCCTACCCCTCCCTCCCTTTTTCTTTCACACTTCTGTCTCCTGCTCTTGTCTTCCTTTTCTTATCTGCTGCCTCTTTATTTTCCTCCTCCAGTTTTTCTACTTTCCTAGCCCTCTCTTGCAACTTTACCCCTTTAATTCTGCTTTCCTACCTTTTTCTCTCTCATACTCCTCCTTTTCAATCATCTCATTTTCTCCCCCGTCTGCAGCTGCGTTCCTTTTCACCCTGCACTTTCTCAATTCTGTAATATCCTCTTTACTTTCATCAGCTCACCATCTGTCTTCTTTCCCCTGACTTTCCTCCTCGCCCGTCTTTTTCTCCATCACTCCTTCTCCCTCGATTTCCCGCTGAGAGCCGTCATTCCCTCACTTTCCCTCCAGCATTTCCTGTTTCCTCTTCCTTGATTTTCTCTTTCCTCTGACTCACAACCTGTCTGTCTCTTTTCCATCCAGCAGCAGGATGTCTGAATTCAGTGAGGAGCCGCGCTTCACTATCGAGCAGATAGATCTGCTGCAGCGGCTGCGTCGCACTGGTATGACCAAGCAGGAGATCCTGCACGCACTTGACACCCTGGAGCGGCTGGACCGTGAGCATGGTGACAAGTTTGGCCGCCGCACCTCCTCTTCCTCATCCTCCTCATCCTCCTATGGAGTTGGGGGGGCAAACAACAACAACAACAACTCTGCCTCTAACTCTACATCGTTCAACAATAACAACACTGCCTCGGCAACTACCACCTCTTCCATATCATGCAACGGCAACAGCGGTGAGGGCAACACTGGTGATAACTCTGCGGCTGCTGCCTCTTCCACGACCTCCAAAATCTCCACAGCCACACAGACACAGTTTGGCAGCAGTGGAGGGGGACTCTCACCCTCTCCTAGCAACAGCTATGACACTTCTCCTCCTCCAGGGCCGCCCCCGCCTTCTGCCATCCTGCCCTCACCTGTCTCGCTGGTGGCTCTTTCACAAAACGGCCGGGATAGTCTGGCTGCCACACCCAACGGGAAGCTGTCACCTCCAAGGTACCCGGTCAACAGCGCAGCCGCAGCACGGGCGTTTGGGTTTGAGGCTGCAGAAGAGGACCTGGACATCGATGATAAGGTGGAGGAGCTAATGAGGTGAGTAGGAAAGTGGGAAACTTAGATTTGTAATTGTTGAGTTTGGTGCTTGTGAAGCTCTCTCTTTATAATTTGAGATTCAGGGTCTTATTATAGAGGTGCTGTTGCTGGTCGAAAAGTTCAGGACTTCTGCTCGAAATAAACACAGAGCCTGAGTCCTGAACCAAACCCTGGGGTCAAGTGTACTCAGATCTGGGCCCTGTTCCCTTACGTGAAACACCTTGAAATAGCGCCGACTGCAAACTGCACTGAAGCTCCGTTGTACGGCGAGAACTGCAGCTGGAACAAACTTATTTTTAAAAACCTCAGGTTCGGGGTTTCACTTTAAGAAACAGCGATTGAGAAAACGTCCCGACTGAGGAGTCACTCAGTGCTGAAACGGACTTCTTTTCTTGTCCGCGTATACATGCAACTAAGAAAATTGAATTATTGACGTGAACGTGTCCTCCTGCCCAAAACTAGAGGACAATATGGGTCTTTTCAGCTGCGCTGTTTCCAGATCTTTTTTACAGACGTCTCCATTCCTCCTTTTGCGACCGTTCGTATACTTTAGAATGTCAATTCTGAATGACATTAAATGTCGAGGGAAAGCATATTGCCACTCTCCTCGTTGTTCCAAAAGTGGACAAACTCAGATTATAGCCGAACTAAGGTGTTTACATGCACTTCAGTTGTCCAGTCTTAATTGGAATACGGCAATAATTCGTTTTTCTCGAGTGTCATGTAAACGTACTGACTGACGTTCTTGAGTTTTGATCAAATAATCACATGGAGGACTTTGCCGAATGAAGTATGAATTCAGGATCTGGTCTGTGGTTTTTGATTGAAACTGTTTCCCCTTATCAACAGACACTCTAGACCACAAACAGCTCCACAAACAACAACATCAGGTTTAAAATGGTTCGCTTGCCGTTACTTAAACAGCTCCAGTGTTTATAATCTATTTGCCTTTCAGTAGCCACCTTTTCCCTACTTCAAAGCACTTTACACATTAGCCCTCCATCCCGCCGCCGCTGCCTTCCAGCCTCCCTGTATGATCAGTCAGAACCAGAATAGACATAAAGAGCAAAGGCTCTATCCTCGTGCTGCACTGGCTTTTTCGTTTCTCCTCCACGCTGCCTTTGCATTAAATTACATGTCCTCTTCAGACAGCCTAAGAAGTTAAGAAGCGTTGAAAAGCCTGCGTCCTCTCTGTCTCTCTCTTGGGCTGTAGGACTCTCCGGCATCTCTCTTGGCAGAGCTGCGGGGGCGTGACACAAGGTTTCTGCTTGTCGACAATTCCACGGTGCCCTTCAGATTTTTCTGTCTTTTAAGTGCACATTTCCGTCTCTGCAGGGGTTTGGCCTTTGAGCTGGCATCCAGCACATCCGAATCCCCCCCTCCTCCCTCCCTCCTGCACTCCTCTCGGTCTTGTACAGCAGCTTGTGCTACATTGATTCACTTGTGCCGATAAAAGCAGTGTTTTTGAGCTCTAATTTTAGCCGCACCACAAGAGGCTGGTGTGGAGGATATCGATGCTGTATGTGTCAAGACTCATGTCAGGTTTTTTTTTTTACCCCCTGAAATATGCCCACACTCAGGACTTTGATGAGAGGATGTTGTAAATACACATGTAGTTTAAGCACCGGTGCTGCTGACAGGTGCTGACAGTACGGACTACGTACATGTTTGGGTAAATGGATTTATCAGTTGACATATTTGACAGGCATTCACAGTCTGTACAGAGATAAGGAATTAAGCAAAAACCCTGAGTGTGTGTGTGTGTGCACAGCACTGGGTAGTATGTATGTAACGTTTGGGCTGGAAGCCAGAAAGCAGGGTGGGTACATTGTGTGACTGCACATGTTCACTCAGCACTCGCCATTCCTGCGAGCCTCTGAGTGTGTGTTTCATTTTTTCTCTGCCGAGGACGAAAACAGAAACATTCTCTGCAGATGGAAAAATATGGATGAATTGATTGCGGCGCGATCCATTGAAATTCACACAGTCGTTGCTCGTTTTTCAGTGAAATCCAACACTGAGAGAGGAACAGAACGCAGATAAAAATGCCCTACGAAAAGAGGAGCTTTGGATATGAGCACTTTTCCCGTAGAAGATCAAATCAAGAAGAACTGACAATAGAAGAAGTTACTGCAAAATATATCTGGAGGATATTTGACATAAAGCAGTCTATACAGCAGCTTTTTAACTGTTTCATGTCTATATAAATTAGGGCTGGGCGATAAACCGAAAATTTACCAATATCGAAAGCAATTGCAATAAATCAAACGGCTTAGAAAGGAAAAAGGTGAAGAGAGGAGTGTGTTGATTATTTAGCAGTGAGCGAGATGTAGTGTCAAGACGCCAAGTCATACTAGAGGTCCATAAGACATGGATAGACATGGACTATTTGTCTAAAGGGATGAATGTAGGGCTGGGCGATTAACTGAAAATTTACTGATGAAGAAATTTACGACAATAACAGATGTCATTGTGCCCATATCGGTATATTCGGTGACAAAAAAAGTTGGTTTTGGATGTGTGTAGGTAGGCTATGGTCTCATGTCCCTTTAAGACGCTGTCCTACGTCAGAGGCGTGACTCCACCCCATCCAGTCTGTAACAAAGAGGGAAAGACAGGTGAGGAGATGGAGGATGGTTCAAAAGTTTTCGCGGCTGAAGTAGACGAAGTTAATGTGGGAGGGGGTGAGCAGCTTGTGGAGTAGTTATCGTCCATTATCGGACATATCACCCAGCCCTAATTTATATAGTTGATTAAGTTAGAATAAAACCAGAGATTCTGGGTTTAAAGTAGTTTCCCCAAAACATCAACTTTAATGCTTTTTTCTTTTGATATTGCTCTGGCAAAAAGGTGAATTATTGAGTTGTCTTTGCCGAAGGCAGGGTTCCTACGCAAGTACGGAAAAGTATGGAATAAATTTGATCAATTTCCAGGTCTTAAAAAGTATGGAAAACTATTTATGTTTCCACACTATTACCACAGTTATAAAATAATGTTTTCCAAAATAGAAAAGTAGGTATTCCCAAGTATTTCTAAAAAGTAGGGTATTGAAAAGCATGGAAATTCCAACTGTGTTAGGAACCCTGCGAAGGATCGAACAGCTATTGAAGAACCACAAATTTAGTCCATGTCCGAGTGCGCTTGCATTTAGAAAACCAGGTTTATATTCAGAGTTTTTACCTCCCACGTTGAGTGACAGCCAGCTGTGTTTTGACTTGTTTGTGCAGGAGAGACAGCAGCATGGTCAAAGAGGAGATCAAAGCCTTCCTGGGAAACAGGAGGATCTCTCAGGCGGTGGTGGCACAGGTTACAGGTACGTAGCATCACTAGCACACTGTTGGAAAACAGAAGTAGAAGTAATTGTGAGATTTAAAGAAAATTCTATCAGATTTTTGTGTCATTTAAAACATTCACGATGCTATCTAAATAAATCTTAAAAAGGGAAGAGATGAGAAATGTGCTGAAGAGAGAGAAAACACTCTCCTCCTCTCGTTACCCTTCTGTCTGTCTCCAGTTTTCCCAAAGCTTGTCAACAGATGGTACCCAAACCTGACGCTAGAAAACACTCTGTTTGTTATAGTTTGATCATGTCTGGCTGCTTTCTAGGCATCAGCCAGAGCCGGATCTCCCATTGGCTGCTGCAGCATGGCTCAGACCTCAGTGAACAGAAGAAGAGAGCCTTCTACCGCTGGTACACGCTGGAGAAAACAACACCAGGTACATCACGGTCCTTCCACCCCTCCTTGACCCTTCGTGTTCAGTTTCAGATGGGTCAGTGGTAGGGTCTGCTGTCATTTGGACTCTTACTCTTGTTCTATACTGAATCCATACCCAGAGTTAGGAGGTCAGGGGTTTGATTTCTGCTGTCGACAAGCTGAAGTCAGACACTCGACACTTGTACCCTGTGGTGTGTGACTGGAATTAGTTAAAAACTGATGAGCTCTATACATAGCAGCCTGTTCCACCACCAGTGTGTGAATGTGATGTGAATGGGTGAATATGACATGTGATGTAAAAGTGCTGTAAGTGGTTAGAAGACCAGAGAAAGCTCCATATAAACACAGTCTATTTACCATATACCACTAATGGAAACACAAATAACTGCATTCTGTGCCGTTCAGAAGAGTCCGCCTGGTGGAAAGTCCCACGTCTCCGGTCTACAGCTATTTCTGCATTTTTATATGTCAGTCCTGCACGAACTTCTGCTCTATTATTCAGCTTCAAGGACAGTCGCATCATCAAGAAAACGTTTCTGTTGTACGACACGAACTTACAGGCTAACAACAGAAACGACAAGCCTCACGCCGGCCTGGGATATGTAAACCTGTGTGTGTGTGAGCTAAATCAACCTATAGCGAGGCAGCAGACATCCCACGCCTCGTCCTCTGCGGCATGTTCCTCAGTGGAGCCCTGCCAACAGCGACAGCAGTGGAAAGTGCTCTATGCTATTTATGGCCAGACTGAGCCCAGCTTGGCTCAGCTCAGCCCAACCCTGCACACACACACACACAATCACACACACATCCCTCAGTCACTGCTGCATAGAAAACTGATGCCCTAATCATGCTGTTCTGATAACCTCAACTGTTACTGTCGGTGTTCGCTGAAATAATGACACCCGACTGCATGAGTGGGGTTTTACTGGTAGAGCTGGTGTCAGGGTTCATTCCCAAAGTCCACATGCTAAAGTGTCCTCCAGCAAGACTAAGGATGGGAACTGTTAAGAATGTAGTGATTCCACTTCCATCATTGATACTGCTTATCAATACGATTCCTTATCGATTCTCATTGAATTAGAAATAAGATAATACAAATGGACTTGTTTGCATTCACTCTTTAATATTGTCACATTTGCATATCCATGCACTAATAATTTATGTGACCTACCCTTTGACCACAAATCTGGCAACAGCTCGGTGACATTTGTTTATCTTCGCCTCGGTCATTTTATTCTTCCCCGCCTTGATGAAGGGAGCTACCAAAGGTGTGCGAGAGCATGACTCTGGCAGTCATCGTCGCCTAAATGTAATTTAAGGAGATGGAGAGTATTTATATAGTGAAAGAGGGTTAACATGGCACTGACACCTACACAACAGACAGGACCTGGAGGAGTTAGACGTTACCTTGATGATGCTGAGATGTTAGCTCCGCTCTTGCTTTTGCTTCTACCAGTCTTGCCTTTGTAGCATATCATACACGTTATACTTCTGCAAATTCCGCACACGGAAGTATTCCCCCCCGTCAACGAAATTAAGGCTTTGGAAGTGTTGCAGGTAGCCCCGGTATCATCTTTTCGCCTGAAATACAGCCAAACTCTGGAGTGCTTTTGCCTCCACGCCACACTGGAAAGTTCTGAACCAAAACACTTCTCGTGTACTACGTCATTATGCATCGAGACGGAAGAGGAACCAATAAGCAGAGTCGTTGAGGAGGCAGAAAAACAGTTCTTAGGATCGAATCACTGGGAACCAGTTTGTTATTAATTCTCATCCCTAAGCAAGACACTTAACCCCAAACTGACTCCAGTGGCTGTGCCATTGGTGTAAGAGGGATTAGTTAAAACCTGCGGGCTGTTTACATAGAAGCCTCTGGCATCTGTGTATAGATATGGTGTGATTGGGTGAATGTCAAAGTACTTTGAGACGAGACACCGTCTATTTACCGTCTATACAACAATTGAAACGAAGCAAACTCACAGGGTAAGCTTGCAGTCGGTGATACTGGTGTTGTTCTCTCAGTCAGCCGGCTCCATTGTCTCCAGTGTTCCCAGAAAAAGTTTGCAGCAGGTGGGCTGGCTGCCTTTAATGATTCTGGGGCTCCTCCCATTTAGGGAACCTGGAGGTAGGAGGGATTTTCCGCACCGTCTAATCTTGCAATTTTGAGAGCGAATGCATCCTGATTTCTGCAGAGGAGGAGGAGTCTTTGTCAGCATTATTTAGTTGAGTTTATAATCAGACTGTAATGGGAAATTTGCATTTGTTCTCCCCAGGTGCCACCCTCAACATGCGTCCTGCTCCGTTACCTATGGAGGAGATGGAATGGCGGCAAACACCACCGCCCCTGACAACCGCCACTGGAACCTTCCGTCTGCGTCGAGGAAGCCGCTTCACTTGGAGGAAAGAGTGCCTGGCTGTGATGGAGAGGTGAGTGTTGGAAGGAGAGGCGGAAAATCATTAAATCACAGCTGATGAAAAACTTTTCTGTTATTTCCAAGTGGAGTTGAACCTCCAAAGAAAAGGGCTGGACGACGACAAGCAGTTCAGTCACAATATTGTCTTGACGATGACTCTGGAAACATGAGAAGAAAGCAGCTATGGTTTATTGACATCGCCTTTGTGTATTAAATTAATTTAATCACTCTGACTCTCCTGCTATTTATAGCTACTTCAATGACAACCAGTACCCAGATGAGGCCAAAAGGGAGGAGATAGCAAACGCCTGCAATGCTGTCATTCAGAAACCAGGTAAGGCACTCACACGAGAAATCTGCGTCTCTGTTGGAGTTGTTTTGTGAGCAGGTTTAGAAAAAGATTTCAGGCCTTACATCTGTTGCCCAATCCGCCTCTCACTCTTAAACGGATAAATCTGAAAGTGAAACAAAGAGTAAAGATGTTGTCGTGTTTTTCTCTCAGGAAAGAAGCTGTCGGATCTGGAGAGGGTAACCTCCCTGAAAGTTTACAACTGGTTTGCTAACCGTCGTAAGGAGATCAAGAGACGGGCCAACATTGGTAATGTAGCTTGAGACTTTACACTGATGATCATCACTGCACAGGAAATGACATTATGTATTGTAGGCATGGCTTTTTAGGTTTTGCTTAAGAGGGATTATAACAACTAATGCAATGACCATATACTCATCCATTCTGGACAATAAGACACATTAATGATCCTCATTTTATGCTCTGAATAACTCTCCATTTTCCTAAATTTCTCAGCTGCTTGTTCTTTATGTTTTAACCATTTATTATTTACTTTTTACAGATAAATTTAAGTCTCATTTCAACATACTCGAGTCCATTACTTAGCTATTTGGTGATTTCAGCCTCTCATTTAATAATAACACTGTAATTCTCCGTGCTCTCTTAATTATAAATACAGTTTTTGGTGGCTGATAAATGTTGACACACACTCAGGAAGTGTAGCAGTAGAGTCTAGTTCACCTGCTCAACTGCTATTCAAATTTAGTTCATGGTTACCTTTCAGGACCGTTAACACAAAGTTAAACACTGTGATGCGAGCTCAACATACCCGGACTAACTCAGAGTAGCTGCCCAGATAAAGTCCAAAGCTCCAGGTGGAGGTATCACGCAGCACAAAGCTGGTTATCTATTTCCTCTGTTACCTCAGGCGCTCTGCTCCGGTCTCTGAGCGTGCTCACATGAAAACGGGGCGTTAATCATGTCATTTGACTCGTCTTTCAAACAAAGAATAATCACCGACTGTCTGTTTTTGTCAGACTGTCATAATGAGAGTCGATGAGTCATTGCAGTAAAAAGTAAGCGCCGCTGCGGTTAAGTTAAGGAAAGGGAAAGTACTCTGCTATTCATAGAAGAATGTATTGATTTTATCACAACACACGCTGAGAGCCACCAACTTGAACAGTGATACACATAATTTCTGCAACGTACGGGCCGGTGTTATATCAGAAAATAGTGCCTTTTATTGTTCTTTTGTTTCACTGAAATTCAAAGACTGAATTTTGAGAGAAGAGGGAGACTGAAGAAAGGAGGGAGGCTTGTGCTCACAACCGAGGGCATTAAATAGGAATTAAATTAAATACATGCAGCCTCCTCCTGTGATGCAAAACATACACTGTTTTTCTCTGACTGCACGGCTTTATTCTCTGGTATTAAAATCCTCACGGTTTACTACATCAGCTAGTGTGCAGGGGACATCTTAATGACGGGATGGTACTCTAGAGCTGATTTAAAGCTGCAGTTAGTTACCATGGTGATCAAGTCAGGTTTAAAACTTACTTAAGGCTCAACAGACCCGACTTACCCTCAACTGCATCAATAGATCTCTCATTTTTACAGAGAATGATATCAGACAGGTGTTTTCAAAATGCTCATCTTCTTGTTAAGTGTCCCTGAACTCTCTACATTTAGATTACCAAAAAAAACAACTAATGATTATAAGTAATTCACTGTAAATCTAATAATTCATCCTCTTCCTCCAAGAAGCCACAATCCTGGAGAGTCATGGAATAGATGTCCAGAGTCCAGGGGGGCACTCGAACAGCGATGACATCGATGGGAATGACTTCTCAGAGCAGGTAGAGAGCGATAAAAGATCCCCAAAGACACTTAAAAAAAACTCACGTCTGATTTAAGAGAAAGGTCACATCACTTTGTGTCACAGCGTCATGATTAATTTTGTCTTATACTGACTCTGTTCTTTTAATTTTTTTTATAATTTATTCATAATATCTTTATCTTTGTTTTGGTTGATTAGCCTCACATCCATTCTTTGAAATGCATGCGATGGATGAAAGCAGATTTCATGTCTTCTCTTTGAGTTGAACGATTTATTTTCAGACTAACAATAGTTTTCATACCTTTGGCTGAAGTCGCAGAGTAATGAAATCAGGAGTTTGGGTTTGTTTGCATTTTCAGTTTTGCTAAATATAGAAACAGCTTAATTTGAATTGAATGATTGTGGCTGTGGAAAATAAAAGTAGATCATGAAACTTACAGAAGGACAGGTGTGAAAGAAGGAAAGTTTGACTAATTTAACCCTTAGTGATGTTTTTGATTTCATTGAAACGTCTTATTCTATTTCTTGTAGGCATGTGACCTGCCATATTTTGACAAGAGACCTCTCAGCAGACCTTTCAGCCTCTACCGGCTGGAACCCACCTCACCAACACAGGTGAGTCCACGCAGAGAAGCTCAGGTTTATATAAAAACACAGTTTAGTCGCCTTTACACGAGGTCCCAAAAGCTGCAGCTACAGCCAAGATATCAGCCAAAAACAAATATCGGGTTATATCGGCCTGCATCTAAAAACTCCATTATCAGCACTCCGATACAAGCAGTCCATTCCGGACTCCACCCCGGCACCTCTAGCTAGCAGGGTCTGGATCCAGCATGCAGAGCCCATGTGATCACAACAACAGTGTGTACTAAGGTACTAACAAAGTAGCAAGGAGTAGGAGTGATGTCGGCTGTGTAGCAGTATTTTTCTGTAAAGTCCAAAAAAGACATTGCAGCTGAGTGCTAAACTTGTCATGCACAAGTCTGTGCCAATATCAGATCAATATCGGTATCTGCCGATACTGAAGGCTACAATATCGGTATCGTATTGGAAGTAAAAAACTTGTATTGGGACACCCCTACTCAAAACTGAAATTCACCCCAAATAACGGCCACTGCTGTCCATTCACAAAACCCAAACTCACATTTGTTTCTCCTCTCCTTCTCTGGTCAGGATGACAGTGCCGCACATAGTGAGCACCAAGACCCCATCTCTTTGGCCGTGGAGATGGCCGCAGTCAACCACACCATCCTGGCCCTGTCCAGAACCGGAGGGGCCCCCGGCGACATCAAGACGGAGTCCCTGGAGGACGAATGAACCGCGCAGGAACAGAAACGGAGGTGGGGGACGAGAGAAATGCCGAGTCGAGAGCAGAAAGGGAAAAGGAGGTGTGGAAAAGGTGGGAAACATCAAAAAAGACCAAATAATGCTACTTAGTAAACCCTCTGAATTGATCCTTCACTAATGGGCCTATCTCTCTCGGCCTCAATCTTCCTCAAAATGCGTGTAAACAGTTCCACCTCCCTTCCCCCACCTAACCCCTACTGAATATGTTGACACAGCCGGCAAAAATGGGTCATACATGTCGTCTGATCTCTGAGAAAATATTTCACGGAAAGAAGAAGAAGAACGGTGGCAATCCAGGCCTTTAATGCCCAAAAGGGTGGTCCTCAAGATGGATTGTGTCCCCAAGGAACTCCCCTCTCTCTCTTTCCACTGTATACACTCTCTTTTCACAGGATACCTCTTCTCTTTCCTCTCCCCTCTCCCACTCCCCCTCTCCCCTCCCCTCTTTAGCCTGGTTGTCTGAGCCAATCCTCAGTCTATTAAACCTCAGAATCAACCTCAGAAAAAAATAACATGTATATAGAATATATATATATGGTTCTTATGGTTCTCAGTCACACTCAGCTCATAGTGCGCTACCTACCTACCTACCTACCTGCCAACCTACATACTCCAGAGAAGTCACCCTCTCCATTGTGCAATTTTTGAACTGAAGCAGCCACCCGCTGATGTTCAGGTGGACTGTGAGGGTCTCCTTCTCCTTCTTCTGCACAGAGGTGGTTGGACAGGATCTCTGCAAACTGAACAGTCCAGCTACTGTCCTGCTGTTGAATGAAAACCAGCCAACAAGAAAGAAACAGCCTTAATTTCATACATACTAGTTCACCTTTACTTTCCACAGTATCCGTACAGCAGGTATCAAGAAGACACTTTATAAACGCTCACTTTTTTCAATCCCAGACGTAAAAGCACGGTTTCTATTCAACAGCAACGCTGGTGTCTGTTCGGTCGCCTTTCCCTCTGTACAACTATGAGCCATTTAGGCTGAATACAATCATTTTGCCTTGATATTTAGCCTCCCGGTGACGCCATCGTCCAGTTCTCAAGGCTATGACAGTAAATTTAGGGTCAATGTGATAATCAAGTAAACCTAAGCTATGTGGTAAGGGGAATCGTGTTGTTTTATTAAATGCCAAAGGAAAAGACGCTTAGAGCAAAAAGTGAAGAGGCTTGTCTAAAAAAAAAAAACTGTCTGCAATCATCCAAAGTGATTTCTACTGACTGCTTTGGTGTCTGTAGATGATTGATCACGCTAAGAGGAGCCTCGTGTGGATTTGACACTACAGCAGGCCTGTATGGGTAAAAGTAGGTATTATTAGTAGTCCGACATTTAATGATAAAATACCCCTAAGCTATTCAGTATTTGTTCTGTGATGCTGCCTCTCTGTAATAGCTTCAAGAATGTGCTTTCAGAAGTTTTGTCTTCCTGTGGTATCGAGTGAGTTTAACTTCACCCCCGGGAGTCGATGAACTTCGATGGCAGTTTTTATTTTTATTCTATCAAATAGCCTCAAAGGTAAAAGCACCACTTTAAGAGGAGGTCAGAGTCATTTCCGGTGGTAATATTGGGAGATTTCTTAGTCCTGGGTGTAGCTCCTCCCAAACCATCTCTGACTCAGTATCATAATGTCATAAACGGAGGGCAGAGTGTGGTGCCTGTTAAGGTAGGGGTACTTTTTTTATGGCCTTTGAATGATATCTTCAAATTCGGTCACAGAGCCGACCTGCTCGGTTAACAGCTCTGTGGATGAGACGGTAAATGTCACACTAGAGCGAGAGCCAGGAGACTTTTCGCTTTGCAGGAAGACAGTAAGGTGGTCTGACTCGACTCATAGATATGTGGGAAGCACATAAACAAACATTTTTGCTCTTTTTATTGAAATCATACCAAAAGTACTATTGAATTTCCCTTATAAAGTTCTTCTTACCTTAAAAGAAGGTAGTTTATTTAGTTAAATGTAAAGAGCTCAAATATTTGAGGAGGTAAAATGACTTCATGCGCTTCTAAAAAAGACAATTTCACCCTTAGACAGAGCGAGTCTATCTGTTTGTTTTCTATCTTCACTCTACACTAATATGACTGTTTTCTGACTTTGACTTAAAGGGATATTTCGGCGTAAAATTAAATAAGGGTCAAATACAGGACGAGTTAGACACCCCGTCGAGAGATGAATGTCTTAATTGTTTAATAACGAAAACAAAGACGTCCAAATCTGACTTTTCCCAGAAGAATCCAAACTGGTCTAAAAGTACCCCTACCAGGGTTTGCGAAATAGTCCACAAAGCAGGATTCAAAATTTCAATTGGTCCCGTTTGGACTTCTACCGTGAACCTGCTAGTGGACTAGCTCCCTGCCCCGGACTTTGGTCTTGTAAAGCTTTTTTTGTTTGTTTTTTTAACCTTTTTGCTTCAGTGTTTGAAGCTCTGAATGCGGTGAGTCAGTACTGGGACCTGTGTTTTTAAAAGAAAGGGTTGAAAGATAATACCAATATGTATTTATACTCATTTTTTTATGGTAATGTAAAAAAAAAATACAGCTTATGTTTTGAAATGAAACTTGCTTTTATTGTTAAATTAATAATGCTTTAAAATTTTTACTCGTTTTTTTCCTCAGTATCATTTAAACTGCATTTTACTTCTGTGCCATCCCTCATGCGGCTGGACGACAGCCACCCCCTATCCCCCTCTCTCACTCTCTCTCTCTCTCTCTCTGTGTTGGAGGTCGTAAGCTAATTTGTGAAAAATAAATTATGCACCTTATTTGAAATCACTGTTGACTAAGCTAAAAACGAAACCCTCCCTCTCCTGAGCATATCCAAATCAGACGAACAGCTGAAAAACAAATCAAAAATAAAGTCAGACTTTATCGAGTATTCGCAGTCCTCTCTTTAGAATAACGCCACACCAAACTCCACTTCGGTCTGGACCTTCTCTCGTACTAAAACACGCCTTAGACTTAGTCATTGGTGACAAAGGCAACGACTTTACTCCTACTTGGATCATGTTTGTGTGAAGACATGTTCAGTCTAATCTTGTGCTCTAATAAAATGTGCCTGGAGTCGGAAACTGTACGATTTAACCACACTGTATGATGACCACTGAGCAAAAATAATGAAGTGAGCTGATTTTAAGGCGAAATATTTAAATATAAATAGAAACTGTTAACTTAAAGGTGGAGTAGTCAGGATCTGGAGAAGTGCCAGTTTTTGGGAGAAATCTTGAATGTAAACTCGACCCCTCTAAACCAGTTTTTCCCTCAGCAAAAAGACGAGAAAAGAAGTAAGTTAAAAGGTTATTGTTTAATTTCACTTAGTCAACTGTACAATGTGTCATTTGGTTAGGTGCCGGTGTAGTGTTAGCTTCAGTTCAACTCCACATTGACTGGCGCAACATGGTCTAACCAAATGACACATTAAAAAGTTTACAAAGCAAAATTTAACAATAACTTTTCCGCTTACTTCTTTGCTCGTCATCACGCCATCGTCTTCTGTGCCTAGATCGTAAAACACTGATGCATCATTATTATTGGTCCCTGGCAGCTCACTTTGGTTGAGGCTTTTTTTATTTGCATCCTTTTATTTTCGCAGTAAGTTACTTTTTTTTCTATCGCCACCTTTTTTTTTTGCGTCATTAACTTCCGTTGTGGCTTTTTAAAATCTGCACTGTTTCTTTTTCTATTTGCAGCGGGCTTTGGTTTCTTTTTTTTGCATCAGTAACTTCCCCTGTGAATTTTTTTAATTATTTTTTATTCTAATTTTTTTGCCTTTTTTACATTTTTCTTTTTTTTTTTTGTTTGAAGCAGTGGCGATCTTTGGCCACCATATAAAAACTAAAGATACTTACAAATGGAGCCCAGTCAAGGTGAAAGTAAAAAGCATTGGTGCTACTGTAGATGTCAACAGACTACCAGCAAACACAATGTTTGCAGGACTTCTACAACTAGGATAAAGTGACATAGTCCAGGACCCGAGGTCAACAGTTTAGTGGCGCTACAACAGGCTACAGCAGGTCCGTTTGACAAGAAACACTTCTGTTACAGACACTTGTCTTACTTTGTTAAAGCGGTTTACCTGTCCAGCAGAAAGGTTACAGGGTCGGTACGATCCCGAAGCGTTCCCCATTGTTTATGCTAGCTTCATTGACGTCGACGTTGACCCGGTTTTTTAGCTCTTGTCCGGTCTTCCTCCGTTTTAAGCGCCCGTTATTCCTCCAGAGTCTCCGGTATTTAATTCGTTTCCTTGCTTGTGTTGGCAGTCATGGCCAAAGGAGGATTCAGCCAATTGTCCGTACTGTCTGGTTGGTTTCTACCGTCCGATATTTTAGCGCGCTAACTTTGTTCGGGCTCGCGCACAGTGCTCGAGGACGCGAAGCTTGCCTGACAACACGAGGGAGCAACGTCTGCCTCACAACCAATCAGCATTAAGGAGCAGCGTCTGCCTCACAACCAATCAGGTCGCGGAGGTGGAGAACGGCTTTGTTTAAATTCAAAATGAGCGGACCGTTAAATTAAAAAAAAAAGTTGACTAAATAGGCATAAGAACGACGGAGTATTAGGGCCACATTAAGAAAAAAGAAATTTAAGACTTTGTAATGACTTACGAGAATAAAGCAGTAATGAAATGATTACTAATGAGAATAAAGTCGTAATAAAATCATTTCTTACAAGAATAAAGTTGTAGCTAATAGCTATTCTAAGTAATGATTTTATTACAACTTTATCAACGTAAATAATGATTTTATTATGACTTAATTCTCGTAAGTAATGATTTTGCTACGATTTTATTCTTGTTAGTAATGGCTTTGATCTCGAAGTCTTATTTTCTTAATGGGGCCCCAATAACAGAACACTGCGATATCATGATATTCCCAAATATCATCAGTAACTTATAGCTATTGACTGATATTAAAAGCCTTTTTGGTATATACAACACAAAAAAAAGATGCTTCTTTAACAGACTTCTGCCTACCCCACCTTCAAGGCTAAATATTTAAATATGAATATAAAGGTTCACTTCTCGAGGGGCTCTCCTTTTTAAGAGTTTTTGAATGTCGGCAGAATAATAATAATAATAATGATAATAATAAAGAGGTATAAACTGTTGGAGTTTGGTGTGTCGTCCTCTCATCTAATAAATATGGTATGTTTACACATTATGTATGGAAAGGAAAGCCCAGAAATAATGCGTTTAGAGATTATTTTCCTCTCTATGAGACACTTTTAAAGAAATTGCCTTATTGTTTCAAAGATGCCATGGCCCCAATCCATTGGAGATGGACGGAGCTATTTAAAGAATGGAGCGACAGGTGCTCAAAGTGAGCACTCTGTGTGCCGTAAACAGATTTAGAGACTTTCCCACCCGGTGTCATTAAACTCACGTGGTAGTGTGTACTCTGATTTGGCGTCAGGGTCACCATATCGACACGTCCTGTGTTCACAAAACTTCATCCTGGTAAATAAGAGGACTGAATGCTGTTGTATCAATGTCAGATCTAGTTATGTTCACGATTACTGTATTGCCCATTTCAGAAGTTAGTGCCTTTTTTGGACAGTAGACTGTTCTGTAATTAAGATGTAGTATATCTACTTTTTTTGTACAGTTTCTTTGTTCATTTTTTTATCTTGTGTTTATTTTAGTTTGATATATATAATGTACAAGAGAATAAAGCTATATCAATGAGACTCTCCATGTTTGACCAAGTGTGTTTTTATTTTCATGGAAATAAATAAGCATCCAAAGAGTAAAAATGATCAACTTGAATGCACAGGTACAAAATATCTTCTTTAACAGGCAAAAATGAAAACAATCACACAGTCCCTTAAGAATCCTCTCATAACACACAGATCGACAACCTCAACACGCTTGCATAGAGACAAACCGTAATCAAACTCATCAGGGAAAGGTGTCCAAAGAAAGTCCACATCCAGGAGCCAAAACCAGCTCCAGTGGGTACATTCGAACCCCCGGGAGTACGGTCTTTGGTGGTCTAGTCTATCAAGACGGCACTTTTGTTTTAAGGCACAGGGTTAGAAAAAAATTACACATTTACAGCAGATTTAATTCACAAAAGTCAAAAGGTTGATCCAAACATGCAGCAGCAGAACATATGAGTAACTTCACAGTGTCTGGTTATTTAGTGAGTTAGGACAAACAGACTCTTTCCTTGGCGAGTGAAATATTTGCAGATCAAAAGTGACCGTTTTCTAAAACTGCTTCACTTAAAAATTTAATAAATTATCTAAAATAATTCTGATTTTCTGATAAAACATTCAATATTTATGATTTTCAAAACTTTCCTGATCGAATTCAGTAGGCGTTCACGTCTCTGATAGATGATTCGCTGGTTCCTCCTCCTCATTGAGAACAGTTTATCATTTGGCTCTCGATCTTTCATGTAAGTAGATCCTGTAATCCACATACAAGTGATGAGTAAAAGGTAAAAGCTCTACACGCCAACGCCAACCACCTCAAGTATTCCAGGACTTGCGGTTGTCTCCTTTGCTGCGGCCGGGCGACGCCCCTCCACCTTCGCCTTTTGCAAGCGCGGTGAGGGCTGCTAGGTTAGGGCTGGATCCAGATAGGTTGGCACTGCGGCGCTTTTGCTGCTGCTGCTGGCGGCGCCGCTTGGTGCCGCCGCGGCTAACCCTGTCCGGCCTTACCAGCACGCCGTAACCAGGGTTACAGTGGAAGTAGTGCTTTCCCCCCACTGAGCCGTCATTCTTTCCTGCAAGGAGACACAAAATGAGATTCACCTGTGAGGCTGTGAGACAGAACGGGTTTAAAGGACCAGGACGGACCGATTCCACTGACCTGCAGGAACTTCCAGCTCCACCCCGACCCAGGTACCATTTGCGAAATCTGTGGGTCCTATGTAGCGGATGGTGCCGCTTTTATTGGTCCCCACTGTCACAAACTCGCCCTCCTTCATCCAGTCGGGTAGAACAGCCGCTGGATCTCCTTCCTCGGAGTCCGAAATGATTTCCAGGTTTTCCATCGGCACGGAAAGAGAAAGTTCTGCCCCGAGGCTGCTAGCCGGGTCACCCTTCAGAATCTTAACCTCCTCATCATCCACAATTTCCTGAAATGACTTGAGATCTGAGGATTTGACTTTTTGGATCTTGAAGGGATTTGCCCCCGAGGGATCAGGTTTTGAAGGCTTATCAGTGGACAGAGGAGGATCTGGGGCTGTGGGAGTCTCTGGAGACACACTGGCAGGTTCTTCGTGTGGAGCTTCTTCTGTGGTGGGTGAAGAACTCAGGGTGGAGGTAGGATTTGGGTCTGAGTCCTCAGGAGTGGCTGTTTCTTCAAGAGGAGCTTCAGGAACAAGATCTTCAGATGGGGCAGGAGCTGGGACCAAGACTTCAGGGACATCTGAGACCGAAACCTGTATACTGTCAGAGGGTTTTTGGTCTTCTGGAGGTTCAGCGATGGTTTCAGACTCTTCCTGGCTTTCATATGGGGATGGCTGGGTTTCACAGGGTTCAGTTTTGTCTGTAGAAACTTGCTGGAGATCTATTTGAAGGGGTTCTGGTTCTGTTTGTGGGAGTTCTGGTTCTGTTTGTGGGGGCTCTGGCTCCACTTGTGGGGGTTCTGGTTCTGGTTCTATTTCAGGGGTCTCAGGTTTGTCCTCCTGAATTGATGAGGAATAAAGGTCAGTGTGGTCTGAGTCGTCTAATCCTTCTGATCCAGCGTGCTCGACCTCTGAGTCTTGCTGTTGTTGGGTCTGGACTGTTGGGACTACATCAGGCTCACTTGACTCCTCCTTCTGGTCTGAAAGGGACTCGTTTGGGTCCTGCTGAGTCCACTTTGACTCTGTTAGGGAATCATGTGGTTTAGTCGTCAGTAAGTCAGTCCTCTCCTCAGCTTTCCGATTATCTGACGCCTGCTGGAATTTGGTGTCCTCCTCGTGTTCGTCAGTCATCATGTCAAAGCTGGATAACGGCGGCAGGTCCCAGCTCAGAGTGTAGACGTCTGACAGGGTCGCAGTGGAAATACTTGTGGAGATGTAACCGCTCGATGATTCGCTAACAGGGCTGGGGGTGGATTCCTCCGCCTCTGGGATGATTGGCGGTGGAAGGGGGACGGATCTGACAGGTCTGGGACTTTCTGGATGAGAATCAGGACTAAAGATATCCTCAATAGGGACCTAAACGTGGATCCAAAGCAACAAAAGGTTTTTGTTACTAAACATTTCAGACGAGGGGTTTGCTTTTTTAAATTAATTCTGATTCAAACAAGAAGAAACTATGACTGGCGGTACTCATGAAAAAGTAGGGTTTCTTTTTCTTGTAGGAACTCACAGGATGTTGATGTTTACTCAGCCCCTCTTCTACACTTGCTGACTGCACCATGATGCGAGGAAGACTCTGAAGGAGAAACCAAATGGATTTCAAATATTGACATTTATGCAAAATAATCCCAAATCTATCAAGCCGAATTTAAGATGTGTTTTTGAGTGAGTTTATACTGTTTTCAGTCTTGTATTATCAAAACATTTGACAGTAATGCAGATTTTTGAGAACTGTAAATTTGACAGATCATGACTATTAATTACAATAATAAGCCTATTATTGTAATTAATAATAATAATAACAATGAATTTTATAAAAGAGCATTTAAGAGGGAGAAACTGATCAAACTTATTTAAGTGATCAGAAAGCTGACATGACATAAAAAGCTCAAAGAGGAGGTGTTATGCTGATTTATTTGAGCCTAGGGACTCACAGGATGTGGGAATAGCTTGTTAAACTGATGATTTACAGTTTAACAAGATTTAAGCACATTTCAGGCTGCTGACCCTTTAAGGCTCCTTCATTCCATAACCCTGCATTCTATAACCCTTCATTTTAGAACCCTGCACTTTAGAACCTTCCATTCCATAACCCTGCATTCTAGAACCCTCATTCAAGAACCCTACATTCCATAACCCTACATTCTAGAACCCTTCATTCCAAACCCTTTATTCCAGAACCCTACATTAAAGAACCCCTTCATTCCAGAACCAAACATTCTAGAACCCTTTATTCTAGAACCCTTCATTCCAGAACCCTACATTCCAGAACCCCTCACTCAAGAACCCAGAATTCTAGAACCTGCAATCTAGAACCCATCATTCCAGGACCCTTCATTCCAGAACCCTGCATCCTAGAGCCCTGCATTCCAGAACCCTACATTCTAGAACCCATCATTCCAGAACCCTACATTCCAGAACCTTTATTTCAGAACCAAGAATTCTAGCACCCTTCATTCTAGAACCCCTCATTCCAGAACCCTGCATTCTAGCACCCTTCATTCTAAAACCCAGCATTTATGAACTCTTCATTCCAGAACCCAGTGTTCTAGAACCTTTAATTCTAGAACTCTTCACTCCAGAACCCTGCATTCTAGAACCCTTTACTCTAGAACCCTTCATTTCAGAACCCAGCATTCTAGTAACTGGAACTACGATAAAAACTGAATTTGAAAAGATATATTTCATGTTTTAAGCTACATTCAAAGCAACATATGATTTTTCAGCTTTTTGGATGATGTTTAAGTTGATTTAAATAAATAGGAAAAATAGAAAAATGAGAGTTTTGATAAGATTTCTTTACAAAACTTGATTTTTTTTACTGTTTTCTTGTAGTTTTGGAGAATTTGAATCAGCACGGTTGAATTTTATGGGAATCATCACTTATATGTGAAAAGCTGCTGATCAAAGTTACAAAACAACAACCTACATGGACAACTGGTCTACCATCTGAGAGCAGGTCAAACACATCTATCCTACACTGCTCTTTCTCAGGAGGTTCGACCTGCAAGTCAACACAACAAGTCTGGTGAATGTTAGTTTTACTCGAATAGTTCAAACATGAGTTCAGACATGCTGTAAGTGCAGAGTGATAGCCTCAAACAAAGCAACAAAAAGAGCTGATGGTTTTGAATTCCCTGATTAGCTCCCTTATCCGCCTCGGGGGGCTAATCAGTCAAATCAGATGCTGAAGTGGTTGCCTGCAGACTCCAGGGTCCTGATGGTGCATGATTAGAGAGCAGTGGAGGATGTAGTAGTGGTGGAGTGAGGGTGCTAAAGAGCTCACCTGATCTGATTCACCCTCCTCTAAACACAGGAGCTGTTAGTGAACTTCAAATCATGTCATAGACCATCAACCACTTTAGAAGCATTTTAACTTTAACTGTGAGAGTAAATTTAAGGGTTGATTGTGGTTTTCATAACTGGTTTTATTCTTCCTCTAATTTATATTAAAATTATTCAGAAGATTCAGTCAAAAACATTTAACATCAGACGGGAGCAGACAGCAGATAAAATCAAGCCTTCATTTACTCACTGACTCACCTTGGGTACTGAGGCATTAATATACTGTTTACTTCTACACTTTCTATTCTCTGTGAAATCCATTTGCAATAGCTCCGTTTCTATGGCAACAGATGAAATAAGTCTAGCTGCTGATAAACAGAGGGGAGACTCAGGTTTGGGCTGCAGTGATGCATAATGTAAACTTTTCAAAGACAGCAGAAGAATCCGACTAAATCCAGTACCTGCTGATGGACCGGCGTCGGGTCTTTAACGTCTTCCTTCCCACCAGGAATCAGAGACTTCAGCAGCTTGGGGACGGCCTTGACTGGAGGGAGATAAGATGCAGCAAAACCTGAATGCACTATTGGAGGGGGAAAGGAGAAGAAAAGAGGAGGATGCAAGAGCAGGAAGGAGGAGATAAGGAGAGAAATGAGGCGTTAAAGGCAGGAAACAGAGTTATGTTAGTACAAAGTCAGTAAAGTGACAGATACAGCTAAACCAAAACAAAGCTGATGTTAGTAAAGGTAGGAGTAGGAGTACAGACTCTTTTCATGGTTGGATCAGTCTTACCGGGCTCAGGGTTCAGGTTCTGGGATGTGGAGCTCGTCAGGGTGCTTTTGGTGGAGGGAGGAACCAAAGACAGGTCCATGTGGCTGTCCCAGCCCTGTGCACAGACACAGAGAAGATGAGACACCTGAAATCTACATGGACAGTATCTATTTCCTGAAATCTGGGACTTTTTATTTCTGCCCAGGAATCTGAATTAAATATTCACATTCTGGATTATTCTCTTCATCATAATCAGCATAATCAGATTTGACAATGACACTGATTTGTGAGATTATCGTGCAAACAAGAAAGAGTGCTGCGTTAAGAGAAGACATGGAGCTGCATCCCAGATCAGAAACAAACAGAGATAGAAATAAGAGGTTCAGCCGTGTCTCACCTTGAAGTCACCGAGCTTATGATTGGAGGAGTAGAGATCCAGACTGCTGGCCGATAACTGCTTTAAAGGTTAGAGCCAGGGTTAGTAAAACATGAGAGTCAAGAAGCAGCTGAACAACCAGAAGTTTAACACACTCAGAAAATCAGTCGGTTAGTGATGCACAGTCAGTGTTTTTGCCATCAAACCAAAAGAAGACTGAGGAAAAGAGAGGAACCAGTTTAAGATAAACCAACACAGATCTTATGTCCTCTGTCGTAGAGGACACTGAGTCTGTTCACAAACACTGAAACTCTGCAGCATCGAAAAGTGAATCTGAAGATCTTACCTGGTTGATGTTTGGCGAGCTCAGGCAGCGTCTGGCAGATTTCCCTCTGACTGCCAGCTGTTCTCTCACCGCCACCTCCTACACACCCAAAGACGCACACACTGAATATTTGATTCACCGCCTCGACTTTTATGAAACTTCAGTTTTCATGAAGATGTTTCCTGACCTGTCGGAGTCGGTCCAAAGTCAGGATGTTCTCCACGGCCAGGATACTGCGCAGGTATTTCTCGATCGCCGCCTCGCTGTCGGCAGACTGGTCGTCGTCTGTGCTGGCGGCGAGTCTGGCCAACATCTCCCTGTCCTCTGGACCGTGGATGTCCTGTGGGAGCGGAGAGTGAAAATTTTGGTGGTGACAAAAACCAGCTTCAGCTTCACTCTGAGCGAAAAACTCTGCACTTACGCCTGGGATGTTTGAGACGATCTCGAAGGTGACCCCACAGCCGGGGATGGTGCTGCGCTGGGACATCCTCTTCAGCAGACTCTGAGCGAAACCCTGACAAACAAAAACACACAGAACTTCATCATCTCTGATCCTCTGACGTCTGTTTTTGTCTCAGTCTTCTTCCTCCTGACATCTCAGAGTCCACCTACCTGCCTCCCGGTCACATTCACACAGATCCGCTTCCTCAGAACCAGCTGCATGTGGGCCGGGTGGCTCAGCTGGACCACCGCGCTGATTGTCAAGTAGACCCTCTGGTCAGCTGATGTGACGCGACTCAGCTGAGGACAATCGTGGATCGTTGAGTCCCAAGAGGCCTCCACCTTCACCTGGACCAGATCAAAAACAGGAAGACTTCATCAATCAGGGATCCTCCTGGTCTGTAAATGATCAAACTATAAGAGGAAACGTTTGTGACGTTTACATCAGGGTCGTGGCGTTTCACGATATGAAGGTCAAAGAATTCGTCGTCATCTTCTCCACTCAGTAACGCGTCCAAACCGCCGGCTAATGTCGCTGAAAGGCTGGACTGGAAATCATCAGCTGAAGGAGGGATAGAAAACTTATTATATCTTTACAGAGGATTGACAAACTTGTGTAGCAGGAAGTGAGACGTACCACTTAAATCCAGGAACAGGACAGGAACATGGGTCTCCATCCCAGGGACGGGGACCCTGTAGAGAAACAGCAACCATGAATCAGAACCATGAAACCTTATTTGTTCGCAGATCAAAATAAAAATGAAAGTGTGCAGATGTTTCCTCCTTTCCTCGCTCACCTCTCTACTGGAGCTCCCGGGATGCCGCTCCCAGCTGACGGCACCAGAACGGCGTTACGTTCTTCGGTGAGCGTCAGGCGACACTCCAGCAGCTGGGACTCCCTCTCCACGTCGTCCTCGGACTTATCTGCCGATAAAAACACGAAAAGAGAAAAATGAGAAGCTGATCTCTGGTTACAAATGACATGATTGAGTTTAAGTTTTACCTGGTTTAGAGACGATCTTCTGCAGCTGCTGGTCCAGATACTCCTGTCTCTGCGTGAGGATGTCGAGCCACTGTTCCCTCATCCTCTCCAGGTCGACCTCCTGAACACGGACACACACACACACAGTCAGGAGAGAAAACTCTAGAGCTGAGGGAAATCTGTCTTTTAAACTGGTCGTCTACATACCTGGTAGCTGTCCATCTCCTCACTCTCTCCCTGAAATCAGAATTAAAGGTTTTAAGATTTTTTGAATTAAGATATCCGATCATCCGTCAGAGTTCGCCTCTGCTCTCACCCAGTGTGTCTCGCTGCCTTTCGTTGGGCGAGCTTGTCTGATCTTGACGTCCCCGATGGACACTGACAGGATCGAGGTCGCTATGAGGGGCATGGTGCCGGAGTCTGGTACCGGACGCACCTCTACTCGAACCCGACGGGACTGACCCTGAAGGAAGATGAAGCAGAGGCTGAAAACTCTTCTTCATGTCGCTCTCGTGGATGTTTTATTATTTTTTTAATCCTTCAAACCTGACGGAGCTGAAAGATTCCTCCTGTGCGCACGTCTTTAGCGGGTTGGACCTCCACGGTTGAAAACTCTCCCGCCTCGTTCAGCTCCATCAGCTGCACCCACAACTCCAGACGGCGGGTCACTTCGCTCCATCTAGAAGTTTAAGGTGAAAACAAAATCTCTCAGATACGGATCCTGGTCTGGCGGATCTCTAAAAGGCACTCGTGTTTCTTCACCTTTCTCTGAGGGACCTGGTCTTGGCTTGAATCACTCCAAGGTCCCAAAGCGCCAAGTTCCTGCGATGGTTGGCCTGTTTGTGTCCGTACACTTCGATAGCAACAGCGCCATCGGTCAGAAACTCCACGAAATCCTCTGAAACCGGCACTGAAAACTCCTAAAACGAGAGAAAATAAGACGTGAGACAAATACATGAGTGGTTGATGAGTGTGTGTGTGTCTGAGAGCGTCACCTTGGCACTATCAAAGACCACGGTACACTGAGGGTCTCTGGAGGTAGAGGAAGGACTGCCGGGCGCCACCTCCGGGGCGATGAAGATCACCTCCTCCTGCCCCCAGAAGTGGTACTGACAGAAGACAAAGTTGGACAGATGGCGAGGGAGACCGTTGGCCTGCAGGATTTTGACCTGAGAGGGTGAAGTTGAGGAAACGTCTTATCACATGGTCAACAAAGATAGTGGAGTAGACAGATATTTACTTTTGAAGGCAGGTTTGACCTTCGAATAAAAACATGGACAACAGGCGCCAAAGCTCGACCAATCACGTTACAATCCTGCAGGACAGACTCAAAATCTCATCACAGTATATGAGAGCTGCCATGTGCAGGATTCAGGTCCACACTGCCCAATTGTGCATTATTTATTTGCTGAGTCAGCTCTTTCAGTCCACGTGCACGTTCTCACCACACACTCCAGCCGGCGCTCCTGCAGATCGCCGTCTGCGCCGCTCTGCTGAGAGTCGGACTGCTTTGGAGCTTCCCCCTCAGATTCCTGCTCGCCTCGCCACAACTCCACATGAAGTCGACCCGCCACCTGCCACACACACATGCACACAAACACACACACACACACAGGCTTGAGTCAAATCAATATTAACACGCAAATGTGCAGAAAACACTTCAGATATTTGTCGCTGAGGTGTATTACAGAAAATTAAACGAGTAAACAAAACAAACTGAAAAAGTCTAAAACACGTTTTTATTTCACCCGCTGATGTTCAAAATCAATCGTCCGTTACCTCTCCTTTCTGGTTAATGATGGGGACGGCGTACTGCAGCTTCACGTCGTAGAAGAAGCACGCCAAGAAAACGTTCGCCACACCGATCAGACTGTGGTTCTCCTGCTCGTCGAAGAACGGGTCGGCACGCTTGAAATAGGAGCGCATCACCTAAGGAGGAGACAACGACAGCACAGGAGAAAGATTTTTTAGTTTGAGAAAGAAAAATAACATATCTGTATAAAATCGTATAACTATGGAAGACTAATGTATTCACCCCAAAAAAAAGAAGCTCTGTTTTTTGGACTAATTTTTTTTGTTTGTTTTTTGGACAATTTTTTTTTCTGTGTCCTTTTTTTTGTTTTTCTGTATTTTTTTTATTTTCTGTTTATCTGACTTATTTTTTTCTGTTTTTGAGATTTTTTTTCTGTCATTCGGGCTGTTTTTTTTTTTTACTTTTCTGTTTTTCAGACATTTTTTTTTCTTTTCTGTTTTCAGACTTTTTTTTTCCTTTTCGGTTCAAATTTGAAAGATGAAAAAAAAAAAAGTCAGAAAAAAATTTTACTAAAAAAAAATGTTTCCTTCTTTTTGTTGTAAGTGAATGAAATACACGTCCATACATAACGGCACGTTATAATAAGGATTATAATCCATCCATCTAATCTGAGCTCTGTGGGTTATTTTCGCTCCGGTCTCTCTTCACTCACAGGGTTGTCTTCGTCAAAGTCCTTCCACTCCTGGTAGAGCTCCCTCATATCCACCAGCCGGTTCTCCATCTTCTCCAGAGCCCAGATCTGCTTCCCTTTCCCTTTACGCCGTACCTGGATGGCTGGTTCACTGAGTACGACGTCCCGCTGTGAAGAAAAGCAGTTTTTTATTTCAACATGCCGTTCACAGAAGAAGTCAGAAAACCTCTGTGACGATCTCAGACAGACACTCGACCTTTCTGTTGGCGTTGAGGTTGGCCGCAGGGATCTGCAGAGTGACCAGGTACTCTGTTCTCTTGTTGAGCTCCTCTGCTATGAAGCCGGCTTCCTGTGCCAGAAGGTTGGCGCGCACGATCTGCTCCCTCAGACGCCTCAGGCTGCGAGTCATCATCGCTTCTCTGAAATACGTTTTTTTTTTTAGATACTTCACCCTCTGAAGATTTCACGTTGAGAAGAAAATCTATAACCGTTTCTCACCTGTCTTCGCTCCAGCGGCGCATGCGTTTGTGGGACGTAGGTGCTCCGCCGGGAACCAAGCCCGCCGGGTCCAGGAGGTTTGAGGGTTTTTCGGGGGTGAGGCGTCGGCGGAGCTGCTGCAGCTCCTGTTCGTACATCAGCCTCTGTCGTTCCAGGGCGTTGCGTTTCTCCTCCTCGTGCTGCCTCTCCAGGGTCTGCAACACGGACTGCAGCGGGTCTGAGGAGACGGATCAGAGGGAGGAAGAGAGTCAGAGAAAAACTCCTGACAGTGAAACACACGGTACTCTTTAATCATCTGATCAGACTTCAGGCGGACTCACCGTTGTTCCCCATGCCTTTCATCATGACCTCCGTCTGCGCAGCCTCGTAGCCGAAGCTCAGCTCACTGGACACGTCGCTGGAGGCGTCCAAGTCCACCTCCAGCTGGTCAGTGCTCAAACACGTCTTCATCACGGCGCCACTCTCTTCGGCTTGCACCATGTTCCTGGGCAGGTTGATCCTGTGAACGCGTGTGAAAATGTGAGAGAGAAGAAGGAGAAGATGGAAACGTGTCTACATGTCTGCGGGATCCAGATTCAAACTCATCACGTACCTGAAGAAGTGGTTGTTCCCCCACAGGATCCGGTCGCCATGATGGAGCTGGACTGGACTGGTGACTGTGGCGCCGTTTACACACGTCCTACAGATGAAGACAAGGTTTTTACAAAGTGGTCAAGAGGTGGGGCTGTAGAGAATTCACTCGTTGATCCAGGGCGAGTACGTACCGAGCGTTACGGTGAGGAGTCAACACGACGCCATTGCTCTCTGTGATGTCAATGACGCAGTGTTCGGCTTGGATGGCCATCCCGCACAGCTGGATGTCCTGCGAATTCGCCGAGCCAATGCGGGCGTGGTTCTAAACACAGAGGAGAGTCGGTTTGAAGCAAAGATCTCATGTTCACGTATTTTAACCTGTGATGAACCACTTCCTGATACCTTGAGATAGTAGACCAGCAGCTCGTTCAGGGCGGGGTCGGCGTTGAGGTTGACCAGGAAACACTTGTCGTCCACCACGCGTATTCCAGAGGACTGAAGGGAGATGCCCAGACTCTCCAGCTGCTTCTGACGCTCCTGTGGACAAGATTTGACGCTCGATGAGACGCAGGACTCGAGTTTAAGTTTAGTCTCCAGTTTAAAACCCGTCACTCAACTTCTCGTCTGTTTTCTTACCTGTGCAATCGCCTCGGTCTTCCTCAGTTTCTCCTCCCAGGAAACCGTCATTTCCTGGATCAGCTTCTCCGACTCTTCCAGACGCTCCTTCAGCTCAGGAGCCTTCATAGACTGAGAGTGGAAGAAGGAGAAGAAGAAGAAGAAGCTGCGTTAAAGACCAAAACGTCACTCAAATGTTCAACATTTACGATACAGGCGAAGGTCATCCGCACCTCGGCCTCGGTGAGCTGCTCCCTCAGTTTTTCCACTTCCTCTCGGAGCTCCCGGATGATCCTGGCGTTCGGGTCTTCGTTGACCACGGCGTGGTTGACGATGCTCTTCGCCCTGTCGGCGTAACGCAGAGTGGAGAGCGTCTCGTCGTAGTTATCCGCGGCAGGGCTGATGGTGGCGACCATAGCGGTGCGGCTGTTTCCTCCGAGACTGTCCTGCAGGTCAAAGACACACCTGTGAACCTTTCATAGATCTTTCCAGGACTAACTACGGGGACATAGAAATAGACTCTATAGATGTGAAATGACAGATGATAATATTTGCTGTTTTTGTACCTTGAGCAGCCACGTCAGCACCGAGTCTCTGTAAGGAACAAACTTGTTCTTGTTCTTCCCGGCTCCTTGGTCAGCCAAGGCCGAGATGACTAAACCCAGAGTGCTGAGAGACCTTGAGGAGACACCGAGAAGAGGAATCAAGAGGAGGAAACACAGCAGAGAGGAGGAGGAGGAGGTGAAGAAACAGTGAAGAGCTGCTGAGACGGTTTGATCTAAGCTGGCTCGCAGATGTGTTCTCGATTTAAAAAAAACAATCTCAGCTCCTTCACTTCTTCTGGCCTCAGATCAGACGTTTTTTTTTAGTGTTTCCACATATTTTTCTCACTTATTGATGTTGCTCCCTTCTTTCAGGCGCTCTCCAGCTGCTCCGGTCTTCGCCGCCCGCTCGCTGCCGGCGAGATCCACCAGGCTGAGTTTGCTCACCTTCTCCCCGCTCGTCTGAAACAAACAGGAAACATCATCCCGTTCAGAGTAAATATAATAAACGTTATCGGGTGTGTTAAATCGAAGTGTTATGATCCTCGGTGTGTCGTACCCCGGACTGCAGGTCCATGAGTGTGTGCGTGAGGATGACGTTGAACACGGCGTGCGACCTGCTGCTCTCTTCATTCATATTCGTCGCCGCAACCGTGCGAGACTTATTCCCCTCCGACATGAGAGACTCGATGTCCTGTAAGAGAGACAAACAAACATGTCTGGTCTGCACTGCTTTATGAAATTACAACCTCTCCCTCTTAATAACAGGATGTTATAAAAGCTCCAGAAAATCATATTCAATAAAGTTCATGAAGTGATTTTAGAAGACCTTATAGCTCGCCACGGCCAGGCGGGAGAGGCCGTCCACGTACGGTCCGAAGACTTTGTGTTCTCTCACTCGGAGGGTTTGACGGTTTCTGAGGAAGAAGAGAGAATTTTAATAAAACTTCTCAGGCTGGAAAATTTGGCATAAATAAACGAGCCAGGAATTATAAAGATTTTTAAGATTAGATCGGATTAGATCCAGACATGTCCCACCGGGAGGAGATCTCATGGCCGGCCCAGGACCAGGTGGAGGGATTATATCTCCTGCCTGGCCTGGGAGCGCCTGGGAATCCCCCCGGAGGAGCTGGTGGAAGTGGCTGGAGTGAGGGGCAAACGGACGAAGTTCAGGTGTAAGACTCGAACGTGAAATATCAGTCACTCACCCTTTAGGATCCAGCAGGTCTCTGACCTTCTCGTTGTAGATCTCCATGAAGGAGACCTCCACAGTGAAGCTCTCTCCCTCCCGGGCCTCCTGCACAGTCCGGCTGAACAAGGTGCTGCAGAGCCGAGGGATCAGACCAGGGTGCTCTGCAGAGCCCATCATGGTGTAAGACTTCCCTGAGCCTGGAGACGCACAGGTATTCAAGGAGGTTTAGTTTTGGTTTGTTTTGAGAAAAGAGAAAGTAAACTTAGAGCAAACTTTTTAAACTTTTACAGCTGAGAGCAAAAGTTCATTTCTTCTCAGATAAACTCTTGAAACAGAGGAGTTAGCTGTTTATGATGATGGATTATTCATCAGAGCTGGAGACAAACAACAATTCGTGCAGCAGTCCCACCTCCAGGTGAGCGATTAACCTAACAGGCATGTGTTCAGTCTGTAGGAGAGAACATTCAAACTCCACACAGCTCCTCAGACGTTACCTGTCTGTCCATAAGCAAAGATACAGGCGTTGTAGCCCATGAAGGCGTTGTCGAGCAGACTCTCCCCGAGGCTCTGGAAGACGACGTCCTGACCTGAGTCAGAAAACACACTTTTTAAAACCCAGACAACTGAGAGAGGGGGGGGGGGATTCAAGGAGGCTCAAAATAAACACACTGGACATTTCGTTCTCGTTCGATGTATACGTGAAGCTGCCAAATGCTTCCAGGATGCCATCTTGAAATGATTCTGCTCTGCTGCAGTAAACAGGTGCTCCAGTCTGACTCCAGTTTCAGCAGGTGATCGGCTGAAGCCTGAAAAACCTCTCAGAGTGCAAAAGAAGAGAAAATGAGGAAAAGGCACCGACCTGCAAACTTGTCTGTCTGGGTTTCATCCATCGACCAGAAGCAGTAGTCGTAAGCAAAAGACTGAAGGATGAAAAAAACAAAATAAATAAACAAACAAACAGCTAACAAGTGACCCGTTTCTTCAGTTTATGATGCAAAGAGTTAGAAAATAAATGTTTTAATGCTCACCTTCGGCTGGCTCCTGGAGGCAGTAAAGAGAAAAAACAAAATATCAGTAAACAACCACAGTGAGAAGAAACACGAACATGTGACTGAGGAAACACACAGCTGTACAGAGGGAGGGTCCTTCCACAGGACTAATGTCTGAGTTCTTCAGGTGTCATAAAGCGGACTCTCTTTTAACTCAGCTGAAACACCAATCGTTCCTAAATCCTAACCGGGTCAGGACCAGTTCATTTTTAGAGATATAAAGCAATACACAGTTCAACATCACCTCAGTGGAAACAACTACAGTACCTCTAAGTGGAGTTTCGAGGAAACTGCATGTTACTCCTTTAGTTTGAGAGCATTTGAACATTTAAACGACTTTAAACTTGGATGAACTAACAAACAGGATGTGTCGGTTTCAGTCATATCAGATAGAAGAGTTCAAATCCTCCAGACTTCCTTTTAAAATTCACAGATTGAAGCTGAGTGAGGGACGGATAACTGATTTATCTATCAGTACATGCACTGACTGTAGAGACATTTATTTGTTTATTAAAAGAAAACTTTTCTATCTAATTAATTGATCATACTTTCTCCTTCTGGATCAAAACCAAGTCTTATAATGTCAAGTGAGCCGAAATCGGATCAGAATCTTCCTATCGACATGTTCACATGGTGCACTTTTATTCCGATCGGGCCTTTATTCTGATTATTATTACTGTCACAACAGTTCCCCTGACATTGCTGTAGTCTGCTCACATACTGTAATAATAACACAATCTCACTGAAGTCAAAAGGAAGTGCTGGTACTTCACGGACACTTTAATAGAGAGAGGCACAGCAGATCTGACCATTTCAGTTCAATGTTACTGAGGAAAGAAGAAGAAGTAAAAGTAAAGTGGTGAGCTTAAAAATCTGTCAAGGAGAATAATCCTCTTTGGAGGGAGAGGGGACTGTGACCTTCAGCAACACTCACATCCTCAGAGTCACCGCTTTATAACTTCATTTAACCACCACAGCAGACAGCAGCTTCGCAGAGATCAGTCAGCAAACATCCTCACATTCCAGAGAGCAGACGTCAAATGTTATTATTGAACCCTGGATTCACGATATTGTACACCAGATGTGTCACATTCATGCTGCAGCACGTTGAAGTCTCTTAAATTCAGTCCTGTGAAAAATGCACCATGATGTTGGACATTAATGGTCATATTTAGGTGAGATAAATGTGAAATTAGTACATCAGAGCTGTTTTAATGAGTCATAATCAATAAAGGAAGACAAAGAGCTGCTTTTTAAACTTATTTCAGCTGTAAAAATCTGTTATATACATTCGTCTCCATTTTTCTATCACTTCTGCTCATTATTATATGATTTATTTTTTAAAAGCTGTTTAGCAAATTGCCTCCAGAGGCCGTGAGGCATTCAGGACAAAGCGAGTCCAGTCATAAGTTGAAATACTGGACCACAAAGGGATTATAGGATTAAACATTTTTCCCATTAGTTGGTGTTTCCTACACTTCATAATGACTTTATTGTTGTTGAAAACTAAGAGCATAAACACCAGCTCAGTACAGTTGTATTTGCAGTAACTTTAAATCTATTAAAAACGCAGAGAGAACGGTTGGTTTTGTATCAATCAGTCTTAATCTTGCACATCCAGTTTCCAGGGACGCCCCCCTTTGAAGACCTGAACCCTGATGAAGTCAAAACACACAGTCTCCACTCAGGCAGAAATATCAATTTGGCCACACGGGGGTTTCAGGGGTTGGAGGGAGGAGGCTTTCATGAAACAAGGCCTCCCTATGTGAGGCACAGCCAGTCCTTGAAAGAGCAAAATTAAGTCCAGTGTGTCCCGGACTGGTGAGGACATTCCTGAGATAACTGGCAGAGACTTGAAGCTCCAAGGAGTCACGGGAGGAGAGGGAGGCCGGCAGGTCTGCCACCACCAACAACACAAAGACTGAGTCAAACAGACTGGATCAGAATTGTGTGGAAAACCATCGACTCCACAAACAGATAAAAATTAGAGTCCTTATCAAAGCTAAGCTGCTGACTCATGAAGGGTTTCATTTTTGGGGGTCTGAAGGCTCCTGCTGTCGTCTTGGTTGCAGCGACCGAGGGTGTCGTAACACATTAACACCCCCTGAGACTCATGCAGCAAATCAGAGAGCTGACAAAGCACAAACTTTGTGAAATAGGCTGGTCAGAGACTTTCCTCACAGAAAAGCTTTTCTATTACGCTCATTATGCCCCGTAATAGGATTCAGTCCGCTGGGAAACGAATCAAGAATGCTTTCACACAAACTTATGTTTTCAGAGAAAGAAATAGTCGCTGAACTGCGGCTGGAAATCACTTTACTTCTTTAGTTCTGGTAGGTGTTTGTCTGCGGCGCACTGGGCCTGTAAAACCTGTTCACATCGATCCCCACAGGGGAACTATAGTACTGCTCAAGCGTGTCAGGACAGGAAAGACACCCACAGAAATATACCACACACAACAAATGTAAATAAAAACCAGGAAATGTGAGACTCTTTTTTTTTTTAAAGACAGAGACTCACACCTTCATATCAAGACGGGGGTTTCCTTGAGGTTAAGAGGAGCCAGAAAACCTGCAGGGAACATGAACCTGCACTACTCTGGGCGCCTGCAGGAGAAAAAGGAGTGTCCTGTTTTTACCAACAAACATATTCAGAAACATTCAACACAAGCCCGTTGGCATGTTTTCATTCACTGCACATATCTGTCATTTCTCCGCCACTCTCTCCTGCGAGGATTCTTGGGTAATATTTCACCGAGGACATTTTTCTGTTTTCATCGCGTGTGTTACGAGTCTTAACTCCGGCCCTTCTTCCTTTGTTTTATTCTCTTGATTTAACCCTCGTCTACCTGAGCAGGATGGAGCTCGAACAGACACACCCTTTGTAAAGAGAGGAATGCTGCAGGAAGGACACTGGGGGGGAGGAGGAAGACATGGGAAGGAAAAATAAAAAAGGAGGACGGGTGGAGCGACAATTAAGATGGGAGATTTTTCCACGGAGCTGGATGGACGAGTTAAGAGTCAGTATAAAATCATCGTCCTGTAATCCAGCGGATGATTAAATCAGTGACACATATCTACTGTAACTGCCACTTTAATGAGGTAAAACATTAAACCGACACTGCATGGAGACGCTCTTCATGGTGTCAAGCTTTCTGAGGGCCCTATTTAATGGAAATGTTGAAGTACAAAAACAGACCTGATACTGACTCATCAATGCACAGATTTCCTGTTTACATCTAGAAAGAAATCTACAAGGACATATAAACCAGCATGGTTCAAAAGACAGAGATTCAGCTCTGACGTGTTGAGTTTAAAGGCCTTCAGGACCGAGGTTATCGAAGAGCTGAGACTGCTGAACTTCGTTTTTTATCTTTTAGAGGAATTCAACTCAAAGTTAGGGGTTACATTTGGTCGATGACAGGGATTTTATTGCTGCTATTTTTTATTTTATTGAGACTGTAAATAAGCAAAAACTTTATATGACTGCTTGAGATCAAATTACTGGATACTTCAGAGCTAAATCAAATCAAATGTAGAAATGCATCCCAGTCTTTGACAGCATGTTTGACAAAAACTCATTTGAGTAACTCATCACTCAAACAGAAAACTCCTCAGACTGCCTGTAAACAAACGACCATCCACCTATCCTTACATCCACAGACTGTCACAGAGACAGTAGCTACAGACCCGTTAGTGTTCTACCAGAACCCTGAGAAGAAGCAACCACACTATGGTAACACCAGACAGAGCAGATTGAATCTTAGCTAAACAAAGAAAGGGTAGTTACAGACTGATGTGGTAAGGTGGTGTTTGAAACTCTCTGCAGCTCACCTGGGATCTCCTTTGTTCATATTGGTGATGGCTGGATGCAGAATGGTCTGGTTTCCCTCCATCTCCACCACACATTTTGTCTTGAGATCTTTTTCTAAATAGAAACAGACATGAAACAGTTAAAAATGAAAACTGTTTTACTCTGCATGAGTGTTGACATGTGAATGAGACAACTGTGTTCATGTTTAAACCTAAAAAAAAATAAAAGTATTATGGGTCTTAATGGTAATGTGCACTCGTCATTGTAACTTTCATTTGTTGTCTCTGACACAAGTGTCATCAGAGCAGGTGGCGTTCACCGCCTGTGTGCCAGTTCCTCGTGATCACAGCAGAAACAGCCCAACATGGTCAGGCAGGAAATAGGTTTATTTATGGTGATACATCCAGGACTCGCCTGTGCAAACAGAACAACCTGCTAACTGGCAGAGAGGAAAAGTTGGGTCATGGCTTCTGCTCCTCAGTTCTGTCTGCATTAGAGGGTTTTGTGTGGAGCAGGATTTCAATCACATGAGTGGGAACACAAGCTCAAAGGAGGTGTTGCTGTTTACATTTTTATTCCAATATGCTCCAAGTGCAACAAGTAAAACAAAAACCAACACAGTCTGTACGTTTTATTCACATATTCAGTCAGTCTGTCTGCAGGTGGACTCTCACCTCTCCGGTTCATTGGTCGCACCCGGACGGCGACTTTTACATTGGAGTCATTTATGCTGTTGTCATCCATGGTGTCACCGTCACCTGACCCGAGAGAAAATCATAAACAGACATGAGTTACATGAGTTACTCTAGGTAAAAAAAATACTACACTATATGTATACATATATTTTTTAAATTTAATTGTTGTTGTTATGGTTTTCTTTACATAAAAAAATAAAAATAAAACTACACTATATATATATTTATATATATATATATATTTTAATTTTAATTGTTGTTGTTGTTATGGTTGTTTGGTTTTCGTAACATTGGAGAAAAAAAAGGGAAAAAAATACACTATACATACATATATATATATATATATATATATATATATATATATATATATATACATATACATGTATATACTTACCAATTGTTGTTGTTGTTGTTCTGGTTATCTTCACATTGAAAAAACAATACTACACTATATATTATATATATACATATATATATATATATATATTTTTTAATTGTTGTTATGGTTGTTTGCTTTTCTTCACATTAAAAAATACTACACTATATATATATATATATATATATATATATATATATATATATATATACATACATATACATATACATATATACATACATATATTGTTGTTGTTGTTATGGTTTTGTTTTCTTTAAATTAAAAAAAATAATAATAAAAAATAATAATAAAATACTACACCTGCTCAAAATCACACCTGTCTTTTCTGACCGAAAGTTGAAATACCCACTTTATTCTCCAACGCAGTTTCAGTGCGTAAACAGGTCTCCACAGTATAAGCTACAGGCTCCTGGTTATCTAAACAGAGTTCTCACCTACATACAACATAGAAAACAACCTCCACAGAGTCAATAAAAGCTAAATACTGCATTTAAAGTGAAGAATATTAAACAAACCGAGTTCAACAGTGCGCAGTAGTTTCCCTGTCCGACGCCCACAGACACCTTGAAGACACACAGCAGTTAGCCGTGGACGCTAACAGGAGCTGGAGAACTGCAAACACACACAGAGACAGGGGTCAAATGATTTCAGGGTTAATGCTGGTAAATATAACTGAGTCCAGTCCAGTTATACTGAATTATAGAGGCGTGTTTTTCTATGAGAAAGTCTTAAAAACACTCACGGCCGTGTACCGATCATGCTCTCGGCTCTTCTTCCACCTGCTGCATTTCCTGAAACTTCCCGCAGAGATCAGTCAAAGAGAGTCAGGCAGCAGCAGCAGCAGCAGAGAGCTAAAGGGATTTACTGTGAGATTTAGTCCAGGTTTTCTCCCACACACTCACACACACACCTGTTAGACTGGGACTAAAGCGCCACAGTGCGGATCCACACGCACTGCAAGTTTGTGTTTTCTATCGAGGAAATCTGTCAAAAAACGTGAATAAAAGTGACCAAAAAAATCGTCAATATACCAACTGATTGTAAAACGTTAGGTTTTACAGTTACAGACGCTACGACGGCACGTAAACAGTTAAACCAGGAACTATTGGAAGTTCGTCACATAGATATATATATAAACGTTAGATGGCTTACGCACGCTGTTAGCCAATGGAGACCGACGTCCGCGCATGGCGGCCATCTTGCTACGGGCAACTCGCCCACTCATAACAACAGTCTATGGTGCATGTAGCATTAAAATAACCACAGATTGCTTAATTTTAAACCGATTTTAGAACGGTTTGGTTTGTTTTAAACCTCAGAGTTTAAGCTAGTGTTGTGTAGTTCACGAACGATTCGTTCAAAAGAACCAAATCTTTTAAGTGAATGTACTGAACCTAATCACCCCCTCAAGTGATTTGTTTGTTTCTCACTTCAGTTGAGCTGAAGTTGAGAAACAGTATTACCTGGCCAGCAGCACGAGGGACCACATGCACCGACGTCTGAATCACTTGGTGAACGAATCACGCATTGAACTACACTCTCTGGAATCATTTTTGTCAGACAAATGTACCTTTTTTTCCCCAGCTAGATTGCCACCAGAACAACTTGCATGCAATAGGACACAGCACATCACAAATAGTGCATTAAACTCACAGCATCCTATCATTGCAGTGGTTCAGTGTGAATTCTTCTAAACATTTTTTAAACAAATATATATATAAATATATATATATATATATATGTGTGTGTGTGTGTGTGTGTGTGTGTGTGTGTGTGTGTGTATATATATATATGTCAAAGTTCACAAGGTCACCAGGTCAGTTTAACTGCCATGAGGCCTAGAAACCATGTAGAGTCAATCGAACCCAACTTTCTGACCCAGTTATTGGGATACTCTCAGAAAAATAACCCATGATTATTATCCCATTCAAAAAACCCTAAATAGAATCCATATGACCCAAGAAATGGGTATGGATCTGAAAAATAACCCAGGATTTAACTCAACACGTAAGACTCAGGAATTAGGTTGAAGAAATACCCCTAGAGTTTTTAAGAGTGCGTGAAACAACTGTGCTTCATGATTAAGTCTTTTTTTTCTCAAGGAAAATCTGCCATTTCAGTATGTCCAAGCATCCCCACTCATAGCCATGTTATTAAGGTCTGTAATAAACTAAACCATTTGTAAATCTGTCAAGATTTCAGCGAGTTAAGAGTATTTTTAATCATGCAGATTACTCACCTTCAGTCGGCTCCCATAGGGCGTACTAGTATACTGGAGTAAGATGGCCGCCGTAGAGGGACGCAAGTGACTCCGCCTTATATAGTCATCTAGCTTTTATTATAGATATCTATGGTTCGTCAGGTAGAACGGCGCGTTTGCGACACTTCTGGCTGCTGTACGGCTTGAGCCGTGTTCCGGGGCAACGTGGAGTTGTTTAGTATTTGAGACAGCCTTGCTTGCGTTAAACGGCTGATGTAATTCCTCAAACTACCATTAACTTTCTGGAAATTGAGCGTTTTGCTTTAAGAAGAAAATGGGGAAACCAAAGAAAAAGAGTAAGAGTTTGACATGAGTTTGAAATACTAGAAATTTTGATAGAAACTGCTCAGCTGATGTAGCATGTTGCTAATGCTAACCACTTCGTAACCTGTAATATGGTGATAGTAATAACAGTGTAAATACACGATTTCATCTTTAAAAACATGGAATATAATCACGATGCTGAATTTGATTTTACTTGATTTCAATCCGGTTGATTAAATGAGGATTTAGTAAACCAGGTCCTGGTACTGAACCATTTCATGAAGACTTCTACAGACATTTTATAACACATTATAAGTATTGTTTGGCCTTTAATATGTGTAAAGATATGAAAGGGAATTTTTTAAAGATCTGACAAGTCTAGGTGTTGTGGTTTTGGTTTAGGTGTAATGTGGTGCAGAGGTGGAAAAAAACAGTGAAATGTCCCTTTATTGTATTTTAACGAGTAGAGTTTGGAGATTAAAGAGTTTGGCTGTGTATTGAACAGTCTTTAGATGGCTTGAGATGATGTTGTCCACATATGTTAAGTAGAAGTGTAGTGGTTTTGGATTAGGACCTGGTGTAATGTGGTCCAGAGGTGGAAAATAAAGCAGTGAAATGTCCCTTTATTGTATTTTAAAAAGTAGAATAAAGGCTTAAGTAGTTTAGATCTGTATTGAACAATGGGATGGTGTTGTCTTGATATTACAGATCTAGGTGTAGTGGTTTTGGATCATCAGGATGGTCCCTCTTTAACAGCTGTGAACCAGAATCCAACTTTTGCAAATTCATGTTTCTTGTGCAAAACTTTCTGAATTCTTTATTTCAAAAGTTACTTAAAAAAACGGGAATAAACATGTATTTTTAAAAAGAAATTGCTTCTTTCCAGGTGATCTGAGCCGGGCTGAGCTCATGATGATGACCATCGCTGATGTTATCAAGCAGCTGGTTGATGCCCATGAAGAAGGCAAAGACATCAATCTCAACAAGTAAGACAGTTCTGTCGTAGAGGGTCTCTCCTCCTACAGAGTACTAGTCTGGACGTCTTCATTACTCATGATCCTTTTTGTCTTTAAAGAGTGAAAACCAAGACTTCAGCTAAATACGGACTTGAAGCCCAGCCACGATTGGTGGACATCATTGCTGCTGTTCCTCCAAAGTATCGTCGGGCTTTGGTGCCAAAGCTGAAGGCCAAACCCATCCGCACTGCCAGCGGGGTATGTAATCCTTAAGGTTACCATTTCCTACTGTGTCTCTGAGGATTAAGAAAGTGTTGAAATACTGAATGCATCTGTTTTGACCTCAGATTGCAGTTGTGGCTGTGATGTGCAAACCCCATCGATGTCCACACATCAGCTTTACAGGCAACATCTGTGTGTAAGTGCAGTTTAGATGATATTTCTATAAGTACTGTTTATGGATATTATTACTAAACTGTATGATGGAGTTACTTATTTCATTCAAGTATTTTTAGAGTATAAATACATGACGGACAGTAAACGAAAATGTCGTATTTGTTGCTGTTATGATGATGTTTTACAGTTTCTATAACCCTCTCATAAACTTCCATTATGGCAGTTATTGTCCTGGAGGCCCAGACTCAGACTTTGAGTACTCCACACAGTCCTACACTGGCTATGAGGTTAGTTTTTTTTTGTTCAGTTCGATGTTTCTCAAACAGTTTGCAGGGTTCCTACACAAGTATGGAAAGTAAAGAAAAGTATGGAAGTAATTTGATCAATTTCCAGGTCTTAAAAAGTATGGTAAACGAAAAATAAAGTATGGAAAAACATTTGGGTTTCCAGACTATTACCACAGTAAAAAAATATACTGTTTTCTAAAATAGGAAAGTAGGTTTATACAAAGATAATACTTAAAAGTAGGGTATGGAAAAGTATGGAAATTCCAACTGTGTAGGAACCCTGAGTTTGTGTAATTTCATTTTGATTTTGTTTAACGCCTGTTTGGTTGTTGATTCCCTTTTTTTCCTATCATGGTCATAATCAGTCTTTGTCCCCTCCACCGTCTGATAGCCAACATCCATGAGAGCGATCCGAGCTCGCTATGACCCCTACCTTCAGACCAGACACCGCGTGGAGCAGGTCAGTGCGCACATCAAAAGAAAACTAATTACATTTCTGTGTTTGATGCGTCTGCTCTGCCTCTGCGCTTCTTTTATATGATGTTTCTGCTGCAAAATATCCCCACAGAGTGTCCTCTGTGTAAAGATTAATTGTTGAATAAAAGTGAAGATCATAGCGAAGGAAACATAGTTGATATACAGAAGTGACCCCACCTAACGCAGTGTAATCATGTCTGGTCTGAACTTGATTGTTTCCACGACAAACGTCTTGTGATTTCTGTGCAGCTGAAGCAGCTGGGTCACAGCGTGGACAAGGTGGAGTTCATCGTGATGGGCGGGACCTTCATGGCTCTCGCTGAGGAGTACAGAGATTACTTCATCAGGAACCTACATGACGCTCTGTCAGGACACACGTCCAACAACGTGGCAGAGGCCGTCAGGTAAACCTCAACCACGCTTCGTCCTCATTTACAGACGTGTCACAGACACCGTGCTGAACAATACAACCTCCAAATCTTAAAAGAATCATAAATGTTGAGATCTTTAATGATAGTGTCCACTAGAGGGAGCTCTTCTACCATTTTGAACTATTTCACTGTTGCTGTTAATTATTTGCTCTATATCCCAATTATTGACACCAACAGAAGTCATGGTCTCCATCCATGCTGTAACCTTCACCAATAAGAAAAATAAAATATAGATTATTGTGAGCTGATCTTAATACCTGCAGAAACATCAAAGTACAGGTTTAAAAATCATGTAATTAAAAATTTTTAGTGTATTATTTTTTCTTAAGCTGTCATGAGCTCTCCCCTGAGTTATCAATAACATACTGTGCAAAAACTGCATATTTTGCATTTGCATTCATTGAACCCACCCTTAGTACTTCTCCCCATCTTGTAGTATCTCCACAAATATATAACTGTTTACGAGGAAACCCTCTGCTGCTTAATTCTGACTCTTCCTCGCCGGCTGAGCTGAGTTGTGCCATCTCTGAACATCCTCATAAAACGAAAGTGGAGCGTGTGTTTAGAAGATGACGTGAAGAAGATTCAGAGTCCGTGTGGAAATACCCAGAGACCCAAGTGCCGCCTGTTCCCGAAAGCTGAGGCAGTTTGTTTGTCACTACGGCCTATTTAATTTCCTAAAGTCTGATAAGACCAGAGAGGCAGTTTGTCTAAAAGTGTGTGTCTCTTCCACTTTGTGTGTTAGTGTGCGAGTTTGCTTGAACTTGCCGCGCCGTTATCAGCTCTCTTGGTTAAGATGCTTTGATTGGGTTACGGCCGTGGCTCGGTTTGCAAAGCAGGATGCTCTTGGTTTGGGTAGAGAGAGACAGTCCTTATCTCTACCTGTGTGTGTGTGTGTCTGTGTCTGTGTCATGCTTGTTTTGGAAAGAGTGTGCACGTCTGACGCTTGTGTCTCTGTCTCTCATGCTCAACCTCCCTCTGATCCGATCACTCTGATGAGATCGCTGCAGATAATCGCCCGAGATAATGGACTTTTTATTGATTCATCTCATTCAATCTGATCATCGTTTGGAGCATAAACTTCTATAATTGGTGTAAATCAGCCGGCAGACTGTAAAAGATGGACATTTATTGCCAGCAGATAAAGAATCATATTAGCTGGCACATGTGGGGGGTTGGGAGGGGAGCAAATGGTCATGGAGGCAGCTGGGAGCGTGCGTGTGCAGCTTTTTCGGTTTCGGTTTGGAGGGAGCGGTGACGTCAGAATCAGGCGTGATGTCGAGGAATTTCAGGGTCAGGATTTAGAGGGTTTTACTGAAACTGGTTCATGTTGCGGTTGTGACATTGTTGAAGGACAGGAGGTGGGAAAGACATTTTAAAAGCTAAGGGGACGACTTTAAGGCAGCTCCTGAATCCATGAAATGTGACGATTTTTCCTTCTTTTCCAATAAATATGTATTTCAGTTTAAATTATAATTATTTAGGTTTTTAACGATGGGGTAAACACTCATTAATGTCTCATTTAACAGCTCTCACATGTCACTCTCTTCACCACCATCACTTTCTCTAATGCTTTAGTTGTATCCTAATATAGGGTCGGTGTTAACTGTCTGGATAATGATCCATGCAGACTCACAGCATGTGAATTGATGTTGCTCAATGAGCCCAGTACATACAGTAATTGAGCGTTAAAAAACAAAACAAAACTCTGACTGTGTCAAAGTGGGAATATTAAAAGAAGGTGTTTTATTATTAAATGAAAAAATATCTGGTGTTGTTCTCCTGCAGGTACTCTGAGCGCAGTAACACCAAATGTGTCGGTATAACCATCGAGACGCGGCCTGACTACTGCCTGAAGAGACACCTCAGCGACATGCTGGGCTACGGCTGCACCCGACTGGAGATCGGAGTTCAGAGTGTGTATGAAGATGTGGCCCGAGACACCAACAGGTTAGTAGGTAAAAGGTGGATTAATCTGTGGGTGTACATTTAGAATGCAGCTCATCTGAAGATGTGTGATTTATGTGTGTGTATGTTTGCTCCAGAGGTCACACAGTACGAGCCGTGTGTGAGTCTTTCCACCTTTCGAAGGACGCCGGATTCAAAGTCGTCGCTCACATGATGCCGGATCTGCCTAACGTTGGCATGGAGAGGGATGTGGAGCAATTTATAGTAAGCACTAAGAATTTATTTTAATTATTTAACATCCTTTAAACTATTGTACCTTCAGATTTACAGAAGAGAATGACTGACTAGCTTACAATCAATGCACAGTTATGATTTTTATAAGACTGCCTCAATGAGTGAGTGACGTTTTTTAAATTTCAGGGGACGTCTTTCCCCTTTTTAAAATAGTGATTCAGTCTTTGTAAATACAGACAAGACAAGTAAGACAGGTGTGACTAGAGTAAAGGTTCAGCAATAATCCAATGAATATTAATTTAACTCTCTCTACTGTAAAAGAACCCACCTGTCATCCAAATTAAAAGTATTGCAAATCTAAAATCACAAAAATCTAAAATCAGGGAGGAAAAGACTTAACAAACAATACTTAAAGAGAAATTTGAAAAAAAAAAAAATTCATTCAGATATCGATTTAACAAAAATATCATCTGCAAAATAAATTGAAAAAAAAAAAAATTTCTTTAGATACTAAATGTAAGTCATTAATATACATAAGGAATAAAAGAGGACCAAGTATGGAGCCCTGTCGCACACCACATTGAATTTGGCTGTTATTCAAGTTTGCTGCAAAAAAAAAAGTAATTTTTAAACCGATTAAGCCTGTTTGCAGTGACACAGTAAGATTGAAGCGTAGTTATCAATATATTAGTCTTAAGTCTTAAAGGTCTAAAATCGAATAATTTGAATTTAAGGCCTGAAATTTTCTTAAAATGTCTTAAATACAAATTTGAAAGGTCTTAAAAATTTCAGATAAAGATTGATTTAAAGTTAGTTTAAAACGTTCAGATTTCCCTTTATGTCTGTTGTACTTTTTTCACCAGTATGGATGTAAAATGGATCCTAAATTACAATCATTATGGTCTTAAATAGTCTTAAATTTGACTTGTTGAAACCCTAATTATGGCCGACTGTGTCAAAGGCATACTGCTGTTATTTTATCAGACAGTCAAAACAAAGCCATGGTGGTACCTCATGGATGTGAGTCAGCATTAAACGGTGAATAAGGCGATGGTTGAAATGGAACTCCATCTTTTAGATAAACTCTAATTTTACTTTTTGCAATAGTTTGTTCAATTTAGTTCAAGGACAGAGAAAAAAATCACATTTTAGACAAAACAGGTGGAAATGTTTCACTTGAAATAACAGCAGTGAAGTTTTGCAGCGAGTGGATCATCGGGTTTATTGTTTGTGACATTAGTAATCATGTCGCCTTCTCCACCTCGACACCAGTGAGCGTCATCACTACTTACCTCACAGTGGTGGAGTAACAAGAGAGTCCTACATGCAGCATCTTAAAATAGAAAGAGAAAGGCTTCCACAGTTCACTCACGGTCCCGACTGGGATGTGACTCAGTAGAAAATCTCGTCTCAACAGCGGGTTCAGATTACAGCTCTGATTGGAAACAGCTTCGATATGAGAGCGAAGAATCTTCCTCCCAACGCGCCGGAGGACGTAAACGAAGACTCAGTTTGAGGCTGAGCGTAATTTCAGCTTTTTTAGTGGCTTTTACATTGATTAATCCAAAATCAAGTGATTATAAACACAATGGAGAAAAGGAGGAGATGATAGTAATTGGTGTGGTGTAGACTCTGAGACACCGCTGTGATTCGCTCATTATCTCAAATCCTCCAAAAGTTACAGCTCCTCTACTTCTGTGTTTGGTTCTGGTTTGAGTTTCTGGCAGCGGAGAGTCAGAGTTTGGCACCAAACACTGATAAAAACAGGTTTGATGGTTTGCAGATCATTTAATTTGGCTGAAAATAAAGCAGAGACAACATATCAGATGGTGAAACTTCAAATTTGATTCCAGAAACACATTGGGAAAAAAAACTGAGACGGGGGCATGTTTACCTTCATGTTGCATCAGCCCATCTGTTGACAACTCTTCGGGAAGTGAAGAGGAGTGAAATTGTGTCCCAGTCTTTCCAGTTGCGGGATGAAAATTATAATCTGTGACGCAAAATTCTCGAGCGTTTCACAACGAGATATCACACAATTTAACTCACAGTTTACCCGCGTAAAAAGAAGTAACAGCGGGGCTTTTCCAATTAAAACACACCTTCAGCTGCACCTCTGACCCCCTCTCTCTCTCTCTACCCTAATTAAAGGGATATTCCGGCATAAAATTAATTTAGGGTCAAACACACCGTAACACAGAGTTGGACACCCCCTCGTGAGATGAATGTTGCCGACCGCTTGCTTCTCTAGTTATACCAACTTTAGTAACCACCGCACGATAGCAATACACAGGAGTCTGAGGAGCCACAAACAAACCTCACGCTCTGGCATCTGGAAAAAATGTAACTCTTGCAATCAGCCGCGGAGTGGCGATCCACAGCGGAACAGGAATAAGCCAGTGGAAATAGACACATTAACTTGAATGGTTATGATCAGCTACGATCAGAGGATACGGCCTTTTCGTAGCCAATGCAGTGGAAATTGGGGGTTAGCGTCTCGGTATAATAAATGTTCTTCCTTGAGCTGCGAAACTCCGCTGCACTCGGTTATCAACTCGTCAGGGCTCCCCCACAAACAAGCGGCTGCTGGAGGAGGCAACATTCATCTCTTGAGGGGGGGGCCAACTCAGTGTTACGGTGTGTTTGACCCTAACTTAATTTTTACGCCGGAATATCCTTTTAAGAGGTGAAAGTTTCTAATCTGTACAAACTTCACCAGTATCACAAAGAATAAGGAACACCGTGTACCAATCCTTTTTCAGGCTCTATTGTCGTATTTTGATGGTCGCTTGGTTACAGCGTTTGTGCAGATTATCATAGTAGTCTGTGTCTCAGGTGGACCAGGTCACAGGGAGTAAATGGGGTTAATACAGCTTCATCGACATTTAAGTTAAGGTGCATAATGAGTGTAATGTTGAAACCCTTTATACTTCAGCAGCGCTCAGTCCATCTTTAATCTAAGTACGCAGTGTCCATCACGTTACATTAAAGGCACTATGAGGAGTTTTTAATGGGTTCAGAAACAGACCGGAAACGGTGACGACGTCCATGTCACTACTGAGCGTTAACAGCTCTGAGTGTTTTATTTCCTCACATAAAGATTTAAAATGTGAAGAAGGGAGTCAGTGTCCTTCTGCAGATGTGCTGTATAACCTTTTTGTGTGTTGTAGAAACAGCTTTAATATGTCAGCATGGTCACACGCTATACCACACGCTCGCACACTGAGAGGACATTTAGCTGTCACTTTCTTTGTTTACCGCTCAGACTGCTGCCTTTTTCCTTTCCTCCCTCAGTCTGGATGTTTCCTCACTTGTCTCCTTGTTTGTCTCATTCCCTCCTCTCTTTATCTCTCACTCAATCTTTTTTTTTTTACTGCCTCGGCCCCGGTTTTCTCCACGCCTGTCACTTCATCTATCTCCTCTCTTTCATCTGCCTCTCTTTTCTTATCGCACCAACACTTTTGTTTGGATTCTGTAACTCGTGCGCAGCTCCAACATTTCCAACCGTTTATGTCACTCTTCAGCTTTCTAAACATCTCAGATCCAGATGATTTAAAGCCACATATGGAAGGAAGAAAAGACGTCAGAGCGGGGGGATCATACTTCTAAAATGTACATTATCGTGTTTTTTTCGCTGTGCGGTGATATTTTTAGCTGAAATTTAGCAGCCGAACCTAAATGTATTATTATTTAAGGTGTCCTGTGACCCTCGAAGGGATTATTAAGGGGATAAAATAGATTAAATGGACGGCTTGAAGGGAAATTGCAGCTGTGTTTGATGTCCAATTTGTGGACAATGAGAAACAGATGATGCAAACAGCTGAAGGAGTGTTTACAGCCTCCGTGAAAATGAGGAGTAATAATTCCATCAGAGCTTTTCTTCAGTATTGACCGACACTCTTGATTTTCTTTCTTTTCATTAATCCTGTTGCTGTTTGTATGTAACGTCCCGGTCAGCTGGTTCCTGGAGAATCTTGCATCCTTCTTGCACCTATCATGACCGCCCTGATAATGAAATTCGATTACAACTTCCTCCCACCGCAGGATCCTTTCTCACTTATCTCCCGTGTTCAGATGCTCCCTGGCCTGAGGGAGGCAGCCTTAACAGCGTTCCTCCTCACCGGTGACTAACACCAGCTCTGATTTCTTGAACGATGTTCGGTGTAAAGAAACTCTTAAATCTTCCCGTATCAAAGTGTTTTCACTTCCATTTAAGTTTACTTCAGAGCGATATGGGACGTGTCCTCGTGTGATTATGGACTGTGACGAGAGAGAAGGAGATTATGAGATACTCCTGATGTGGCCTAATTTGGAGACAGTTCCTCGGTTCTGGATCTCCACGGTTTTAATCGGCGTTGAGAGAAGGAAGTTTGGAGAGTGAAAGAACTGGAGAACAAAAAAACTTCCATTTGCTATCGTACTCCTTTAGTTTAGTCTTTCCAGTTAGTGTGACATGGATCCGTGTGTTTCTTACAGGAGTTTTTCGAGAACCCAGCCTTCAGACCCGATGGTTTGAAGCTGTACCCCACTCTCGTGATCCGAGGCACGGGTCTGTACGAGCTGTGGAAGACTGGCCGTTACAAGAGCTACACACCCAGCGCCCTTGTGGACCTTGTTGCGCGGATTCTGGCTCTGGTGCCGCCTTGGACTCGAGTCTACAGGGTTCAGAGGTAAGACGATTGAGCCTCTGACATGTCTGTGCTTCTTAAATATCCATTTTTCAGCTGTTCATTTATCCTAAAACTGTCTTTCCCCATCTTGCCGCCCTTTAGAGACATCCCCATGCCGTTAGTCAGCTCTGGAGTGGAGCACGGCAACCTGAGAGAGTTGGCTCTGGCCAGGATGAAGGACATGGGCACTGAGGTGAGACTCAAAGGTCTCTTCCACTAAACCGAAAGGGCCGGCATCAGCTAATTTTTGTGCAAGGAAGCTAAAACACATTTCCAGCTGGGAGCGATCCAAACAGTTCCCACTGAAGTCCACAAACAAATGCTGACTGTCAGCACGGCAGCATTCAGGATCACTCGGCCAAGTCCTGGTTCAGACTCAGATGTTAGTCAGTCTCTTGGAAAGTTCTGGATAAACTGGTTCGGCTCTTATGATTGTGTCTGTTTACAGTGTCGAGATGTGCGAACCCGTGAAGTGGGCATCCAGGAGATTCATCACAAAGTCCGACCGTACCAGGTAATCCAGGTTGATTGGCTTCAAACGAGTTAGAGGCTCTTGGGTAAAGTGTGAGTGAGTCCATCTTTGCAGCCTCTCCCCTCACTCTCGATCGTTCCTCTGTGCAGGTGGAGCTGGTGCGTAGAGACTATGTAGCGAACGGCGGCTGGGAGACTTTCCTGTCCTACGAAGATCCAGAGCAGGACATCCTGATCGGCCTGCTGCGTTTGCGCCGCTGCTCGCCGCAGTCCTTCCGTCCGGAGCTGAAAGGAGACGTGTCCATCGTTCGAGAGTTGCACGTTTACGGCAGCGTCGTTCCCGTCAGCAGCCGAGATCCCAGCAAGTTCCAACATCAGGTACAGAAGTTTGACTCTCACACCCAGACTCACGAATTTATTATTCGGACTATTCGACTTTAAACGTGTTTGTTTCTTCCTCTCCTCTTTTAGGGTTTTGGTATGATGCTGATGGAGGAGGCGGCGAGGATCGCAAGAGAGGAACACGGCTCGAGTAAACTGGCTGTAATCTCAGGTGAGGAAAAGATAATCTCCTGGATCAAGTTCAGGTTTTTCCGAGCCCATCCCAGCAGATTCACAGACTGATTTTTTTCCTCAGAAGCAGAAATTTCCTCAGGTGTCTGTTATCTTCTACTGAGCGCCTTGTTTTCTCGTGTGTGTTTACAGGTGTAGGAACGAGGAACTACTACAGGAAGATGGGCTACGAGCTGGAGGGGCCGTATATGGTGAAGAACCTGTACGACCCTCAAATGGACTGAACACGGACAATGTATTTGTACAAAAACACGCACAAAAAAGTATTATTTATCATCATCATATTCTCAGGATAACCGTGACAGGATAGAGGTCGGTGTATCTAAACCACGTCAGCCGACATCCTCCAGATGAGACCGTTTCTACTCACATGTGCCACATACTTCTCTGTGAACATCCAATTCAAATCTCTACATGTTAATTTTGGAGGTCTGGGATAAAAAACCGGTGCAGCATCAGTCTGAGTTAATCGTGTTTTTTTTAAAAAGCATTCATATCAGGTTGGCAGAGGATGAATGAACTGTGGGAAGTGTCCTAGCTGGGCGGCTGCTGTTGTGTAATTGCACAATTTGAATTTATAGGGCAGGAAATTGAATATTAGCGTTACATAAATTGGTTTTAAAGCCTCGCAGTTAATCCTGTTTCTTGTTTTTCTGTCATGCATCTTTGGTTTTCTGCTTAAACACATCGTTTGAGCGCTTTTCGCACGGAAAGAATAAAGTATATTTCGTTTACTACTTCCATCCTGCTTTGTAGGACCAGATCTTGGTGTTGCAGAAATCTTTGAATGATTAAACCTCGATGATGAAGAAGCCACAAAGGTTTCAGCCTTCACAGAAATGCCACGCTCAGGGGAGACTACTTTAATGTATTCCCAGGTGTCAAGGGTGCCAGCCCTCACGGGGGACCCCTGATGATTGCCCTGCGAGAGTGTTTTACTGGCTCATTTGACACGGCCTTTCCAATTACGTCTCTATCAGTTACCTGTCTATTGAGCATTGACTGAGTGCGGCGTTCACCCGCACTATTACTGGAAAGGGTTTGTCATTTGAAAAATAGTTGGCAATAAAGCCCAAGAGGCTTATACCCCGACCTATGTCTCATATAGATTCCAACTCCACGGGGCGATTGAAGCTGAACGGCCATGCGTAATTTCCTGGATGCAGCCCCCTGTGTCGTGACTCTGCTGTGTGTTGGTGTTGCAGTCCCCCTGACGCAGTGAGGAATAGGCCATATTCAGGCTTTCTCTCCACGCTCGCTCACTCACGCTATCAGATGTGAAATCTAAAAGGACTTTCCCTCGCTCGCATTCGCTGAGTCTGTGCCGGGCTGATTCATGCTGTAGAGGCGGCAGAGTTTTTGGTCTAATCTTCACTGCAACATGAGAAGAAGTGGAGCAAGTTCAGTCGGCTTTCCCGGATAGGCTTGTCAAAAACCCACTAAAGGGAAAGGACAGAGGAGGGCACGGTGTTGATGCTCGTATTTAGTACGGTTCTCCCTCAAAGGAATCCATGATCCACAAGTTGAGGAGCAGGATTCGATAAAAGATGTTATTATAGATAAATAAAATCCAAGATATCCCAAGAAGTCTTCACTTTTTTTGCAGCTAACATCTGAATCGATTCTTGACTTTGAAACCAGTTTTAATTCATGGCAAACTTGATGATGAAGGTCCTGATTACACAGCTCCCCCTTTAAAAGAAAAGTATTCAATCATGTAAATAAAGAGTGTACAAATGTTGCAGGAAAAAAGGTTTTATTTTGAGTAACAACAGATGATCATGTTTAAAGTTCATTTTTATCTTGTATTGGAAGAATTAAAGATATAAACTGAAGGTGGGGTCTCTTGCAAGGTCTCCACAAGTCTGTTGGGGTTCGGTGCAGGCTGGAGGGTCCACATAAGGTCTGATTCAATCATTATCAGCCGGACTCTTAAATGCATGTTGTAGCTTTCAGCAGCAGAAACTCGGATCATCCAGATTTTTGGGGAAATCAATTCAGGAATTCACTTTCACGTCTGCAGGGAGTTTCAGCTGGTTGTGAGGAGACTGAAATAAACAATGTCTTTGTGTCCTGGAATATTGAGCAAATCTATCAACAAGTTACTTCAGGTTACTTTAAGACGGCGTGCTGCTGATCCAGCCCTTTTTTTCTCCTCAGAACTCCTCATCTGTGGTACATTTGAGAGGAGAGCGTGAGGAGATTTTTGCTGAGATTACGCATGTGCTGGAAAAAATCAGCCAAGACTACAACAGGGAGAAACTGACAAACCAAATCTTTTCTTTGCAAACGCATTCACACCCACTGCCGTTGAGTTTTGAAGCGAGAGACCCTTGTCTGGTGAAAAAATCATTTATTAAGATTTTAGGAGACAACACTGTCCGTCTGTCGTTACCGTCTTCACAGACGAAATTTTGATGTTAGCAGTCTTCCATGTAACTCAGTGTGTTGAGGAAATATTGTGGTGAAAGTAGGATCCCTTTAGTCTATCATATCCCTACAGTAGGTATCAGATCTATCAGAGACAACCTCACTGACTTTATGAGTCAGATTACATTCTCACTCATATTTATACAACTTTGGCATTTTTCCAGATATCATGTACAATACATCAACGTCTTGACGCAAAGCGATTTAAGATATGGTTCAGCCAGTGACAAGACTAATGACCTGTAATAAATGCTGCGGCCTGGAAATGATCAGGAACAATCCTGACGCCTGCTTGTAATTTCCTGGTCATGAGAAGATGGTACATTAGCGATGATTCGTCACTGCGCTGCTAGCCTTCTTAGCTCGGGGACGTAGTTTTGACATTCACTCTGAAAAAGTGATGTATTGAAATGTTCCTGGCTCAGAGCAAGAAGGTATCATGATAAAGAAATGTTGAATCTAAACCCTTTAACACCACTATACTATATCTGTCAGAAGTATTAATATATAAACATGTCTTAAGCACATACCCTGAATAAAGATTAAGATTTTTAGGGTTGAGAATCAGGACAAAAGTTAAAATTAGCTGCATTTTTCAAGTAATATATATAAGGTATCAGCATAACCCAAGCAGCAGTAGTTTTCCCTTTAATCCATTCAACCTTACTCTCAGTGCGATGGGTTTTTTCTGCAACATCAAACGCAGCTCAAGTAGGTCTCAATATATCTCCATGTCATTTTTAAATAGTTCTCTTCTAGTTCATCCCGTCTCCCTTTTGTTTTACACACAAATTGTTTTTCTGTTTTATTGATGTAAAAGGGACTCGACCTATATAATCTTTCATACTCGTATCCCCCAATCCTCTGCAGCAGCAGAAAAGTGGCTATCGCCTACTTACGTTGGAAGCTGCAGCTGGGGGGTCCCGAGTCAATATCATCATATAGTGGCTGCAGCAGTTGTTGCCATTACAGCCTCTTAAGCGCTTTCTCTGTCAGTGGGAGTCCTCCTCTAGAGCAGAGCACACTCTGGCCTCCAGCTGGTCTGCTCTGGGCCGAGCGTCGGGATTTGAGGCGAGCATCTCTAAAAGCAGGGTGCACGTAGCCGGACCGGGAGGGGGTGGCAGCGGGGGTGCCCTCTTAAACTTCATTGGGATGCACAGCTGAAGGTCAGCGTTCTCCCACAAAGCTTCCCCGAGCGGCATCAACCAGCCTGAGCGACCCTTACACACGTAGGCACCTACAGAGGAAACAGGCGGGGAAACACAGTTCTATCATCAGGATGCAGGTTTCTGACTGTCAGCAGCAGCAGCAGCAGGGAGCCACTTGATTACCCTGATTGTGGAGCACACATGTACCTGAAATAAGTGCCGACTGTTGTGACATATTCCCAGAAATTGCAGAGAATCCAAGTGCTCTAGTTATAGATGCATTTTGCCATTCTGGGTTTCTATGAAATCTCCTTATTTCTGGCATGGTGCCGCAGCAGCACTGCACAGATGCAGCATGAGTGCGCTACAAAACTGTTTCGACCTTTTAACATGGATGTTTTATATGAAGCGGATATATACAGCTCCTGTTAAGGTGTGCAGCGTTGATAAGGTGTAACCGTGGAAGCCTGTGATGCCGTCCCATGAATAATTCAGAAACAGGAAAAACTTGGAACAATAACCAGATCATGGAAACTGATCAGAGTGGAAGTTCTGAGACTAACTTTCTTCTTTTTCATAACAGTCTGAAGTTGAACTCTTTCGGGCTTTGGTTGCTGATAAGAATTATCAGGGAAGATAAAACTTTGGTTTTAATAATTCGAGCTGGTCACATTTCTCAACTTGACATTATGTGGACTAAATGATTAATTGAAAAAAATCAGGAGATTAATGAAGGAAAATTAAAATCATCAGCTTAACTCCACTGAAATTAAAAGACGATTATCTGTGTCCATAATTGAATTGCATCAATTACTTTTCCCAAAACTGTCCTCCTGTTCTTTCACGAGGGTCGACTCGTTTTATCTGAGCGCTGTAAGAAACACAACGCAAGGAGTTTCCTCCCTCAGTGTGAAACCCTGACCTAAACACTTGAGGCCGAGTGAAAAGCCAGAAATCATCCTGACTGAGCACAAATATAAAAGAGCACAGATAGAAGAGTCGATGTCCTGCTCCTTCACTGTATTCCTTACTCTCTTCTTTCTCGTCAGATGACTGTGTGGGTCTTGGAAGACGATGTTAAAAGATAATGAACCGTTTTATCTTTCTGTGACAAGTCATCTGTTCCTCCCAATTTCTCTCACAGACAGACAGACAATTGTGGTCAGACTTTTACTCTCTTTTTAAATCCGCCAAAACTATTCTTTGTCCATCCAATCATAACTATTTCACTCAGACTAATTGAGTATCAGTGACTCAGGAAGGATCTCAGGCATTAAACTCGGGAATAATCGCCCGTAACCCCCTTTTTCTCCAGGTTGGCTCCGGCCAGTCCCATTTCTGGTGATTAAAATGCATTACAGCCATTTCATTACTCTGAGGGTGAGGCACAAAGAACAACGGGTCCATTAAGATGCTACCTCATCCTACACATGGGGCTCCGAGCGAGGAATAAGACAATAAGAGGAGACATTCAATAGTCCTCCCTGCTCTGCATAGCTATACTGGAAACCCTGCGACTGTCTTTCTCCTTGATAATATAGAATTCACCTTTGGGCGGCTTTTCGGATCCAGTCATGACATGAGAGTACAATGAAATGAGTTGTAACCTGCTGCACGGAGGAACAAATGAGAAAATTCACAAATAATACGCATATGCATCTAAATGAATGTCCATCTTTGGGGGTAATGATGCGTAGGAGAAGAGCTGAGGCACAAATGTAGAGCTCAGAGAGGCTGTTTCTACCGTGCGTCAACAGTGAGACCCCCGATGATCAGATCTCATCTTCCTGCTTTATACACGGAGTCCCATTAAAGGTGGGGTAGGCAGGAATCAGTTAAAGAAGCATCTTTTTTTGTGGTGTATTTACAAAAAAGCTTTTGATATCAGTCAACACCTATTAGTTATTGATGACACTTGGTAATATAATGATATCGCTGTGTTTTGTTCTGTCTGTGGAGTCAACATTCAAAATTTTTAGAGCAGTCCGCTCTTTCTGACTGTAAACAAAACCGTTCCCTGCCTTCTTCAACCTGATTGGTTGTGAGGCAGACGCTGCTCCCCCGTGTCGTTCACGAGCCCAAACAAAGTTAGCGTGCAGCAATATCGGACAGTAGAAACCAACCAGAAAGTTCGGAAAATTGTCTGAATCCTCCTTTGGCCACGACTGCCGACACAAGCAAGAAAACAAAGTAAATACCGGAGACTCTGGAGGAATAACGGGCGCTTAAAACGGAGGTAGACCGGACAAGAGCTAAAAAGCCGGGTCAACATAAACGATGGGGGACGCTTGGGGATCTTGGTGACCCTGTAACCTTTCTGCTGGACAGGTAAACCGCTTTAACAAAGTAAGACAAGTGTCTGTAACAGAAGTGTTTCTTGTCAAACGGACCTGCTGTAGCGTGTTGTAGCGCCATCGCTAAACTGTCCTCCCTCGGGTCCTGGACTATGTCACTTTATCCTAGTTGTAGAAGTCCTGCAAACATTGTGTTTGCTGGTAGTCTGTTGGCATCTACAGTAGCACCAATGTTTTTGACTTTCACTTTGACTGGGCCCCATTTGTAATGATCTGAAGTATTTATCTGCATTATATCTGAATTTAATTGGAACGATACGAGCGAGCAGGAGCGTCTGTTTGTGGGCGGGGCTTGTTGGAGAGGAGGAGCTGAGGGGAAAAGTGGTTGGGAGGGGTAGAGTTTACATTCAAGATTTCTCCTAAAAACTGGTGCTAACTCAGATCCTGACTACCCCACCTTTATCCCCCACTATCAAATAATGACACTTTTTTGCCAACATGATGAGAGCTCCTCTCTCTCTCTCACACAAACTAAAGAAATGTTATCACGTCTTTTTTTTTGATTATTTGAAGTCTGATGTCACCGGTGTTACACTTCTGTGGATTCATCTTTGACTTCACAGCAGACTGGAGACTCTGATTACAGTGGAAAAAAAAACCCACAGAAAGATCGACGTCATAATGTCTCATAACTGCGCTGCGTTAATAAACTCTGTTAGGGGGAGTGGGAGGCATTGATCATGCATTATATCAGGGTGTGCACTAAAACGGGCTAAACGACAGCTCAGCATGAAAAAGACAGATTGGAGTAATATCCCAGAACCATGAAACACTATAAAAACACTCGATCACATCTGTTACTCGAGTCTCTTCTAAGTCTTTCCTCGTCAGCGCGGGTTCATGCCATATAAAAAAAAATTAGATGATGTCTTTTTACTCTTCCTCGCTGAATAAATACAGACATGATAGAAGGCCTGCCCTGCTGTTATTTTATATTGTTTGTTTAAAGCTTATGAGTGCAGCTGCCCGGCTCAAAATAAAAAGATTTCTCAATTTAAGTTGATGGTGACTTTCTCCTTTTTGCATGCAAATTAAAAAACTAACCAAAGAATCTAACTTGGATCAGAGTCTCTAACTAAAAAGTGGGACTCCAAAATATTAAGATATCTCAATTTCCTAGAAATATCAAGGTAGTGATCATGGGTCATATTTCCCAGCTCTACCTGGGGACCAGTCAGGACTTTGAGGTGTTTAAAGTCACTCTAAAACTGGACATATTCTCAGGTTATTTTGTTCTCACATGCTGCTATCAACAGCATGTCTGGAGCAGTAGAGGCTGAGTCTAATGTTACGATGTCACTTTGCATTATAAGAACCAGTAAAACGTACAATCAATCTCAAAATGTACATACAATTAATCATTTTTGCCATTTAGATTTATGTCGTTACCATCCGCTGTTGATGAATGTATGATGTACAGCATGTGACACTTTAATATGTTTCAGGTAATTACGTCAAACTCAATTCATTGTGATGTCTTAATAACCTGCCTTTCTGTCTGGGAAGGGAAGATCCTAATGAAATCGTATCTACGTTTATGTGTTTTAATGTGTTGTTGGTCAACATCACCAAAGCCCACACACAGTTTTTCTTCTTTATACTCACCTAGCAGTTCTTTCGTACTCCCTTCTTCCACAAAGGTGATCCTCTCCAGCACAGCCCAGAACATCACACCCAGGGAGAAGATGTCTGCCTGGGCCGAGTAGGTCAGTCCGCCCCACACCTCTGGAGCCATGTAGAAATCAGAGCCACAGATGGAGGAGAAGTGCTGCTTGGTGCAATCGCCATCCACCTGACCGTCACTCATTTTACTCAGACCAAAGTCTGCCACCTAGAGGGGGTCAGACAGAGAGAAGTATAAGAGAAGTGTAGGATTCTGCACTTGTGACTCCTTTAATATTCAGCGGTCTGAATATGATTTGTGAGACAGTTTTGCGTCAACTGTTATAAACTAAATTAAAGTTCAGAGCTCTGGTGGTTGGTTTGGTTTCTCTCTTAAGCTCATTGATGCCAAGAAAAAAAAAACAAGACAAAAAGCAACAACTTTGACACTGACTCCACACTGTCTCATCTCTCTAATCTACTTACCTTTACAACCGGGCCTTTGGGTGTCTCACAAACCAGCACATTGTCCGGCTTCAGGTCGCGGTGGGTGATACCCAGACCGTGCAAGAAGTCCATGGCGCTGCACAGCTGTTTCACCACGCTGTGATTGTTCTGGGTGTCTGGCGGCCTGGAGAGCAGGTACTGGTTTAAGTCACCCCCATCACAGTACTCCATCACAAGCCACAGCGCCAAGCAACGCAACGGCCCTCGCCGGTTCTCCTCCCTCTCAGCTGGTCTCTTCCTGCCTCTGCTCTGAGGTCTCTTGGGAGTTATAGTCTGTGATGGATCTGGTTTAGTAGTCTTGTGAGGGGTTTTTGCTCTGGTCTGGATGGTGTTAGTCTTGTCCTTAAGTGTAGAAACACTATTAGTCTTCCTATGAGTGTCCTGCTGGGGAGTCATCTCCTCCTGGTTTTGTGGTGAACTGGATACAGTCCCCTTTAGCACACTCTCGACCAGAGGTAGAGGCAGTTTTCCTGGTTTGAGGGTCTTCAGACTCCTTGGTCCTGTCTGAAGAAGGCAGCTGTGGAGAGCTATGACATTAACGTGGATCTTAGCTGTCGCTCTCATGGCCCACAGCTCCTGCAGGTAGAGTTCAATGCACTCCGGGTTGCTGCAGGGAAGCCTCTTAATGGCCACCCTCAGTCCTGTTTTGGCGATCCGGCCCTCGAACACCACACCGTAGCTGCCCCGTCCCACCTCCCGCTCCAGAGTGTACAGCTCCTCCATCTCTCACCTGGTGCCAAAGTAAGGTAAAGTCAGTTTCAACGCGACTGGAAACACATTTAAGCGACTTTGAGGTGAGTCAGGAGTTTAAAAACTACATTTGCTAGCTAACGTTAGCCTAGCTTCAGTTTAAAGAGGCGAAGAGTCTTTAATTCATCAAACTTACCGACTTGACTTCAGCAGAACCATCGAAGAACTGACTCGAACTTCTTATCTACTTAACCGAGAAGATGTCTCGCACCATAATTATCGAGTTTTACTTTTTTTTTGTTTTGTTAAACAGACAACAAACAGTTGAAACGAGACGACGAAACTCAAAACGAGACAGACTTCCGTGTCTACATTCGGAACGTCCCGCTCTGTGTCTGCGTTCATTGTGATTGGTTGCAGGAATACTAACGCACGCTGTGATTGGTCAGTCCAAAAAATGAGGGGGTTGTAATATGATTCGAATTATCCAAGCCAATCAGAGCTGCAGCTCGCCACAGCTACTGAGGAATATTGTGAAATACAACAAGGGGCCTTTGATATAATAATGAAAAAGTCGTCTAAAATAATATCGGCTTTAAAAATAGTTCCACATACCAAAATATGTAATCGAAAATGATGGAGGATTAGAATGTTTGTTAAAGTGTGACTTTAAATTAACAAAACTCTCAAAACAAACAAATCAAAAATCAAAAAGTCAATGTAAATACAGATAATAGACAATGAAGTGACACTAACGAAGACTTATTGTTACTATCTTTAATGGCCAATTTCACCCAAGGTAAAAGAAATCCAGTTAAAATGAATAAACAATATTCTTATTTAGCAAATTAAAATCTCATTTTACGAGAAGAATTACAAGTAGTGAGAATACTGTTATGATTTTAGGTTATGGTAATCTTTGACACAGTTTCATTGCTGCAGACTCTTTTAATGAACCGCCTTCTATGGAAATCATTGACTGCTTTTGTTGGAGGAGTGTGGCAGCACTGTCTAAGTGTGTGTTTGTTCTTCTAGGGAAACATCCTCTGCAGTCAAGGGCTTCAAAGACATTAAACAGCTTTAGAGTGTTTGTGTGTGAGTGATAGATCTGCACATTCATGCCTATGTGATCCATAGCTTTTATCAGAGATGCCAGTCATCAGTAGCTTACTCTTTATTGCTCGAGGACGATGGAGTCAGTCACACTTGGCTCGTTTTTATCTGTGAGCCAATGCCCCCTCTTCTATTATCATATCTCACTCGCTTTGACAGATGTCTGGATGCAGAAATTTGGGCATACCGTTCTGACTGGAGGATTTATTGGTAAATATATTGATAGAACGGCATAAATAGAGGAAGAATTAAATTTCCTGACCGATTCAATAAAACAGCCGAAGCGCCCCAAAACGATGTTAATAACTTCAATAAGAGTTATAGTTGTAATTACATCTGTTTTTCAGACTAATTGTGTTTCTGTGGGGGCTTTGCTTGCTAATTATGGAATGCACCAATAGGAGAGGCAACAGTAATTATTTCCTTGATTGAGGTCAAAACCCTTGCATTTAATCCTGAGGTCTATCCCGCACCCCTCTCCTTCTCTCGCTCACACACAGAGTAAACATCAATGAGCAACTTCTTAGCATCCTACACTCAATTTCACAGCTGTCGCTCTTTTACAAATGACTTCCACATTTGTAGATTTCTAATATCTTTAGACCTGGTCGTCTTAAACGTCTCTAAAAGGACAAAATGTCTTTCTGGTGTCATATTCCCTTTGGTATGAACAGCTGGCACCAAAAGGAAAATAACCTGAGGGAGTTATGCAATATGATCGATTTAAGATCTATGTGAAATATAGCCCTATGGATTACTGAGTGCTTATGCTCTAAAATAAAACTTTCCCCCTAGTCTTTTGGTGGTTGACGCTGCAGATTTCATGTGGAGTAATCGAAGGTGTAATCATTCTTCCACGCAAAATTATGGCGGCTTTTTGGGATGGAAATGCAATAATTTGTCGGTACGGATCATTTTCAGTCTTGCAGTTAATAACAGTCACTTGTATCATGACAGGTGAAAGCCCCAAGTCGCCATAAACCCTGGGAGACTCACCCCCGCTCCTTTGTTACACATCATTGGGTTTCATTGTAGAGGGAGGCGGTCGAACACCTCAGCTGGATGAGAAGAAGGGTGGGGGACAGGTCCGGCTTGAAATGAATGGCCGACTCGGGCCAAAAAACGTCCAGATTCTGTTACAGCTGCCTGAGTTTTGCAGATCCTTTTGGCGAGGAGCCCGCCAACCCACAGTCAGCATTTTCCCATATCAGGAACCACCAACAAAATGTTCTCAGTGTAGTTGTTAGTGAAGAAAAGAAAAGAAAAGTCCATCTTGGAGAGACGGCCATAAAAAACAAGAGCAATGAAATGTCAACTCGACTTAATGTATATGCAAATAAAGAACCACTGCTAAGTTCTTCTGTCTCTTTACTGGGAAATAGAGTTCATTAAATAGTACTGGCTTGGGACGAATAATACATTTATACTGATTGCAAAACAAGTTCTGCTTTTATACCAGCAATCATTCTCCCCAAATCTTCGAACGGAGCATATAAAGACACCTCTCGATAGGTTGTAAAAGCAGTTTTTTTTTCTTCTTATGGCATTTAGATGACCTTCTGAAGTTCATGGAAAGGGAATAAAGTTGGGAAGAATCATTAAAGAAGTTTCCACAGGTACAAATCGGTTAATTTTTATCATATTGCAATAAATTAGACTGTATGAACCTTCTTTATGGAGATTTAATTGCAAAAAAAGTGCATTCCAGATTGATTGGCCCAAATTTAGGACAAAATAGGTGTTTACTTCTTGAAAATATAAATACCATCCATACCAAATCCAGGCTAAGAGGGTTTTGATTCGATGTGGCACCAAGTTAAGCATGACCTTCTCTGTCACCAAGGTGTCTCGGCCACCAGAGGAGGCTTGTGAAACCTGGACGGCTAGTGGGTACAGCGATATCAATGACAGACAGGCCTCTCAACGGCTGCATGTTCCATTGGGCGCCTTATCTCAGCCACACCGGGGGCTCTGTCTATGTATCCTATTCATTCATCACTATCAGACCCCACACAGGTTCAGCACCAGTATTCATTTGTTTACAGGGGGCTAAAGCTAACGTCAGATCGTGAGGAGGGAGCTGAATTTCAAGTGTAACTCTGAAGGTAGCAGCTTTCGCATTGATTATTGCTCTGATCTGAGATCGAATTATTGTCGTTTCACCGACATACCAGCCTTGTTTGTTGGTACGGCTCTATGTCTGATCAAATTAAAACCACTTTTGTCGTCACTAGATCAAGTCCGATGTAAAATGTTTAAATTAAGATGCCAGAAATTAAACTTTACTTCTCAAGGGAACTGGATTGTGTCTGTAGCGAGGCGGTAAGGACTGTTAAAGCAGTAGTAATGCCAAATCACAGAAAATTCTTAAATTCAACTATTGCGGCTATCCTAATACCTAATACCTAGGCTCACCTCTCCACCCCAGTGTAGGTAAGACCGCCCCTTAAATAAACTACCGGCTTTCAAACACAGTGTCCATGTGACCCGAACCCAGCAAAACCAATGGCAACCAGACAAAAGTAACTGAACACTGGATAAACTATAAGCAAAACAACATTATGGCTCCTACAGTAACTTCTGATGGAAGGAGCTCAAACTTTCTTTCTAAGCGGCTCATTTAAGAATCTCAGTTTTTTTATAGAGCTGAATGCAGAGTGTTAGATTTAGTTCTGCCATGTCCGACAAAGAAGACACTCTTCAATTGTGAGTTTGCTGATCGTCGTTATTTTGTTGACCAAACTAGTTCGTGACAACAATCTAGAGTGCAGGACAAATCGTAGACAATTATCCTTGAGTGAATCTTCAGATGGTCAGGCCAACTCTTTGCGTCCGTCACTATTGTCTGAGTCCGAGTCTTGGCGAAGGTCTAAATCATAAACTGAACTTCTCAAGGGAGCTGGATTTTGTTTATAACAAGGCAGTAAGGACTGGGAAAGCGGCAGTCCTGACCAATCACAGAAAATTCTCGACTTAAACTATTTAAGGAAGAAGTTCAAACTTTCTTTCTTAGCAGCTCATTTAAGAATCTCAGTTTTCTATAGAGCTGAACGCAGAGACTAAGATTTAGTTCTGCTACGTCCAACTAAGAAGACACTCTTCAAACTAGGATGCAACAATAATCTCGAGTGCAGAAAAGATCTTAGACAAAGATCCTTGAGCGAGTCTTCAGACGGTCAGACCAGCTCTTTGCGTCCGTCACTGTTGTCTGAGTCTGAGTCTTGGTGAAGGTCTAAATCATAAAGTAGTTTTTCCACTTTGAATGATCGTCATCACCTTAAATAAACACTGACCATGTTCTCGAAGGTCTAGTTTTCTGTCCTTAAATTTCACACATGACTCACGTTGAAATCCAGCCAGCAGACCCACACTGGCGGCTTTTTCTCTCCATTACCTATCCTACTCCTCATTGTTCAGGTTTTCATTCACAAAGAGAATTAAGCATCTTGTTCAGGTGTGTCATAACCACCATCTCCTCTGTACCAAAAACAAACCACCTGATCAGTCCATGATCATCTCCATGGCACTGCTTTTCTCCGCCGGGCACAGCTCCCATTGTTTAGGAACAATCCACCTCGAGGTGTTATTGTCTACCTGACCTTGGCAGCAGGTCAGCGTTGAGGTTGAGGGTTTTATAGACACCTCAGACATAGGGAATCTGGATCAATCTTTCTGTGGATGATGCATATTTTTAGAGCTCCATTAGTCGGCTCAATGAAGACGAAACTGGTGGCGTAGGCAAAGCCTCCTACGTCATCGCGGGCCGTGCTTTGTGTGTCTGTTTGGGGTTTGTGCGTAACGGAATGGGGGAATCCACCCTCTCTCCTGCTCTCCTCTATGATGTGGATGGTGATATACAGGAGGAGGGAGGGGGGAGAGTTCTGGAGGGTTGAGCCAGGAGGGAAGGGGTGTGCCATTATAAGAAGCCTCAGAGGAGGCATGCGTTCAGTTGTTGAAACCCTTAGCCTAAGGATACGAGCTGAGACACCAAACTCTCCTGATCCACAGAGAAAGGACTCCGAGAGAGAGCATCTTTGCATCACAGACGCAGGTAAGGAGGAAACCCAAGTTTGACTTTTTTCCATGTGAGCGTGAGCCAACCTGAGAAAAGAGAAGACACTTGTTCATAGATGAGGAAACTGTTAATTAGGAAGGGACTTGTTGTCTCTTGTATGCACAAACCAGAGAGTAATAGATCCTCGGAGAATACTGCTGCATGTGGACAACCTTTATCGTCCTTCTACATCAGCTCTGACATTAGTGATGAATCTGTTTCTGGGTCTGTGGTTTCTGATTCTGACCTCAGGTGAGTCTAGAGTAATCACTTTCCCCCCAATTACCTTGTTTGTCTACGTGCGACTCCAAAAGGGACCGTACTCACCCTCAGCAGTCCCCACATCGCACCTGATTACTACTTAATTAACTCGAGAGAAAGTCCCAGACTGTGCAGAAAAGCAGCTTCCTCACTCAGCTGCACTTGAGGAGTATCTTGACTTTGATGTAACACAAGCAGGGCATGCGCTGTTAATCAGATCTCTTAGATGTAAGAGAAATGATTCGATAAAAGCTGTAATAATGCATTTTAGAGACAAGAGTTTTCTATGATGTGCACTGTACAAGATCCTGATCGTGCGGTATTGAATGTCTGCTCAAAAACATCACACAGAGCTTTGTCAGAGCTGTTTTATCCTCAGTGTTGACCTGAAACAAGAGGGAGAAACGCCGGAGAAGTGAATCAGTTAGCGCTGTTATTATGCTAAGCACATGATAATGATGATTTTGATGATAATGGTAATGAATGTGCATAATCTGTTCCCATTACCAGTAAAGAGGATACTCGCTTAGACAGGGGAGAAAATGGGTAGTTAATGTGCCATTCATAGACGAATTACTCCACACTGGGGGATGTTTTAGGGAGAGTATGAAACGTGTTTACAGGACGGTGTCGAACAGAGAATTTACAAATATTTCCTCAATGTAAGTTAAGTGTTTTTGCTGTCTGTCGGAGGCGTTTTTTAGAGCTCCCAATATATCTCATTGTTGTTCATGAGGCCTCTATTCATAAAAAAAGGAGAGTCCATAAAACTAATCCCATTTTTCGTCCTACTGGTCCTCCGAATCTTGCATCACGTTATTGGCAAGAATGTCGGGATTTCATTTTCAATCATTTTACAGAGAAAACAGATTTTTTTTTCTTCGTTACATCATGTGCTGTCTGTGTTCAATAAGCTCCAAACATCCTTTAATGACTGCTGATCACCACACTATTGTTAATTCGGTTCCAGCATTAAGAGGATTTTTGCTCGTGGTGTTTTTTAAATATCCAAACTGATATTCCCGTATCTGCTGCTCTCCTCCTCACATTCAGCATCGCTGCCCTCACCTTGATAAAAGTGGGTAGCTTGTCTGGCTGTGCTAGATTGCATTCCTCTGGCTCTATGTCCAATGGATTAGTGCAGGTGTCAACGCAGCTTAACAGCAACCAGATCAACGATGGCACCATGTCAGCTGACGAACACTCTGCAGATTTTCAGCTGTACGGTGACGCGCCGATGACATTTAACACTGCAGGACTGAGTCTGTCTTTCAGGGTGATGATGTCCTTTTTTTGTTTTAAGAAGTGGAGATTCAGGATTTGTTGAGCTTTTCATTTCGTCTATTTGAGATGAACTTTTTCTGTCTCTTTCGCTTCAAGCACTTTTTCTTTAATCTCACACATTGTCCAACCTTTTTTAAGCGTCTCTCACAGACTCCCACACACTATGACAGTTTATCTGCTCAGTGTGCTCCCATCCAAGTTGTATACTGCACTTATAAAATCTAAGTTTTTGTGGCTATTAACACAGTTTTATGAGGACTAAATGAGATGATTGTTGGGTGTGATTTCTCCCCCTTGAAGGACGTATCTGATGATTGCAGAGGAGATGTAACCCAGTCGAGTCTACGCCCTCAGGTGCAAATCTGCTCCAAATTAAAAGAAACCCTACGAGTACAAATGATGGAAACAATAGTAATGATATGCTCAGTTGATCTGATATCATGGTGCCTCAAAATGAACTAAGAACAATCACATCTCAAACTAATATTTGCACTAATGTGTATGCGAGTGTTATAGCCTTGGCGGGATGCGATGGAGATAAAAAAGACTGCGCTCTACACGCTACAGAAGATAAGATTTCCTAAAGGCACATCCGGAATAATGATTCTTCCAGCAGATATAATAACAATATGACTGAGACAATTTAAGAGATAGAGGAGATAAAAAGTTTCTCCACTCGGGCTGATTGCACTTCTTTTTCATCTCCGTAACACGCCTGAATTTATGCAGTCTAATGTAAAACTTAAAGCTCTTTACTTTTGGTCTTTTTTCCTGTTATCGTAGGACAATCACTAAATTAAATACAGAAGCAGGTTAAAGGTACACTCCACCCTCCCTTAGACTAGACACTTCAGGACTCTTCCTCTGTCTGCGGCCTCTGTGCAAGAGGATCCTCTCGGTCTTCTAAGGTCTAAAGGCTTTTGGAGGAGTTTCTGGTTATTTGTGTTGTGGTCAAATTTGCTGTTTTTCTCAGTGGTATTGTGTGATTCTTCTGCTTTTCATGTGGGTCAGTTTGGGTTTAGTCAAGGCCAGAGAAACGACTGGTATTTAAAATGATAAAATAATGCTTTGTTTTGCTCCTCTCAGCTTCTGCAAATTAGGGATTCACCAATTCAAACATATCTCTCCAAATCTATGAAATAATCATAAATGTTTCTTACTGTCAGACTAATTCCAGGCAGGTAGATGTTTTGTACTTCATGACAGACGATGTACTGGTGTGTTTTTATAGTTCGCCTTTTTACTAAAGTTTTGAAAACCAGTACTCTTAATTTCCAAGAAAACACATCTAAAGGCCTCGAGGTATCTTCAAATAAAATATGCAAACCTTTTACAGCCAAAGAAGTGGAACAAGCTGGAAAAATCAATCTGGAATCACCAAAGCAGCAGCCATCGCTGCTTGTTAAGCTCTTAATAACTGACAGAGACTCTACGTTTTCATTAAACCTGTCAGGTGTTCTGACACCTGGATTTTGGCAGCTGGGCGTCCAGATAAATACGAGCAGAGAGTATAAAATAAGATCCTCCAACAGCCGATAAAATTTATTTTGTTGGGAATAAATTGAGAACAGAGTTGCAGAGAAGGTGGTCGTCTATGACTGAGACAGAACCAGGTGTTTTATTATTGGTTTACCTGCCAGGACACTTAACAATAAGTAAATATAACTCAGGTTAAAATTGAGGCAGTTTAAGTTTCTTTCTAATCATTTTGTTGAGAGTTACACAGGGGTGGAGCTAGGGGGGTTGCTGATTGGCTGCCCCAGTTGCCGCCCTGAAATTCTAAACCATGATTGGTTAAATGTCTCATCAAAGGCGATTTCTTTGAATTTCAGTGTGGAACTTTTTCTGTTGGTTTCTTGGTGATTGTTTTTAAAGGGTGACTTTGGAGAAACATATTTTTGTCTCCTTAAAGGTTTATTTAATGACACTCTATTGAGTTATCGGTAACACTTTCTTTTTACAGTACACTTATTACCAGGTAATTAACAGGTAATTACCTAGTGACAACATGAAATTATCTGGTAATTACATGATAACTACCAAGTCAATACTGTCTAACTACCAGGTAGGTAACCTTCCATCATCATACAAATTTGAAGCCGAATTGCTCTGGTATTTCCAGGATTTTCTCTGTTTCCTGGAACCAGCACTTGCGCAGTAGCATTGTACGCATTCGGCGGGTGAGTCGCTGTGATAATGCTCGGCTCAAACAGCGTATCGCTACGCAATCTTCGCACGCCCATAGGCTGTATCAAGTGTCAATCATAGAAAATAAGAACCCCAAATAGCTTTTGAAAATGGAGCTGCACAGAAAAAAGAAAAAAAGAAAAACAAGACAGTATTGACTCTGTAGTTATCATGTAATTACCAGATAATTTCATGTTGTTATAAGGTAATTACGTGATATTAACCCGGTAATAAGTGTACCGTAAAAGAAAGCGTTACTGAGTTATCTTATGACATTAAAATCTTTTAAAGTAGAAGTTAAACTCAATGTGACTTTCCTAACCGTTTATGTTTATTCCAATTGGCCACCCCTCTCTAAAGCCTCTACTTGAGTCTGGCCACCCCGATCTAAAAATCCTGTCTCCGCCACTGCAGATTCAAAGAGTTAAAGCCGATTTGCCTTTAATGGAGCGGCTGTGGCTTCGAGGTTGGGATGTTAGTCGTTCAGTTGCACCGTTGGTGGTTTGACCCGAGCTCCTGTAGTCGCGTACTGAAATGGGAATAGGCAGGACACTTAACCCCAAACTGCTCCCATAAATTAGTAAAGTTGTGGTAGTGTAAAAGTGCTTTCAGTGGTTTGAAAGATTAGAAACATACAACATAAGAACAAGTCCATTCAGCATGTTAGTATTGCTGTAAAAACTAGGGAAAGTAAATGATTTATTTTAAAAACTTAAAAAAGTCCACATATCTAACTCTTTTGAACTACATACTAATTATAAGAAAACATAAGTCCTCATCATTATTATCTCTGTTAAGATGCTAATCTTAATTTCTAACAGCTTGACTCCATCTACTTTAATTGATAGATATCATTCCTCCCCCGTTTGTCAACTTCATTATTATGAATGCTATTAGACCTGTTCACTTTAGCAGCCATAAATATCAGGAGCAGGCACTTTTCATTAATTCACTTCCTACGTAATAGTCTGTACCTGTCTCTCTACTCCTCTCTGAGATCCCTATAGTGTCAGGGCAGATGGTTAGTCAACACAAATCTGGTTCTGGTCAAGGTTTCTGCCTGTTGACAGAAAGATTTCTCAAGGTCACAGTAAAATAAGATAAAACAAAGTCTGGAAACAAAACTTATCTTATCGTTAAAGTCAAAAATAGATCGAAACACCTTTTATTTTCATGCCTACAACAAAAGTAAGTTTGTTTTTTGTATTTAGAGTTTTATTTCTAACTTTTTGAAACATCAATCCTTCAGCTCTCGTTTATTAAGAAAGTGAAGACAAGCAAATTAATCCCATTTACAGAAAAATCTATTAACTTTTTAACTGTATTGTAAGTTCTTTAACATCTTCTCTCCTTTACTTTTATATTAAACCTGATTTATCAACCAATTATCACATTTTCAACAAGCTATTAGAAAATCTAAGGTGATAAAACACCATGAATCTCATCAGGTTATAAAGAAATAATTAAGTGTCATTAATGGCCCATGAGATGTAGTATGTAGAATGAGAGTTTGAGTGATTTCACGTCCTATTAAGTGGCATCCTTATGTCATCCATCTTTAGTGGCTCCTAGCTCAGGCTGGGTCTTAATGAAGCGGTGTTAAGATCTCCAGACTTCAAGAGGAAACTAAAAACCTCTGCGATACGTCGTCGAAGATCTAAAATCTTGTCTGTAATTCACCGATGTGGAAATGGAGAAGAGGAAACAGTGGAAGATAAGTGGAGGGAGACGAAAAGGAGGACGGAGCAACAAGAAGAGAAAGTGGCCGCATAAGAGGGAGCAAGAAGAAAACAGAGAGGCAGAGACGGAGCGAGACCCTCGGGTTATCTATGCATTAGCAGACGCTTTTGTATTTTTCAGCTTCATGCAGGCGCTAATGGATGAGATAGAGTGAGTCAGAGCTTTGTCAGAGATGGACATGGAGCTTTTCTTCTCCTCGACTCACACTCATGACACCTTGGCCCCTTCTCCATCCGTCATTAGAGCTGCTAATGCTAATTTATCTCTCTGTTGGCGTACTTTGTGACTTTGTGTAAGGTGCGCACAGAAAGCTCAGACCCCTTTATCAGCTTTGGCGAAACACAATAGATTTTTTTCTTGAGGCCTTCCCATCACCTCTGTCGCTTAATTTGTACTTTTCTTTAACTTGGCAAAAACATCACCCACACCCCCTGAAAAAAACATTTTGTACAACCCTCCTTTTCATGCAGTAGTTCAACGCTCTTTGGTATTTTCGACTCGTAAAATAATTTAGAAAACATGAATCAGATGCATGAGACAGGGATCCATTTATAGAAGTTCTGATGTCTTCCTGTTTGATTGAAAGGACAGGAACATTTGAAAGATTTTCAGGGTCTTAGTTAACTCTAATGGAACCACAAGCAATATATTTGTTTTGGAAAGACCTGGGTAAAAGCATTCATTTGTGCAAGATGGAAAAGGCTCATTCAAAGAAAAAGGGACATCGGGCCCCTCGCCACAATCCATTTTCTTTATGCTTTCATACCAGCATCACTTCAAGGGGCAAGGTTGTTTATCTGAGCGGATGATGATTTATTTTTAAATGAAACTTCCTGTAATAGGTTCACAGGCTCCTGCTGGATGAATCCTTTTGGTTCCCGGAGAGAGAAACCTTCCTGTTCTCGGTATTTAATCTGTGTGCAGAACATCGTATATCAGCAACCTGCGCCTGGTCGAGCGCCTACTATTAATTATACAAATGATTTCAAAATATTTACAGGAAAAAGATGGTTCAAAAGAGCAGGGAGGAATGTGTAGGGAAACACTTTACAATTTATCAAGTAACAGCGGAGTGGAAGAACTTCCTTTAACAGGTAGAAACCTTGAGCAGGACCAGAACCTGCAGCCCACCTGCGGTTAATCAGACTTAAACAAACCAAACAATTTTGACCCAGTGTTTAACCCACTTTGGTTATTAACCTTGTTGGCTTGCATGTACTTTTTATCAGATTTCTGACAGTTAAACTTGAGCCTGTTCCCTGCATATTGCATAGGCTGCTCTTGCTTGCAAAGACTTTGCAATCTTTGAAAGTGAAATGCATATTTTCGTTTCTCTTCTTAAGGCATCCTGGAAAGATTTGTTGCAGGAAAAGACAACACATGAATGCATATGCAAGTGAATTTGAAGCAGGCTTCTCTAGACTGGATTTATTAAACCCTAACCCTGATGAAATCAAACAAAAACAGCATTTATCAATATATAAGCTAAAGTCCTCCAAATCTAGGGTGACCATATTCCGACTTCCCAAAAAGACTACATGACTATGGGGGCAGAGTCGCAGAGTCACGGAGTCGCACAAAGTTAATTTTGAGAGTTTTTCAGGTCGGATCGAGTGTCTTTTAACTCAGAAAGTCCATGTGACACAAACTTGAAACTTACATACAAAACCGTGGACATTTGAAGGATTGAAAAACTTCCCCGGACAAAGCCGAACAGCCCCCCAAAAAGAGGACATGTCTGGGTAAAAAAGGACGTATGGTCACCCTATCCAAATCTTAAAGCAGTCAGTGCCTGTACAAGTCCCTGCTCAGTTGTGACGCCTTGACTCCAAGCTCTGGTCTTGGGTCCAACAACATAGCTGTCAATGCTAACGCTGTGCTGCTAACTTTCATAACTTGATGTATTTGGTGACTCATGAGGAAATCAGAGTTTGAGAGAAGTAACTCGGTCAGCGTCAGCCGAGTGCTTTTCATTTGTACTTCTCAAGAACCGAGCTTTGCTCGCTATTGAGCAAAATTCTTCTACCCTTGATTTCATCACAAGGAAAAGTTATAAACCTTAACCTTCTCTGCTCTTGAGTAAACGTTGGTCAATTAAAGGTGCACTCCGGCAATTTAGTGCTGCGCTTCCTCTCACAAAAGATGGATTAAAAGGGAACCGTCAGAATTGAAGATATTTGGACTCTTGCTCTGTATTGAAGCTTCAAAAACAATCGATCCTACACTTAATGCAACCAAACGTCACCTTTCATTAAAACCTCCTCTCTCTGTCTCGGCGATAACCACGGCAACATCATCAAACTTTAAAAGCTTCCCTAAAGTCACAGAGATGTTACAGAGTCACTTTCACAGGCTGACGGATTCACTTTGTAATGAGTACAAATAATCAAATGCTTTAAAACAACTTTTAAAATCGACTTGTAGTGGTTACATGTCTTTGAGAAGAGAATGCCTCTGGATTCATCAATCAATTAATCAATACTTATTTATATAGCATCAATTCACACCCTCTATGTACAAAGACCAAGTGTGACGATTGGATCAGATTGAGCTCCGTCTGAGTACACATAAGTGAAATCAAATAAGTGAAACACTTTACAGCATTTATGAAGTTACAGAAGAAAATAAGAACTTCCTTTAACAGGCAGAAACCTCAAACAGAACCAGACTGACGTTAGACAGTCATCTGCTGAGACTGAGAGAGGGGAGAGATGGACATCTGCAGCAGCAAATCCATTGTAGTACACATCATCTCCTGTACTTGGTGCAGTTTTTACAGAGGTGTGTTTGACACTGCAGCTCAAACGGTTGTTTTCACAGCACATTCTGGCTAAAACAAACTTTAAATGTTGTGAAATCACGGCTCGGGGTTCATTAATTGTGAGTACAGGGTCAAGCGTGCGGTGTCGCGTGAGCTCAAGAGGTGTGCAATCAAAACAGATAAATGAGCATTGTGGAAGAGCAGCCACTCGAAACCTCACTATGTCAACAAGTTGAGCTACACGGATCATTGTAATCACCGTTCTGTTCTCTCTATACAAACACCTAGAAGCTGCAGATCGATGGCATCGTAGCCCATTAACACTTAATATCCTTGTCAATTGTTCACGCCAGCAATAATGGCTTCTATTCAGCAGAGAGGAGGCAGATGGCGATGTCTTGATAACATGTTTGCGGAGTCTTTAGAAGCTGCTCTCCTGCCTGTTCATCCAAAGACACACGCAGATCCGTGAATCTCTGTTTGACAAATCCAATAAAGAGGAAGGTAGAAATGCTGAAAGCCTGTTTTATGAAACTCAGATTAAAATTCAGAAACTTTATGAGATTATTTAAGTTGTGTGCAGAGCGCTGATAATACGCTGAACTGGAGATGTCAGCTAAAAGCCCAAACAACATTATTCCATGATTCACTGAGTGTGTGGAGGAACCAAACCAACATCTATTGATTATAATAATAGATTATAACATTGTGAAACATTGTTCATTAGTGTTATTCAAAAGGATAAAGCAGACAGTGAGCCTAAAAAGGCTTCAAATATGTGAAAGCCTCATCTTTGTGGTGCTGGAGTGTATCCAGGGCCACTACCATCACTGTGCCGGTTTACTCATTTGTTCAACCAACTAAGTAGAGACCACTCTAGGGGGAACATGAAAACATCCAAATGGCTTCGTCAGCATGCTGGCAAATGATCATTACACAAAACATCTCAGCAAGGCAAACAAACATGTTGCTTTAATGATTTCCCATAGAGCCATTTATGTATTTTTAAAAGAGCCGGAGTCACACACGACCTGTTTCATCTGCTATTGACTAAGAGCGGTAATGTGCTCAAGTGGAAATGGTCACAACGTCCATTTTTTTCTCGTTTGTTTTTTACTTCAGTGAACTCATCAATACAACATCCAGTCCGTGACTTGTTCACATTCTGTTTTTCCACTTTTGTTTACATGGAGTCTTAATTATGGGACTGAGTGGCTGCAGCTTTCAGTACTCATCGCAATTTGAGGCGTCGTGAGCACATTCTGTGAGCGATTATTATCACTGGGAATGTCAAAACAGGTCACAAAACAGCCTTTTTAATTCCGTGAATTCAAAGTAAATTTGCATCTAAACTCTGATGTTTTCTTGGAAAACTGACCTGGTAAATCCATCCTGAACCCCCTCCACTCCACCTACCTGTGGCATTCTAGAACCCTTTGAAGAAGCGTTCCAGTACCCTTTGAGGGAGCATTCTAGAACCCTTTGAGGCAGCATTTTGGAATCCTTTGAAGGAGTGTTCTAGAACACTTTGAAGGAGCATTCCGGAACACTTTGAGGAAGAATTCTGGAATCCTTTAAAGGAGCGTTCTAGTAACCTTTGAGGGAGCATTCTAGAATCTTCTGAAGGAGCATTCTGGAACCCTTTAAAGAAGCATTTTAGAACCCTTTGAGGGAGCATTCCGGAACACTTTGAGGAGAATTCTGGAATCCTTTGAAGCAGCATTTTAGAACCCTTTGAGGGAGCATTCTAGAACCCTTTAAAGAAGCATTCTAGAAGCCTTTGAAGGAGCATTCTGGAACCCTTTGAAGGAGATTTCCTGTCTGGTATTGTCTCGATTCGATCAAATCTCATCTTGATCTCACTGAATTCTCATGTGACTTTTCAAACAAGCCACTCAGCGCCCCCTGTAGTCCCATCTGGGGACTTCTTCAACTCACATTAACCTTGTAATCTGAAACTTTGCTCATGTATAGTCCTATCATCCAACATTTTCACCATAAAATTTGTTTTTAAAGTATAAAAAAGGACACTACCATCTAATCCTAATTGTCTGTTTTATCAGTCAAAAAAAACCCCCTAAAAATATCTTAAAACTGTGTTATTTGGCTCAATGGGAATAATTTTAAATGACCAAAAAAAGACATTATCTTCCTAAACTGAGTGAGTAAATCCCTAACAAAATAAAAGGATGGAAGTCAATGGTTCATTTCAGGTGTTTTCTTGGCTTATAGACCCGCACAGGCGATAAAACATGTTTCTGCAGAGGCACAGGCAATCTGTGATGTCCTGACTGGATTTCTTGGTTATCTCTCTTATTGGATGATATATCAGTGAGTGACAATAGATTGGTGTCATGGAGTGGAGGTCAAGAAACAAATGCAGTGCACCTGATCACAGATTTTTGCAGCTGGTGTCGGGGACACAGATCATCTGGAGTTTACTCAGCCTTCAGTTATGATGTTTTTTTCAGCTAACACTCTCTTCATGATTGTATTTACGGTATAAAAAGATAAATTTCACCTCCTGAAGTCTGTCCTGGAGTTGAAACGTACATGCTTTATTTGGACTTATCACTGCTCGCCTTACTAACATCAAACATCTGAATGAATCCAGCCTGATGCACGCTGTGAACCATTAACTTACGGACCCTGAGGCATAGATCAAGCCAGGGCCCAGAATCCAGCTGAACGAGCTCTATCAGTTAGCAGCCTACTTGTGCACTTGGAGAAAAAATCAATATCCTCTCTTGTTGCTGTAGGTATTTCTCTCTCCTCGGCTAAATCACCCTGTACAGGCTGAACTCTGTGACTTGGTCAAGCTCATGATTTGAAAATAATACGATGTTTCTTCACTCTGTCTTCTTTCTCAGATCTCAAAGGCTTTACTTCTCCGATTCTCCAACCGTTGACCCTTGTTGTAGACCTAACCCTGTGACCTGCTGGGCTCCTGTTTGTCCCCTCCTGTCTGGCTGTGCTGAGCGATGAAGATCCCTCTGTGGTTCCTGGTGGTGCTGCTGGCAAGTCTCTTCACCCCCGGACGCAGTGATTGCCAGGGGGAGTGTGTGGCCTGTGGTCTGCTCTTGCAGCAGCAGCAGCAGCTGCAGCAAGCCTTCAACACCATGGTGAGCATGTCTGCGCGTCTGTTCCAGTCACTGTTGATAAGAGCAACCAATAATGCTTATCACTGGTGTTGTGTGTCAGTGTTGGTACAGCTGCTCCAGGCCTTCATCGCTCTGATAAAAGTGTGTGTGTTTGTGATTCTCCAGGAATGTTTTTCACTCACTGCAGCATTTGACGGTGCTGTGTGCACTTTGGCTGCTTGTTTATATGCAGTTTTTATTTGGATTAAATTACCTCTTAGTTTTTTTTTATCTTGTTGAGGTTAAGGGCCAAATTGAAAAATAGAAAATAGTTTTTTTTGCTGTCTTGTCCACTCATTATGCAAACTTAAATAAGATGGTTTTGTTGTCAAAATCAGAACCAGAGGGGGGCAGACAAGTAATTTAGCAAAACATTTCATCCTTTGGGCCCGATACTATCGCAAAGTGTCAACATTGTTTTCTACCAAAAAGAGTCGGAACCACAATCTGCAAATAGCCAGACGTGCACCCAGATTACAACGAGGGGGGTCAGGTGCAAAGGCGGTGCGTTGCTATCTTTAGACCATAAGTCTAGCACTTTCTCGAGAACTTAAATCTGCATTCCTAAGATGGTAGGATTGAAAACAACGTCACCAACACTACCACCATCTCCCCCAACACTACCACCATCTCCCCCTGGATGACCCTTACACCTCGGCCTGATGTGTCACCGACCTCTCTCCAGGAAACACGCAGAAAAACACACTTATACTATTTTTATAGTCCTAATCACCACCGTATGTGGAGCCTCTAGATATTAATCAAGACTGAACAGTATCCGTTACGCACATGTGATCAAGCGTCTTTTATTTGCTCTGGAAGCAAATGAGGTGTTAGTCATCATTAGTCATCGTTCAGGTGATGATATCAGTGCGTTTTAGAGTCTGAAATGATGGATGTAGTGATAGGAAATTTGGGATGCAGATGAATTTTAACACCAGTATTTTCGAGGCTATAGTGGTCTGCGCATGTTTTCTACGTTTCTCAAACCCCAATGGAAGGACATGCCAGCTTAAGCCTGGTCTATTTGAGCAGAAAGGCTGAAATCTGTTGTGCAAATCACGACACAGCAGCCTGCAGGTGTGCTGATGGATTCATGTTACCTTTGGATAATCAAGGGGCTTATTCCGACCGTTTAGTACCCAGATTGTGAGTCACTTAACAAACACTCTTGAAGATCGTGTTTTAGGATAAAAAGGTTAAATGTTACACTCATGTCGCCTTACCCCCCATTGAGTTATTTTGAAATTGGACTTGGATTATTTGCATAAGTAATTATCTGAAGCACCTGTGCAGAGGTTTTCTAAATTCCAGCCTCTGCTCAGAGAAGATGCCACAGCTCCTCATACTCGAACCCAAACTTCACAGGAGCGCAATTTCATTTCCAAACAGTGAGAGGCTCGACAGCGGGTAAAAATAGTCTGTGGGCGTCCGTGAATAGCTGTAGGATGGCTAATTTAGCTGATAATGATGCAGAGAAAGACAGCTGGGACCTTTTTGGGAGTTGTAATAGAACTCTGTAATTGACTGCTGCTCAGTATCATCAGCCGGGGCTTACATCGGTGACTGACACATTTTATCAGCTCCTCATTGTGTTAGCGGCTTTCCCATTGTGCCACAGATGGAATCCACTGAGCAATTCCATTGTTTCCCGCTCCAGACTGAAAGAGTGTGTGCGGGCTGAAGGTGTATTTTCTTGATGTCAGGATTCACCGATTTATCGGTGCACACACCTGCACTCTTATTCACACCCAGACTTACACATACAGCAGATACTTTATAGCATTATTCCTTCCACTGACTTCACATTGACTGAGTAATATCAATAATAAAGGGAAATGCCAGCTTTTGTTTACATTTGTGCTAATTAACTGAGCTATGATTGAGATTAACATAATCCTGAACAGTCCCTGCGAATGATCCTTCTTCTGTATATATGAAATTAAAGGTTTACTCTCTTTCCTTCTGTAAGGGAGTAAATGGAGCATATATCTGTCAAATTAAAGCACCTGTGAGGAATTTTGTTTCGTGTCAATTTTGCATCAGGATCACTTTCGCCAAACTGATCAATAACTTACATGCATTGGTTCCGTTTGGAGGTCTGGTTCTGTTCTGAGGACTCCCCGCCCTTCTGTTTTATGTCCATGTATGAAAAGCCGAGACAGGGAGAGCAGCAGTCATGGCGGTCAGTGCGTTTACATCGCAGCTTAATTGGACTAGGCTCATAATTCGTTGTTTTTTGGTGAATCAGACTTCTTTCCTACATGCAGCTGAGAAAATCGAATTATTGACGTGAAGGTGTCCTCCTCCCCAAAACTAGGGGGCGATATAGGTCTCTTTGGCGGTGCTGTTACAACCGTCAACAACAAAAGCAAATCCTGCTGGGCATTTTCGAGCAAAAACATGGAGCATCGTACAGCGTTGTTTTTGTCGTACATGATGTACGCGCTACTTCTTCTTCTTCTTCTTCTCTGGTTATTATGTTCCCCGGGTTATGGGGGCGTGGCGCACATGCATTGTCCAATCATACAGCGACTATGTGGGTTACATGGTATGGAAAATCGAATTTCAATCGCATTATCTGGGTGTCTTAATCGGAGTTTTCTGACTGAGGTGTTTACATGCACTTCCGTTGTCCGGTCTTAATCAGAGTGATGCGATAATGCGGTTTTCTCGAGTGTCGTAAACGTACTGACTGAGCTGTCAGCTGATATAGGCTGGAGTGACGATCAGAAGCTGAACTACCACTGCGCTGACTTTTGCACCAACTGTTGTCCATTTAAAGGTTAGCTGGTGCAGAGTCCTCATTCTGGTTTCACTGCAGGACATGATGTGACTGTTTTTAACACTAAAATTAAAGAGGATGACCTGCTGATGTTTCACAGCGATTGCATACATCGATGAGTAAACTGGAAAAATTGCCCAAAAGGTCTTTAGTTTGCGTTCAATCTGAGATTATTCTGTTTTAACCCAAACGCTTAAAATCCTTTGAAGCCACAAAGACTTTAAAACCTTTTATCCTCATGTACATAACACAACTTTGTGCTCTCTCTCTCTCTCGCTCTCTCTCTTTCTCTCTCTCTCTCTCTCTTCCCCACATGTACACCTCCACACACACACACAAACACACACACACACTCATCTGCTCTCACTCATAAACTCCTTTAGATTGCTCCATTGATCTGACGTGGAGAATCCCCTGGTGTGCTCATTTCATTTACGACGGATAATTAATTTCCGTTGATAGATTCGCAGCGGAACTCCCTTTTCTCTCGCTCCTCTGATGTGGGCAGGTTTTCTGATAACAGTGCAATTTATCTCATTTGAGTGGGATTTGACGAGTGAATGGGATTTGCTTTTTACCTCAAACTGAAGCTGAAGGCTCGTGACTGTAAAAAAATAGAGACAGATTCTGTGCGAATGTCTCTACAGCCCGGCAGCTGTAGGTAATTTTCTCATGCGTTTACACTGGCTAAAGGAAAGGTGATGCTCTGGGTTTTTTTTTATACATTCATTCATTTACTTAGTAGTTTTTTGTTGAAGTGATTGCAAAACGAAAAGGTAAAAAGACTTTACATGTACAATATTTAGGCTTAAAAATTGGGGATTCAAATTCTTGCAAAGTGTAAATCCTTTTCTAACTTTAGTCAATTGAATTCTCTACAAAGAAAAGATATTTAATGTTCAAACTCCGTCCATCCTTCTTCAGCCGCTTATCCGCTAGTCGAGCAGCAGCCTCAATAGGGAATCCCAGACTTTCCTCTCTGTCCACCTCATCTGACTCCTCTCAACCTGGAGGAGCAGCAGCTTTACTCTCACCCTCTCTCTAAGGGAGAGCCCACCCACCCTGCAGAGGAAACTCATTTTAGCCACTTGTACTTGGATCTTATTCGTTCAGTTACTACCAACAGCTCATGACCATAGGTGAGGGTAGGAACGTAGATCAAATGGTTTGGACCTTTACAGCGTCCACATCCCTGCTGATGTTTTTGCAGAGATTCACTTAATGTGCAACACGGTCCTAAAAAGTTGGGTGAAGAGTTTTATCATCTGCATAATGAATCATAATGAAGATTTTCACACATTAAATCTAAAAGAGGTGCAGTAATGTCATGTATGGTACACAAAACGAAGGAAAAGGACCCAGAAATGCAGAACTATCATTATTATTATTATTATTATCATTATGATTATTATTATTGGTTGCCATAGACAAAAGTGTTGTAGTGAAGGGGCAGTCGTATATAAGACTTGTCTTCTGTCTGCTCCTTTTAATTTCACATGATTACACATGAAATAAATAAACATAAAATGAAATTAAATTATAACCTTTATTTGACCAGGTTTGTCCCATCGAGATCCAACATCTCTTTCGCAAGAATGGCAGCACATACAGTTTCAATACATAATCACATTAATCATATAGAATACTAGGAATACAGATAATTGAATTTTCAAGATTAGTCAAACATTTGCACTCCTGAAGTCTGGATATGATGGAATTTATCATGGATTGGAAAACATTCAGAGATCCCAGACTTTGGAGTTTCAGGTCTGATTGCAAGACGTTGAAGAAAATCTAAAAGCTTTCTTCCCCATTTACTGTTCTGACCTTAGGAACAGTACAATGATAAAAGTCCTAAGTCCTAACTAAGGATTTATTCCAGCTCAACTTAAATTTAGTCTCAAAATCCAAAAAGACACAAGAAACAAAATCCAAAGAACCAAAAGCGCACTGGAAAAAAAACCACAAGGAGACAACTGGGAACACGAGCATACGCTGACATCGACATACACACACAACGAACCAACCGGGACAGAGGTGAAGACAGGGACTATATATACACACTGGGAAACGAGCAACAGGTGAGGCAGGCGAGACACAGGTGAAACTCGTTAGTGATTAACGAAGGCGGGAAAACTAGGGAACTATAAACACAGGGAATCAACTACTACAAAATAAAACAGGAAATAAACACTGAAAACTGATGTAAAGAATAAAACACAGAGAACAGGAGGGAAACAGGGTCAAAGATAAACTGAAAACTCACAAGAAACACAAAATACACTCAAATAAAACCAGTAGAAACTAAATAAACAGAACTTTCCTGACAGTCAGGCTAATTTATTGGACTGTCAGGAAAAATGAGTTTCGCAGTCGAGAAACTTATAACTGAAGTGTCATTGGGACTGTTATCGAGGTTTGGTCCTGATACATAAGAGATGACAGGAACGTCATTATCACTGACTCAGCACTAAAAAAGTTCATTTCTGTATCAAAAGTTCACTTTGAAAACACCGTTTCTGTCAAAACACACTTCCCTGAAGTTAAAGAGTGAGTCAAAAAAAAAAACATCATTCTGACAGCAAAGGACACACAATAATTGACTCGCTGTCCTTCAGACTAATTTGTAATTTCACCCAATCGTGTGCTGTCAGTCACTCTGCAGAAACAGACGTCAAATATCCTGAATGATGGACACCTTACCGTAACTTTCTATATACACTGATGTAAAGCAGGAACAAGGACACCCAATGGCACAGACAGAGGGAAACTATACAGCAAACGTACGAACACTTTAAAATATCAAGAGAGTCGATTAAGGACCGTTTACTACACTGTTTCCCCTTTACTGAATCATCACTTTGCAAACACAGCTGTGTCTGATTTTCCCAGAGTAATGTGATATGTATGTCAGTAGTGTGTGTAAAGAGAGAGTCATGCTACCAAATATCAATTATTATATGCAAATATTATAAAGTCCTGCATGTATTTTCATGCATTTACAGATTATCCCTCCCTACTTATCGTGAGCTCCTGTCGTTGACACTGCTGCCATGGCTCCTATGTGCTTCTTCCATAGGCCTTTCTGGGAGGCCCGTGGGGATTTAACTCAAATTAATTGCCAGTGTCTTTCATTGTGTTGCCGTAATGAGAGACCAGAATGCTTATCAGCGAAGCTCGAGGGCAGGTTAATCTGCGCGTGAGGTCTGGAATTGCTTCTCAGGTGATAAACTCGATTTAATTCGCCCGTGTGACGAGAAGAAGCGGAATTTTGAGTTGGATGAATTCAAGTTGGGGCGGCACAGTGGGGTAGTGGTTAGCACTTTCGCCTCACAGCAAGAAGGTCCTGGGTTTGAATCAGGGTCAGGGCGTTTTTGTGTGGAGTTTGCATGTTCTCCCTGTGTCTGCGTGGGTTTCCTCCGGGTACCCTGGATTCCTCCGGGTACTCCGGTTTCCTCCGGGTACTCCGCTTTCCTCCCACATTCCAAAAACATGCCTGAGTGGGGTTAGGTTAATTGGCCACTTTCAAATTGCCCGTAGGTGTGAATGTGAGCGTGGATGTGTATGTCTCTTGCGACTTGTCCAGGGTGTCCTCTGCCTTCGCCTGAAGATGCTGGGATAGGCTCCAGCCCCCCTGCGACCCCAGGAATGGGACTAAGCGGTACAAAATGGATGGATGGATGAATTCAAGTTGATGACATTTGCCCGTCTTCTCTCTGCAGGTTTGTTTGCTGGAGTGCGAGGGACACGTCGCCTCTTCGTTCACGTGGAAGTTGTGCAGTCAAGCCGTGAAGCTCTCGCGCCATCCCACGAATTCTGAGGGGGACGCCGTTTTCAAGAGAACAGGAGGGGAACTGGAGCTGACCTCTGTTGACCTGAACTCAGACAGCGAGCTGCTGCAGTCTGCAGTCGCAGAGCGCTTCCAGGAGGGGGCTCAGGATGAGGAGACACCCTTCGAGCAGCGCAGTGTCCAGTATGACTCATCACTGCTGGAGTCCTCCGAGGAGGGGGAGGGCTTGCAGGGTTTGGATCTCACACTGGCCGACGAAGAGAGGAAGCCAAGGGAGGAGAGGCACGCGGGGGGTGACAGCCTCCCAGAAGTGAGCGAGGATGCCGACCCGGAGGCCGTCACCTTATCCAAACGCTTTGGTGGCTTTCAGAGGGGCCGCCATGGATACAGGAAGCTTATTGGCTCACCCATGAGGCCCCTACAAAAGCGCTACGGCGGCTTCATAGGTGTCCGGAAATCTGCCCGCAAATGGAACAATCAGAAACGGGTGAACCAGCTGCTCAGGCAGTACCTGGGCATGAGGAGCAGCCGCAGCGGCAGATTCAACAACCTCCCTGTAACTCGGGTTTGGAGGCAAAACAAACTGTGATGTGTTCAGATCTCACCCATGATTCTGCCCCCGTTACCTCAACCAGTCATGTTTTCAACACCTCACTCCAGTTTTCAGTCACCCTTTTTCATGAGAAGAACAGACTCTGCCATCTTATCTCACCTCTCTTTGTGTCTCTAGGTAACAAGGAATGTTTTTGACCGTAATGTCCGTATCGAGCATATTTACATGACAGTCTGTGAAATAAAAAGATTTAGAGAATTGCAAATGAATATTTTCTGTGTTGGTATAATAAAAAGGGGCAAAATGAGATTGGTAAACTGCTTCATTGCACGTTTTTCCTGCAGAGGTGACACTCGAGAGCTTGACTTAATGCATGTGTGGTGGATGGGCCTGGAGACGTGGCTTCAGCGGGTTTCAGTGAATCCTCGGTTTTGTCTTTTTGCACAAGGACCCGCTTTTAAACGATAATTAAGTGTAAGTGCACTCAGTGTTTGCTTTGAGTAGGATGTAAATATAGTGAATAAGTTTGAGGACGAAAGCCAAAACCTAAATTACTGAAACTTGAATTCTACCTAAGAGAGTTCCTGGACTTTACATTTTAAGTATTTTTAAAGATAATAGTCCTTACCTTTTTATAGAATATGAGCGCTTTTAGGTCCATTTATTTTCTTTTTTTCAGCTGAAATCTCCCTCTATGACTGAGCAGGAGTAGGCTGCTTCTCTTGGCCCCTTGCAGTGGAAGTATACTGCCCTCTAGTGTTTAAGACGGGCACATGACATCCTTGAATGCTTGGTATCACTTTTGCCATGTTAAGTTACTATTGTCCCACTTTAATGCGGTCAAAGTACATTTCAGAAAAAATGATCAAACTTAGAATAGATGGGCTGAATTCATATTTTATAAGAATATTTAAAAAGTAAAAAAAAAAGTGATATTTAAATACTCGACTCCACAGGTTAGGGAGGAGTTTACGCACCTTAGAGAAGTGTCATTGAACTGAAAAAGAGTCAAGTTAAAGGAGGTCCAATCAGCACCGGTCCCAAACAGGTCCATTTTATATATAAATATAAATATATACGAGTTTAGAGCAGAGGTATTTAAACTGTGAATGTCATCTGTGGTCAGTATAACACAGACGGAGATGTTTCTGTTTTAAATACATTTGTGATCTGTTCATGGAGGAGAGTTAGTAACACACTTTATATTAGAGTCTCTGTAACAAGCATTAATTAACAGTTATAACAAGGTAATAAACGTTAATATGTGCTTATATGTGTAAACAAAGCATAATTGATACATTTATTATTGCTTATAAGACACTTAGAGGCTCTTATTACAAACTTGTTATGAATCTGTCATATAGTATTCTTATATGAAGGTGAAGAACTTTATTTATAATGATTATTGATAACATCAATTACATATTACGTAATTAATATGTAATTGTTATTTCATGTTATTAGACCATCTGAAAGGTTCAGATTAATGTAGCTGCTGGTCTTAATAAGACACTATTCCCACTTCAGGATCAAACGCTGCAAATTAACACTGTTACCTGTTAATAAATGTGTAATAAAGGATTATTTTTAGCCTCCAAAAGCATTAATCTGATTCTTTTATAGTCTTATTCATGTAAAATAACATTAAAATTAATTTTGATACGGTTTTATTAAAGTTAAAAAGCATCTTAATGAAATATAAAAGCTGTCCATGAACTTTTATTGGCGTTATATTCACTATAAATGTGTCACAGTAATAATAAATATGTTATCATCTTTAAATAGGTCTTATGAGTATCCTGTTTATGTTTATGAAAGGTATGCAACATGTGAATTTTCTTATAAGAGCCTGAAATGGTCGTATAAGCAATAATAAATGTCTTTTATTAACACATATTAATGTTTAAACACCTCTTATGAGTGTTTTATTAACTATTATCTAATGCCAGGGTCTTATATAAAGTGTGTTTCAGTAAAATCTCTGCATCTCTTCCTTCAGATCCGTTTTAAATGTTTCCTGTTTGGTTTGACGGTGTAAAAATGTCTGATTAGACGTTTGAGGGGGTGAGTGCAGAGAGCGAGTGTGCACGTGCATGAGTGTGTGCTTCAAAAATGGACTTCTGTGAATACGTGTACATTTCAGATCTCATTATTATTCTGCTGTTGTCTTCATAAAAGTGTGTATAGAGAAAAAAGTACAATAAAATAGTTTGCTATTTCTTTTTTTGTGGACTGTCATGCAGAAGAAGAAAACAAAAACAACATTTCAAATTGTCAGTGCCTTTTAATTTTCGTTTGACAATATATCTCCTCTTTTTTTATTGCTATTACAAACTCTTTCATCTAATGCTAGTCCCGTTGCCATGACGCCCTAGCTTCAGGGATTGAACCTTTAACACTGGTTGTATGTCAACACATGGGCAGGAAGAGTATAGAAGTTTGGTTGAGGCGAACCAAATGTAGCTTATTCTCGTGAGTTTATATTTCAACAAAGTGCCAAAAAACATGAAATTTCCTCAAAAATAATCTGCCCGTTCGTTATAAGGGCGGAACATCATGATAAAAAAAGGTATAAAATACTCATACGTAACTCAAAGCACACGATATCAAGTACATCATAACAACTGTGTCACCACTGGAAGAAGAAAGGGTCGGAATAAAGAAAAACAGCAATAGCAGTCTTGAAAGTAAGGGGCTAAAAGGAGCGGTAATATGACCTTTGGATAGTGTAGGAGTACAATAGGCTGAGCACATCACATGGTCAAAGTTCGCACCGTCGACTTCGGTTTTCAGGATCGAGTTACAAAGATACAGAAAACTCTTTTGCATTTTTTTTTCTTTTAGTATAGAAACAAAAAAAAGGTCGAAGTAAAAACACGTGTAGTAAGAGAACAGTTGTTTTTCTTGATGGCACTCGGGCCCTGATTTAGATCCTCTTCGCGATAAAAGTCTCATTCATCCATTCACCCGCCGCACTCTCTCTCTCTTTCTCTCTCTCTCTTTCTCTCTCCTTCTTTCTCGACCGTGTTGCCGTTTAGTCGGGGAAACGCTGGCAGGCCTTTTTCCAGCGGCAGGCGGTGCACCACTGGTCCTTGCGCTCGATTCCGTAGACCTTGCGGCACTTCTTGGCCTCTCCGCGACCTTTCCTGCGGATTATCAAGACCGAAATCACATGCATTAGAAGTGAAACACTCAGAAACAAACTTAAATGTGCACAAAATAAACCTGAGGGAAAATAAACATTAACAAATAAGGAGGATGAGTCCTGTAAACTGACTAAAAATTGTTTTTATCACATGAGAAAGTGAGGAGAATGTTGTCAAAACCAATTCTCTGTTCATCGGTTTTAATAAGGCGGCGATAAAGAGACTCCAGTTTGTCTAAAGACGCCCAAATCTGCTCACATCACCCCCGCCTTATCGCGTCTTCATCGGCTTTTAGCTATTTTCATATTAATTTAAAAATTTTAGTTTGGACTTTCCAGGCGCTGCATAGTCAGGCCCCCCAATATATCACTGATTTGTTGTGCCCCTACTTCTCAGGGCGTATCCTTCGGTCGTCAGGCCAGAACCGACCAAGTTTTGAAGACCGTAGCCTCCAGAGGATGTTTTTAAAAAGCAGTTGAAGACTCTTTTATTTAGACAAGCTTTTAATGAACAGGGTTTTGTTTGTCTCTTTAAATTATCTTTTAAATCCGCACTTATTTCCATATTCACCTGTCCTGTACTCCTATTTGTGTCTCTATATGTACTTATCTTTTCTGTACCATTTTATATTTAAGATAAGAAGAACTTTATTGATCCCTGAAGGAAAATTCAATTGCCTGTTGTCTCACATAATATGTCTCTAAAAGTTATCTAATCTTTATCAATCTCTATCTAATTGCACTTATTTTATGCTCTATAAATCAACTTTACTTACGTACTTCCTAAACACAAGTTAAGCATGTGCAAAAACATGCTTTAGTCGCTCTGAACTGTGTGTCTGTGGGTGAGAGTGTGTCTGCTTGTCTGTGTCTGTATACGCTGCAGCTGGAGTGAACAAGAGTGAAGGTAGGTGATGGCTCACCGGAAGGAGCAGTGGTTACGGGACGGCGACACGCTCAGAGGCTGCAGCTTATTCTGTTGGAGCCACTGTTCCCCGACGCTGACCGACCTGCAGCGAGGTTTCACCATCTGAGGAGACAAAACCAGAGATTAAGAACAGGAAGGGTAAATAATCGGAGGCACAGAGGACGTCCTATCAGAAGCAGAAGACTCACCGGAGTGTTAGTGTGGCTGGCGATGGGGGCAGAAGGCGTCCAAACCTGGCAACCGGGGCTTTTGGAGGCCACAGATACCTGGACGGGGCTGCAGGCCTGAAATGAGCAGGATGAAGGGAAAAATATAAGATTAAAATATGATATTTAAAGGATCCAAATGTGGGAAAATGTTCTTTTTAGTTAAACCTCTACAACTTTAGGACGGCGTTTTTGCTCATATAGTCCGACACGATTAGGCTTGTAGTATCTCTTTAAATAATGGAGAAGGTTTGAGGTCTGCTGCTCTGTTTTCTGTATCTCCAAACTCCTCAAGCTGAGTGGATTTTCTTGTCGACCGTGTTTTCACTTAAGATGAGTTTTCTTCTGATCTCTCTACCACCTCAAACGCCTGTAAGCCTGCCTGCCTCAATCCCTGCAACATGATTGGTCATCCTCTCCTCTAGCCTCTGACACCTTAATTTTTGGAAAGATAATGTTTTAAAAGTTTGGGTGGTGTTATTCCAGGTTTTAATCTATCAAACTTTTAGCATTTCTACAAAGAATTGAAGATTATTTGATGATCAGCTGATAAAGACGATAAAAGGAGGAGCTTTACTTCACTAAAATCGACTGAATTTTGGATTGACAGCTTTTTAGAATAACCTTCTGATAATATTCTCTTAAATAAAAAAAAACAAAAGCAGAGAGAAACAAAACCATTCCTGCTCTGACCTGATACAGATGCTCCGAATGAATCTGCCAGAAGCTGCTGGGAGCCGACTGGCTGAGCGGACTGGGCCGACTCAGACCAGGCCCGGAGCTGGAGTTGGACCTGGGCCTGTAAGCCGGAGAGATCTGGAGCTCCGAGGCGGAGGGGGAACCGCAAGAGGCCCAGCTGAGATGAGAGGAAGGAGCCTGGCTCAGAGTCGGCTGTGGGGGGACCGGAGTGGAGCTGGTGTCCACCGTCTCACAGGAGATCTTGGTGTAGTAGAAGTCCTCCTCTCTCTGGGACTGATCGGACCCGCTGCTGTCAGAGAGAAGATAAAACAGAAACAACAGGGAGTTAAATGGAGCCTCCTCTTTTTTACGCACATGGATCCAGAAGGAAAGCTACGGTGGCCGAGAGCAGCCACTGCTGCAAATAAAAAAGAATGCAAAAAAAAAAAAGAAGTCACAACAGAAGTTACTGATGCAACAAATAAAAGAAACTGAAACCTGCTGTGAATAAAAAAAGCCACAATGGAAGTTGACAACACAAAAAAGTGGCAATGCAAAAAAAAAAAAAAAAAAGATGCAAAAGCTAACATTAAACCGGAATCCTCCAGTTCAACTTCATATTGATTCAGGCGTTACATGGACTAACCACATGACACACTGAAAAGTTTACGAAGCGAAATTAAACAATAACCTTTCCACGAAATTCTTTGCTCGTCTTTTCTTCTGTGCCTACATCGTGAAACACTAGCGCATCATCATTATTGGTCCCCAGCAGCTCACTTCTGTTGTAGGTTTTTTAACTGCATCCTTTTATTTGTTGCAGTAACTTTTTTTTTACATCGCCAACTTTTTTTGGTGTTTTTTTTTTTTTAAATCTGCACCGCTTCTTTTTTATTTGCAGCAGTCTTTGGTTTCTTTTTTTGCATCTGTATCTTCTGTTGTGACTTCTTTTTTTAATTGCAGCAGTGGCGTTCTATTTTTGTCAATTCCTTTTTTTGCGTCGTTAACTTCCGTTGTGGCTTTTTTTATTTAATCTGCACCGTTTCTTTTTTAAAATTTATCTGCACCATTTCTTTTATTATTTTCAGCGGGCTTTGGTTCCTTTTTTTGCATCAGTAACTCCAGTTGTGGTTTCTTTTTTTTTTTTTATCCCCACTGTTTCTTTTTTTATTTGCAGCGGGCTTTGGTTTCTTCTTTTTTGCATCAGTAACTTCCGTTGTGTCTTTTTTCTTTTTTTTGCATTCATTTTTTTTGCAGCAGTCTTGGGTTTCCTTTTTTCTTTGAATCAGTAACTTCTGTTGTGACTTCTTTCTTTTGCATTCTTTTTTATTTGCAGCAGTTCTGTGGCTGTTCTTGGCCACCGTAGAAACTGACAGATAAAACAAATCTGGACCAGTTCTGGATCCCCCACGCACCAGAGTTAATTTCACTCACCCCAGATGCAGCACACGGATGTGTCTTTTAATTCCAACTGAAGACGTTAGCACCTTGCCACAATTGGGCCACAGGCATTTGTAAACACCTCGGAAAGAGCTCTACGAGGGAGAGGAAGAAAACAAGAGAAGGTGAGAAGATAGAAGGAAGGAAGGATGGTGAAAACAGACGAGACAGAAACAGTAACAGCGATTACAGACTTCTGAATTTTTGATATGCACCTTTGGCTTTTTGGCGTTAAGCTCTTCTCCTTGCTCCAGCTCCATGTGGAGGCCTTCATCGGGGCTGCTGTCCATCTCAGTGACAGACGGCGAGGGGGCGGGACTCACATTGCCGTGATCCCAGCTCCAGTAGCCGCTGCTGCCGCTGTCGGACAGCTCGCCGCCACCGCACTCCATGTCTGCTGAGGACGACGAGCCACCTGGGAGTAAAAATCAGCAAAAGGTGAATTCTTGTTTCTTCTCTTTCTCTATATTACACAGAAGTCAAGAATCTGTTTGAGGAGGTAAGAGTGTGTATCAATAAGATGACACAGACCTGTTACAGGATCCGTTTGCTGAGGACTCTGGACCACCGGGCTGCAGGACAGACTGGTCAGAACCATGGCCGCCATGATCTCATCCATCTCCACTGAATCTGGACTGCGGAAGCTGTACATAAGAAGACTAAATTCACTCAGACTGTTGAGTTTTCTGGCCCGTACTCCACATGTAACTCACAGTTATCCCTCCTCTTACCTGTATGGTGCCTCTCCTGTAGCTGCCGTGTTGCTGATGTGTGCTGGAGGTCTCATAGCAGCTTTGAAGGGGTTGCTCCAGCCTTGCTCGATCTCCCTTTGCATCAGAGGGACTGAGGTCTTGTTCTTGGGAAGCTCGTTCTCATGGAAGGCTTTTTCAGGCTGGGTACAAAACAAATTTGTCACTCCAGCTGCAGCGTATACAACATTTGCACAGAGGTCACAAAAACTAGTCAAAGTAGTTGAATGAATAGATGAAGACACCTGCCCGATGCACGGGGAAAAGAAGTCCCTCACCAGATTCTGCTGACAGTCAGGCCCGCTGCTGCTGCTGCTGTGCGGTGTTGTCGAGACATGAGCCTGTAGCACCGGTGAGCACACTGCTGTCCCATCTGCCTCTGCTCCACCTCTGTCATTAGGTCCCATAGCTGCCATGGTGCTGCTGCACACAGTAAGGGGACCCAACACAGTGTCACACCTCCCTGCAGACAAGACACAGTGGACGACATGAAAATGATGCAGCAGATTTGCACAAAGCATCTACTTAATTAACATAGACAAACATGGTGCAGTATTATTAAACTAGGGCTGGGCGATAAAACGGTAACATATATATCGAAAATTTATTTCCCTCTTCCATGTTTTGATAAACTATACGAATAGCCAATGAAAAAGGGAGTTGCTCCAGTCTGCTTAGCGCTAAACCAATCATGTGCTGAATTAGAACCAAGTAGCAAACAACTGCGTCGTAGCAAACAGCAGCTACAAGCAAACGTAGCACTTTAGCATGTGAAGCCAACAGCAAAGAAAATGAGCGCTACCCCCGACAGAAATGCAAATGAAGGCTCAACAGATGACGACATGGTCGACAACACTGGTATGAAAACTTTGGTGGTGTGGAGGTATTTTAGTTTTTCGAGATCGGACATGAAGCAGAGTAATGTGCACTGCAAATTATGTCGAGTACATGTTCTCACAAAGTCGGGGAATACCTCAAATCTTTTTCACCACCTGAAGCAGCGTAACACGGCAAAGGTTACAAACCCCAAGCGGAGCAAGGAGCCCACGGCGCCTGTACAGTCAAAACAGCCGACCATTCCGATTTCTCTAGGGCAACGCCTTACGACAAAACGTCAAAGAGCAAACCTGCAACGTCATCGCAGGCATGTGCACGCAGCCATGGGGCAGAAAGCGGGACATTTCTTATTTGTTTACTAGCGGAGTCAACGGAGAAAGAAAATAACAAGGAGCCGTTGTGTTGCATGAATCGGCAAAACAAACAATTGGCAAACATTACGACCCTGCTCCTGACATTAGAAACATCTAAAATAACGTCACAACCTGGTCTATTGCAAAAGACATGCTAACAATAAGCACTCTTAAATTTCATATTTTTATGGTGATATATATCAATATCTTCTGATATGAAAAAATATATATTGTGATAAACTTTTCCCCATATTTCCCAGTCCTATATTTATCTATGCACATCTACACTACATGTTCAGACACTCATACATTCATCCCATCTTGCTTTTTTTCCCCTCAGTGCAGAGCCATGAGGTCAAATGACTCGAAATTACAGCCGATATCTGATCGGATCACAATCTTCGGATCGGATCGGGCCGAACTCTCACTGTACTTTGGTCGTCTGATGAGTACGTGACAGAAAACGCGTTTCCCCAACATAATCTGACGTTTCGTTGCATTAACTGTGGGCCCGTCTACCAAACAGATAAAATGGGGGCAATGGTGCGTTCAGGGCCCGTCGGAAAAACAGTGATGGAAGACTAAAAGGTCCGAAAGCGAACTGAATATTCTGAATCAAGCATCAGTTTATTCATTTGAGATTTTGAAATTATATTTCTAATATTAAAAACTTATAAAGACGCAAATTAAACGACAAAATCTCATTTGATGCGATTTGTTCCCATGCAGGGTCCTTTACTACTGGATGAATACACTACAGATCAACCGATCACTGATTTTTAATTGTATTATTTCACATAACAGGAGTTTATAGTCATATATATCGTAAAGAAGTAAGCAATGCAGCACTTAAACGAGAGAAATCCCCACTCTCCCCATTCTTTCCCGTTTACCCGAATCCAGCATAAAGCCCGATTTTCCCCACCCTTTCCACCAATCAGCGTGCAGCTTCAGTAGTAAACAAGTGCCAAAGAGTGGGCGGGGATCGGCCTCTGATTGGCTAAGCTCTGATTTTTCAGGTACACACCCCCACTAGGACAACGTGTTCAGGCACGAGTTTCACCGGGAGGGACAGAGCTGGAGGAGAAAATACTGCAGAAAAAAACCCGTATTTTTAACTAAAAATTCAACTTAAACGTGGAGAATCAAACGTATAAATGTAATGCACCGATTAATTAATAATATATGTTGTATTGCATAACATTGGTCATAAGAAGGCGAGTATTATCATCATAATAACAATGTCTTCTCGGTGCTGCAGGCCTAGTTTAGGTCGATGCAAACTCGTGTTAATATTTTTACATAAAAAGGAACCTAATCGTCTTAAAATCATGCATAAAAATACAGATTACAGCTGATTTTATGTAGTTTTAACACGACGATGGATCATATAAAGAAGCAGAAACACTTCATCTAACATTTCGGGTTGTTTATAATGTTGGTTTTGCTGTATTTTAGGGGAAAATAACCGTCTGTCACCCCTCAGCTCCAACATCACAGATCTCAAACCGGCAACGCAGATTGGGAACAGGAGAAACACCCCCTTCCTCCCTCCCTCCCTCCTTCCCTCCCTCCCTCTCTCTGCAGGGAAACAAAACCTTACTTTCCTCGCTACAACAACAAAAAAACACGATCGATTAAGAAAAAAAACGACGTATTTCCTCAAACTTACTCGATAGTGGAGACTTCGGTCCCTTTCGTCCCCCTCAGGAGCTGCTGCAGCGACGGGTCGTCAGTGTCTGGCTGTCCCGCCGCTTGCCGGCTCTTCAGTCTGCCGGGGAAAGAGGGGGTTGGTCGGTCTGATACGCGCCTACGTGTGTCTGCTTGGTGAGCCAATGCAGGCGGTGACAGCTGGACAGAGCGCAGAGATATCAACCTGCAGCACGCCGTGCACAAAAGGATGATGTAGGTGAGGGGTTACCAGAGCAGCAGCAGCAGTAGCAGCATACTCACTATCTGTCTGCATACAGTCACATTTACGGTGGCCGAGAACAGCCACTGCTGCAAATAAAAAATAAAAATAAAAATGCAGAAAAGAGGAAATGACACTGCTGCAAATTTATAAAAAGGGGGGGGGAAAAGACTGCCACTGCTGCAAATAAAAAATTGCAAAAAAAAAAATTAAAAAATGGTGCAGATAAAAATTAAATAATAAAAAAACACAATGGAAGTTTATGATGCAAAAAAAGTGTGGATGCAAAAAATATATAAAGCCGTTGCTGCAAATAAAAAAGAATGCAAAAAAAAAAGAAACCACAACGTAAGTTACTGATGCAAAAAAGTGGCGAGGCATAAAAAAAAAAACTGAAGCCCACTGCTAATAATATACTAAATAATGGTGCAAATAAAAATAAAAAAATAAAATAAATTTAATTAAAAAAATAAAAAAGAATGCAAAAAAAGAAACCGAAGCCTGCTGCAAATTTTTTTTTTAAAAATGGTGCAGATAAAAATTAGATTAAAAAAAAAATACGGAAATTAATGGCACAAAAAAAGTGGTGATGCAAAAATAAAACTTAAATAAAAGGATGCAAATAAAAAAAGCCACAACGGAAGTGAGCTGCCATGGACCAATAATGATGATGCACCGGTGTTTTACGATCTGGCCACAGAAGACGACGGCGAGAAGACGCGCAAAGAAGTAAGTGGAAAGGTTATTGTTTAATTTCGCTTCGTAAACTTTTTAATGTGTCATTTGGTTACACCATGTAGCGTCTGAGTCGATATGAAGTTGAACTGAAGGATGCTGTAGTAATGTTAGCTTCAGTTCAACTACAAAATAAAGTTTAATTGATTGATTGATTTAAATTGACATTTTATTTTGAATTTATGCTGATGAATAATCCCAGTTCTGCAGGAGTGACCAGATTGGTCAACATTCCTCCTCCAGTCAAAAGTGAAAAACTCAAACTAATTCAGCTGTGCTCACCCCGGCATACTGGTGCATATTAACCCCCAGAATTGCACGGTAAATTTCCTGCATAGACACCAAACAAGACTAGTGTTTTCAGCATGTATGTGTGTGTGTATGTGTGTGATTGTGTGTGTGTTACAGGCCTTGTGTCCGTGAGTGTGTGATTGTGTGTGTTTGAGAGACCGGATTAGTGTCGGCTGTCTGCACCCTCTCTACCAGACATCCAGTCAGCAGGGATTTTAGGGTCTGAGCACCAACACAGTAAGAGAGAGAGAGAGAGAGAGAGAGAGAGAGAGAGAGAGACAGAGGGATATACAGAGAGGGGGAGAGGCAGAAACTCAATCCTAGTCCCAATCTGATTCCAGACTACCAGACGAAATTCCTCCTCTTCCTGTTTCATTCATTAATGACAGCTTGTAAGCTTTACAGGCCTCCTGGCAGCTCCTCCGACTGGTTAGACAGAGATTTACACAATGACCAGACAATGAATTTGACAAAGAAAGTGTTACGAACCTCGATACAGCACCGTCGATAAATCAAACAGTCATCTAGTCTTTAAGTATACAGCACCAATTCACAACAAATGTCAGCTACGAAAGAAAAAGTCTAGACCATCTTTGATTTGTTACGTGCAAAGATTCAACATCAAGATAGGATATGACCGAGTCTCATCAAGATCAGATTTACACTTAATCTGCCGTGAGCGAAACAGAATTTAACAAGTTACAGCGGCAAGTAAATAGAAAGTCATCTGCACTGTTCTGGGTCAGGATAAATCTTAAAGGCGTGATTCTAGTTAAGTTATGTGATTGGTTCTCTCGATGGGTATAGTTAAGTATCGTCTGCATAACGGCGAACATTCATGGAGTGTTTCCTTGTGATATTACATTTAACAAGTTACAGCGGCAGGTACAAACAGGCAGAAACCTTGAGCAGAACCAGACCCACGTTAGAAAGTCATCTGCACCATTCTGGGTCAGGATGAGTCTTAAAAGTGGGGTTCTAGTTTAGTTATCTTATTGGATTTCTCGTTGAGTATAGTTAAGTATCGTCTGCATAAACAGTGAACATTTATGGAGTGTTTCCTTGTGATATTACATTTAACAAGTTTCGGTGGCAAGTGCAAACAGGCAGAAACCCTGAGCAGAACCAGACCAACATTAGAGATTCATCTGCACCATTCTGGATATGGATAAGTCTTAAAGCTGTGCTTCTAGTTTAGTTATCTGGTTGGTTTTCTTGATGGGTATAGTTAAGAATCATCTGCATAACAGTGAACGTTTATGGAGTGTTTCCCTCATTTATCAAGTGAAAAGTACGGGTCCAAGCATTGAACCTTGTGGAGCTCCGTAGCTGACCCTGTTGTGCACGAGGACTGATTGCTTAAATCCACAAGCTAAGATCATTTTGGTGAATTAAACGAAGGTTCAGTTTTGTCGTATTTGAGAACAAGTTTGAAGAGTTATTTTGCAGTAGACTCAGAATCCTCGGTTAAAACATATCTGCTTAAAAACCTGTATAATCTGCCTCATCAGGCCCGTTTGGGTGTGGTCTGATCATGTTCACAGGCTTTGACAAAAACCCACCAGTACTCGATTAGGAGGAGTTGAATTTTATTTTAAAAGTCGCCGCCGAGTGTGGCGTCGGCGCTGACCGTTAAACAGAACTATCATTACAGAAACTTCAAGCCAAGCATATTCTGAGCGTCGTAGACACAGGTCTTAGTATTTCTTAGAAAGGTAGTATCACTGCAGTCAGTGTCATCTCACTGGGGTGTGTTCATTTGTACAGTGAAGTGAATGGCATGACAACTGGCATTACAGGAATGACAACTCCACCCTGCTCGGGGTTTTGTAACCTTTGGTTTTCTCTGAACCGTCAGTAAAACCAGATGCCACTCCCCCCCCACCATCACATCAAAGTCGACCTGGACCATGAGATGGGGGTTGCTTGAGAACGGCCTTTATTTTCAGGACAAACATACCCAAGAGATTCATGATTGTCAAAGGTTGTCATACCACTTCAGGCTTTATCTGCAGCTGGCCGGACCAGTCGCCGTTTAACCACAAACTGAGAAACACTGGAACAAAAAAGAAATACAATAAAAGAGGCAAAACAAACAGAAAATTCATCCCTTCATCAAAACGGAAAGTGCACCGAAAGATAGAAAAGTAAAATCATGTCGCAATTTCTGCTTCAACCTGAATAAAATAAAACTTCCACCGTCTTAGAAAGTCTAATTTGCATATCCACTGAACCACATAATCTCTAAACTACTCACTTATCCTCAGAGCTAAAGATGTTCTCAGTGATTAGGTCGCAGACTCTTACAAATCAAGCAAATGTTTTTGACGTCATTTGATTTGAGAGGATTAACTATGGCAATAAAAGTTCCCATTTGGCAAACACAACTCTGGAGGAACTAGAGTAAACTGAACACCCGACTGAAAATACATGATGGGGCTGTGACATTTAAACGTTGTTAGTCAATGGAGGGAGTCTACAGATAAATACACCAACCCTTGTTAACAACCCCAAAGTAAATATCCGCCATGAAAAAATCAACATCAGGAAATAGAAACAAATATCTGTTTTCAAGATTTCAAGGTACGCCGAGTCAAACGCTTAAATTAACCTGGAAGTATAATCGGTTTAGTTTAGTGACACAAACTCCCGGAAAAGACAAAAGAACATCGTCAATTAGTCAAAATGAAGTTGTCAGTGTGAAGATAGAAGGTTCTTAAGTCCTCGGGATCCACGTTGAGATGACTTTCAGGGATTCTTCCTTTAAGTTTGGTTTCAGTAAAGCCTGCCGTCACGAAGGCTGGGGCGTGGACGGTCCAGCTCCAGCTAGCAGAGGACAAGGCCAAACTGTCCCTCCTACCTCTGTGTCCGTCCATCTGTCCATTTGGAGCTGAGTCAAATGTGGAAAAGTGGGGGGGGGTTCTGCGCAACGGTATGTTGAGAGTGATTTGTCCGCTTTTCTTCCTCGAGGTTTGGAGAATCTGAAACTTGTGTTTTGTGTTCAGGACTTGGATGGGATGGTTAGTTTTGCGCAGCTTGCGCTTGTGCGTTTCTCTCCAGCGTGTTCGGAGGCAGCTTGTGATCCCTCCAGTTCGAATAGGCCGGGTCTGAAAATGTCCGATCAGAAAATATGAGTGAAATGCAAAATTTTGGGTTGATTTTTTTTTTTCCCATTTGCAGAGAACTCACCAGCTCCACCGGTCTTTGTATCATCCATCCCATCTGCTCCTTCATTCTGCAGAGAGAAAGAAACAAGAGGTTATGAGGACAACACAGAACGGTCATGAATAAACAGAGAGAGAAAGAGGAGTAGCTTTGAGCTCATACCGTTGTGCCGTTTATGTCGTATGCATTCCCGCTGCCCCTGTCGATGAAAACAACATAGATTGGAGATGTTAGATGTTACAGTTACAGGCCCGGTTCCTAAAAAAGCTCGTCCAGCTCCACTGCACCAGTCTACAGTATGGTGTTTAGAGTTAATCCTTATTTTTGGATTAGACTCGACCGGCTCAGCTGAGTCCAGGCTGAATTTTTCCAATTCTCCTCCTCCAGTCTTTGCAGATTTGACTTACTTAGTGAGTTGTTTTCATTTCACTCTAGATTCGAAACAAAACTTAACTCAGACTGTTTTTCTAACTTGGGACTGGTCATAGATAAACTGTCTATCCATCGCCACGTCCCACTCCTGCTGCATACCTCTAAGTGACAAAGAAGCCGTGGAATGTACAGAAACAGACTGCATAGATAAGACTATTGTGTCACCCCACAGTACCTGTGTGTTACTGTCACCCGTATGTTTGGTGTGACAACACCATGAATGGGCGTACAAACACACGTGCATGTATACATGTGTGGGTATTGATACAATGATCTCATCGGAGTCACCGGATGACCAGAAGCGGCTCACTCAGTCTAAAAAAAATGCACTTCCTTCTCTTCAAACAGGCAACACCCCTCATCAAAAACCACCCGTCGAGTCGAACAAGTCTCTGTTATGCGCAGCTGTAAAGTTATGAATAGCAATTAACGTCTGAAGACTGGATTATGAATTATCATCCAGCCACTCCAAACAGGACGAGACTTGTCGGAACAGGGTGGCAGTTTGGGTCACGATTACTCATACTTTTGGTGATATTACTCATCGTTTAAAGACGCAAAATTCGAGAAGAAGTCGGTAAAAAGTACGTTAGAATGAATGTAACCTGTCTGCTCACCTGTGACACCTGGCACAAAGGGCGACGAGAGTGACGCTGAGGACGAGGAAGACGATAAGAGATATGATGCCCACTTCAGGGGTTGAGGCCCACCCCATTAAATCAACCATCCCTAATGGAGCCATGGTCCAGGGGCTCTGTGAGGGAGACGATAACAAAGAAGGTCAAATCAAAAGTACATGGAAATGAAATGACTGTAATCAAGCTCAAAAGTGTTTTAAAATTACAGACAATCCAATTAAAAAAGAAAAGATATTTTTGTTTTCCATGACTTACATTGTTCCTTCTTGTTGATCTGACAGACATACAACTGCCGTCGCCTGCTGTGGATCTCAGAAGGCATGTGCCTCAGGGAGGGACTCCTGCGCTGGGTGGCCTGTATCTCTGGAGAAGAAGGAGGTGCTAACAACACAAGTCCATAAAAAGCTGATGGCCCTTTTTTTTTTCCATCATTACTAAATTACATCAGCGCCTCAGGGCCTCTACACCTCGCATGATGACTAAGGACTCTGGGAATGTTGAGATATAAACTCAGAGGATGGATTCAGACCCAAAAAATAGACAAATAAATAAAAGAATAATTGAATAAATGAATAAAAATGAGTCAAATCTTTTATAAAATCATTATCAGTAAACAGGTGTTGGTTCATATGTGATCCTGCTCTTGGACAGACATACACAGACTGTAAAGTGCTGGCTATATAACAACAGCTCCCTCTAGCTGCAGGTGGATTTACTGCAGAAACGTGGTGCCTCATTGAAAGCCAAAAGACATTTTGTTCTCAAATCTCTGCACTGCATTACAGTAATCGTGCCGTTCTCTTTAACACCAAAATTCAGTCCTCTACCTCTAAAGAGACGATAATCGACCTTCACACTCTCTGTATTCTGCTCCGTTTCGATCTTGTTGCAGGTTTGTTGGCATTTTTCAAGTGATCCAGTAACCTACTTCTGGATCACTGGTCAGAATTTGGATTGACTGTAAATCATTCTCACACGGGCGGCATTAAAAGAGGGGAGAAAAAAAGGATCATTGTTCTGACCCAGAGAAAGACTCGGAGCGACATAATTGGATTAAAATGCTTAAGATGTGAAGTTTGAGCTCTGGGAACATTTCAGACCGTGATTTAAGATAAACGATGAAAGCAGGAAATCTGATCTGATATTTCTTCTTTCACTTTTCATCATAGCAGACAGATGTGATGTTTATTCCTTAGGTGAATATGAACATCTCCTAAAATGATGCAACTCTTTAAATTCTCATGAAACTGTTTTTACATCATCTCAGCGAGCGTGAATCTGTCACGTGCAGGTAGGTAAACTTCCTCTGCACTCATTGCAGATCAGTGATCAGGATAGTGTGCGTCTAGCTCCACCCAACACCCTCTACCCCCCTTTAGTTTAAAGGCATACTGACACACACACACACACCTCTTTGTTAGTGATAACATCCACACAACCACACAGCACCCACGACCATTTTTCTCTCAACAGCCTCGATACGTCTCGGTAATCTTCTTTGGCTTTTCAGGACGGGCAATCTAATTACACCAAAAATGTTCATTTACTTCCTCTGTGGGATCCATATCAGATTCACTCAATCGCACAAAGAGAAATCAATACTAACTCTTTCACTGCGAGGGGAAGGAAGCGGACAGGAATAATGGACAATTTCAAATGTTTGGAGCATCCTCCTGAAAGCATATTTGCTCAGATTGGACCAACAAATATCTCAATCCTGGGCAAATTGAAAAATCTGTAACCTGACTAATGTCTGTTGCTCTTGTTTCTGTTATTTGTGCGTAAACCTGAAGATGCATTTACGGAGTTGCATCTATCAGCTGTGGAGCGAAAGGTTAAGACACAATGAGGGAGGAAAACAACGTGAAAAACCAGAGTTTCTGGTGGCGCCTGAATTTGATTGGAGGCTGAGCTCAACTCAAACAGTTACACTATCACACAGGTGCCGGCTGAATGTGTCAGCTGCACATTCCCAACAGTAGAAGCGTGCACAAATGACCCAGCTGACAGATTAGCATACGTGAAGAAGAGAAGAAGTGGCTTCAAAGTTGCATCAAGCATATAACCCCCTGTTTAAATGCACTTACACAGCATATTTACTTAAATTACTGTGATTCTGCAGAATTAAAATATGCATGCATCAGCATATTTTTACATGGAATTCAGCAAAAATATATAAAAACAGCTTCTTGGGTTGGATATGAGCAAAAAAGCGCCTATTTTAAAAGTCATCCTGCAGGATTTTACTTGTCTTCTTTATTTTCTAGATTATTTACTTCATCATATTTGAAGACTAAAGGTCCCGGATTTACTCTCTTACAACTCTGCTCCTGGTCTCAGACGTCTCTGTGGTGAACTGGAATGTCAAAGCTTGAGAAGCAGGTTTGCACAAAAGGAAAAATCTTAAACACACACTCGCTTTATTACTGTAAGGAAATAAGAGCTTTAAAATGCTCTCTGCAAACACGACACTGACTTACATTTAGTCACCCGGGACTCTTCGTTAGCACCCAATGCACCCTGGACTTTTAGTTCCAGGGACTGTGCATGGAAAATTAATGTGTGTGAGTGTCTGTGCAACCAACAGTTTCTATGTAAATCAGCAACCTGTTATTTTGATGTAATTTACATCATTAGGCCCCGCCTCCCAAAGTCCCAAAAACTAAAGAACTAATGCTGCGTTCCAGTTACCTCATAACCCCCAATTTCTACCACGTCCGAAAAGGCCATATCCGCCGATCGTAACCATTCAAGTTAATTTGTCTATTTCCACCGACTTCTTTCCGTTCCACTGCGGATTGTTGGACTCTGCAGCTGATCGCAAGAGTTCTATTTTTTCTGGACACCAGAGCATGCCAGATAAATTCAGCACAGATTAACCTGTGCTGGAAAGGAAGTCGGACACAGACACAAAATAAAACATCCGGCTTCTTTTCAAAATAAAACACTTGGATCGTATTTCACACCATGCAAACAGGCGGAGACGAACAAGTGAAAGGTTTTTAGACATCATTTCACCCTGATGACACCATGGATGAGGAGATGCTGATTCTAGAAGTAGATTTCCTCCTCTGGAAGGACACAATCTACTGCTTATACGGTTAGCCTATGTAGCTAGAGACAACTCGTTCTTGTGAGTTCTTGCGATTCCTGCTGTCCGTAATCCGCCACGATATTCATCTCACAAACAGGTCTGAGAGGAAGTGGCATACAGCGAAAATTGCTGTCATACAGGATCTGAGCCATTCCAGATGCTGTGGAAATCCCGGGTAAGTCAGACCCAAGTTCCCAGTGTTTCATTTACCAAGTCTATGAAATGTTTGCGCTATAAGGCAAGCGCTAAAATATCTTTCATGTTTGTAGCCATCTTGTTTCCACCTCCGATTTTGCTTTTTTCCGACTTGGTAACTGAAACGCTGGGAACTCGGGTATGACATTATTTACAGCTACGATATCTGACTTCCGAGGTAACTGAACGCAGCATAAATTCAGACCCTAGTTCCCACAGAGTTCCTCTAAACTTCCTGCACCTATAGTTAGTTTACTTTAAATCCACTCAGCTGGTCTGTAAGAATATAAGACAACCGACACAAAAAAACTCTTATACAGTTTAATGTTAAAGTAATCATCATTTAAGTGCTCCTGATTTTTACATTAACATGTTTTATAATGATTACCCAATCCCCGAACCCTCTCCCTGTCTTTTACACACTTGAAAACTCGTCACTTGTCTCTCTCTTGCAGTTTCTTGTTCATGTGCTTCATTGTGATGAAGGCGGTCAGGATGCAGCACAGAAACAGGGCGAGGATAGACACACAAGCCAACCACAGCTGCCTCTCTCCGAACACCTCCACCACTCCGTCTCTCCGCCTGGCGTAGTCCTGGAACAGAGCCTCGAGCTGGAACACGGTGCACAGCGACAGGAACAGATGGAAGATCTGGTGACCCTGACCCACAAAGTCACAGCGGCCCGGGAAGAATCGCTCAGGGATGGGACAGGAGAAAAAGAGAGCTGACAGCAGGAAAGAGGCGATCTGAAGGGCGTGGAAGGGCAGCGAGGGCTCCTGCGTCCAGGAGGCGGTGACCAGGCGGTGGACGACGGGGCTGATGTCCAGCAGATACGCCAGGGCGGTAGGAATCACCTGACAGATTTTACGTCCTAAAGGATAAGGCCGCCTGTACCTGTACTTAGCAAAACAGCAGCCCGCACAGGAGAACCACCCGAAGAACAGCGCTCCAGGGAGGAATAACGCTCCGACGAAGCTGTCTCTCCACGCCGACTCTGACGTGTAGAAATAATGACCTAGCGAGCAGCCATACTGATAAACGGCCACACCCACATAGTCCAAAAAGAAGAAAAGATAGTGTGCATGTTCGGAGTGAGACTGCAGAAGATGAGCTGCCACGCTGAAGAACAGATAAGTGAAGGAAGACGCCAGAAAGACACTGAGCGGTAGAGAGGCTGCGTCGAAGGAGTACCCCAGGGATCCTACGTTGGCCCACCAGCGGATCAGCAGAACAGGAGCTGCCAACAAGTGAGTCCAAACGTTCAGGGATTCATTGTGTCTCTGGAAGAGGCTGAGGAAGTAGCAGCGCCAGTCCTGGTGGACCGGACGGTATCCTGACAGAATGTAGGGCTCTCTGAAGAGGCCGGGGACCTGAGAGGCCGCGACGGTCGGGCTGGGCGATGGAAGGGAGGACGGTAGAAAGCCGGAAAGGCGGGGCAGGCGGCAGCTGTGTTTGATGCTCAGGGTCAAAGTACTGAGCTGCTGCAGGATGTCACCCAACATATCAAACAGAGGGAGGAGGACTGCAAGAGACAAAAAGAGACATCAATCTGTGTGGTTATAGTTCTAGGAGAACTGAGAGAGTGAAATACTTCAACTAAGGTCTTTCACCTGCAGACACTTAAAGGGATATTCTGGTGTAAAATTAATTTAGGGTCAAACACACCGTAACACAGAGTTAGACACCCCCTTAAGAGATGAATGTTGCCGACCGCTTGCTTCTCTAGTCATACCAACTTTATTTGACCGCTTATAGAAATACAGAGAGCCACACGCTCAACCAAAACGCCACTCTATAGCCACAAATAATGCTCAGAACAGCACCTAACTTCATCAACAGGACATATAGGGTCACAGACATAGTTCTAGACACCAAACATCTTCATAACTTAACACCATCTCTCTTCCAACAGCCTCTTGTTTGTAACGAGACCTCTGGGCAAGTCCATCGACTGCTGCGGGGTTTCGCAGCTCAAGGAAGAACATTTATGATCATTTCTTCATGGAAATGCAATCAGACCGAGATGCTAAGGCAGAAGAACTACCACGTCTGCAGTGCAAAATGATTAATATGATGATTATGACTTCAAGGAAATGATCATAAATGTTCTTCCTTGAGCTGTGTCACCCCGCTGTAGTCTGTAATGGACTGGCCTGAGGTCTCACTACAAACAAGCAGCTGCTGGAAGAGAGTAGGTGAGTTGTGTTTAGTCTCTTTGCTAAAGAAATGAGTCAAAGTTAAAAAGATGTTTGGTGTCTAGTACTATGGCTGTGACCCTATATGTCCTGTTGATGAAGTTCTGAGCATTATTTGTGGCTATAAAGTGGTGTTTTGGTTGAGCGCATGGCTCTCTGTATTGCTAACTGCGGTCGTTACTAAAGTTGTGAAACTAGAGAAGCAAGCAGTTGGCAACATTCATCTCTCGAGGGTGTGTCTAACTTGGTGTTAGGATGTGATTGACCCTAACTTAATTGTACGCCGGAATATCCCTTTAAGAATCAATCAACATAATAAAACATTAAAACAGTCATAAAGCAGACAAACACACACACAGCAGAAAGGCACGCACTCTAACAACAGCAGACATTCTTTTCCATTTAGTCTTAAGCAGGTATGCTGTCAAACCTGTAGTCAACACCTGTATTCATCCCCTCTCTCTCCCTCTCTCTCTCTCTTTCTCCTCCCTCCTTTTTTTCACACATATATGACACACATAATCTTAAGGCTGTCACCAAGGAAAAAGAGCTCCTGGGAGTCGACACAACAAGAAAGACTGTAGATGAAAACAGCTGCTGGGTGCAGCCTGAATACCTGCACCGAGTAATGAGACTTCAAATGAGAGTTTCAGACCAAGTTTTAGACAAATCTCAGACTTTTAGTGAAGTTATAAACAAATCTGAAACGGTTTTACCCTTAAAAAACGATTTTAAAAAGCTCAAAACACACATCACAGTGCGTTAGGACACACACAGAACAATCGAGCATTAATGTGCAGCCTTGAAATGACTAATCCGTGAGTAAATCAGAAACACACTGTCAGGTTTAGCAGCGTACATGAGTTTCTCACCTGTTCGTGTGATCGCACCTGTAGCTCCTCTGAACTCGAACTCCTCTTGACAACAAAAGAAAAGCTCACCAGGCTACACAGCAGACTTAAGCATGGTGGAAAGTTCACGGATCAAGTTTAAAGTAACATGTTGTTGAGGTAGGTGGATTTCAGAGGCAGCAAGAGAGGATAAAAACACAGCTGACCCGGCGGTCCGAGGAGAGGGAGGTAAAGGGGCGTGGTTAACACGTCTGGACACGCCCCTAGATGCACTTAATAGCGGTCATTGATAACTATTTACAGACTGTAGGTCCACATTGGCTTTTAATTTAATTTTAATTCTTTCCATAGTTATTATTCCAGATTAAAAGTCTTTGAAAGGAATGAAAGAAGGGGTACATTTTTTTGCATTAAAGCATTTTATGTCTAAAAAGTAAGCTGCATCCATCATCCATTATAGCCATTAAACGTGTATAAAACGCAGATAATAAATAAATAAGAATAAAATAAAATAAATAAATTAAAATGATAATAATAATAATAATAAATTAAATAAATAAATAATAACTAGAAAACGTGCATTACTTGCAGAAAATGCGTGTCAAATCAGGCAAATCAAATAAATAAGAAGGACAAAGACATTTATAAACTAATAATAATTATAACAGAATAATACGATGATATCTATTCTAAAAGATACAGGAAGCCAATGCAGAGACTTTAAAATTGGTGTAAAGTGGGCTCTCCTCCATCTCCCCTATTAATAATAATAATAATAAAATGGTACAGTCCAATCAAAAGGCGGGAAATAGAAAGGTGCATTCAGGTGAAACTGTTCAGGTGACTCCCATGAACTGGAAAGTCAATACAAACATAAAAGAGTAAAACATGAACTGGATGTTAAAGCAACAAAACTGGATCGTATTTTTGACTGATAAACCATCCTTTGGTAAAGTGCGCATTGATAAGTTGTGCATATGGTTGGAAATCGAGGCCTGGAGCATGAGCAGTCAGAAGTGTTCGGTGAAGGTAACACTGAAGATCGGAGCATGGAGCTGCTATCGTCTCCCCGTATCTGCAGACACGCCATACTACCTGGTTGATGGACTGGTTTGAAAGCTGTGGCCCGGTTGATTTGGATTTGGCTGTTTTGTCTCTGCATCTTGAACTCTGCTTCTTCAATCTCGCGAAACTTGGACTCCGAAATTTTACCTCATGATCCAGGTGAGCCGTCGTTTTGCATAAACTGTATGTAATAGTCCGTTTCTGTGATACTTCAGAGCAATATCCATATTAAGTACTTTTTCCTTCCACGGGATGATGAATGAGCTTTAAGAGAACAATATATGCGTGACCTCCTGTGATATAGATGCGCCATGTGCAGTAGGCTATCGTTCAGAACATCTCCAAAGATTCGTTCACCAAATCACTGAATCATTTAGCGGGAGAAGCCTGCGACTCCGACCTCCTGAACTGATTCACAGCTGAGAAGTTCAGGATTTAGTCCAATTCATAACTTCTGGGAGATGGGAGTGTTTGGCTGTGTTGCTTTGGCAAACAGGTCTGTAAAAATGAACTTGTTTATAAGTCATGATGTTTAAAGTGTACTGTCCTATGGTATGCTACCAGGTCTGCTCGGTAAATCGGGGTCAGTGAGTGATTTGTTCACTGAAGCTTTAAAAGAATTCACACTGAACATACACTGTTCCCTCGCAAACCGCTGCAATGATAGGACGCTGCAGGTTTAATGCACTACTTGTTACATGCTGTTTCCTATTGTATGCAAGTTGTTGTGGTGGCAATTTAGCAGTGAAAAAAAATGTAGTTTTGTCCGACAAAAATGATTCCAGAGAGTGTCACCAAGTGATTCAGGCGTCGGTGCATGTGGTCCCTCGTTCGCCGACCGCTGGCCTGGCAATGCTGTTTCTCTCTGTAGCTCAACTTAAGTGAGAAACGAACAAATCACTCCAGGAAGTGATTCGGTTCAGTACGTTCACTGAAAAGATTCGGTTCTTTTAAAAGAATCGGTCGCGAATGACACAACACGACCCTGTTGCTCTTGTTTTATTGGCCAAACAGTAACATACATGATATTGAACATGATGTGCAGGATTTTGTTTAATCAGATGTTTGTTTGTTTTTCAGATAGAAGCAGCAGGAAATGAAGTGAACCACAGGATTGGTGAGTAATAATCACTTTTACAGTAGTTACTGTTAAAGTGTGGCTTTGCTTTTTGTAGTTTGTCTGTGGCAAATACTTCATTTGAGTAGACTGAGTCCTCCTAGTATCCAGTGAAGTGTTGTCATCAATGGGGTTCAGTATCTCTGTTTAGTCAGCAGATGGCAGCAAAGTACAGCTAAATAGAATGGATAAAACTATGGCAACGAATGGGGATTTAGTGATCACAGGTCTTTCTTTGTTTTGTTTTTTTTTTTAGTTTTAATATCTAAATACTTCAGAATAGTTTTTATTTGAGATGTAAATTCGAAAATTTGTAGTTTTTTTCAGATTAAGAAATGATAACAATTATTCAAGTATGCCTGAGAGTTGGAAGAGGAAACTAATTGTGGCAATAATTGTATTTTTCATACAAGGTATCACACTGAAAACATCTATATATAACATCTATATAAGGTGTTTAATTGATTTAAAGATCCTTCAAGGACTGTGGACAATTATTTCTCCTTTAAAATGTAGACAAATTAAATTTTAAGAGAGTTAAATACAAACAAAGACGATATGCTGTATCAAAATAACTTCAATAACCATACATTCAAATAATTCACATTCTTGGTGAGATTTTGTTACTAAAGAGAGGACACTAGTGTAACATGGTGATGCACCAGAGACTCCTCATGTGCCCTCTTCTGTCATCAATCGCAGACTTTTAGGAGCAGTACAGATCTGAGTCAGGGCAGGACGCTTCATGCTTTCTTTAAACAACAAAGTTTGTTTGCTTTCCCCGGAGTATTAAACTGTGAAACGCGCTTTATAATCACAACCTAAAAATACAAGACCATATTTGTTGTTATTGTCTCTGGTTTCACCGGCCCCCCCTGGTACGCTCTGTGAACCTCCAGATCTGATACACAGCTCGGGCCAAAGAGGATGCGGCGCCCTGCGATCGTCTGTTTTCATATGAGACAGAGAGAATGAGGAAGAGTGGAGACCCTCTGGTGTTAAATCTCAGCAAAAGTCCAAAGCATTTTTTCGTGCAGACTCTTATTACTCATTTTTTGCCTCAGTTGCTCAAAAATAGGGAACAAATCTCCCCTCTTGCCCCGGAGACTTCATCAGGATGGTTTTAAATGCTTTGCACTGCTCTGGTGCTGCGGTGAATTATTAGTTTGGTGTCCCATCACTGTAAGGTTACCGACTACTGACATAAACAAGAATCCATTTCACTCTCAAACCATTAATTCATCCTTTTTACCCCCAATGTTTATTCAACTACCATCTGTTTAATAATACTGACTGTGATGCCTGCCATGAAATCATGTTGTAAAGATTTATATCAGCGCCTTAACAAAGTTTGGTCGCTGAAAAATGTAGAGCGAACCAGATCGGGGAGGTTGTACCCTCCGCCGAGTCTCTGGACGCTGGGTGAAAAAGGGTCTGGGGGTCCTCAGATGGAGACTGTGGCCACTTAGGGAGAGAGATTTGACTGTAATGGTCTCTAAATCTGTTGATGTCTCCCTCGCTCTCTCAGATGAAGTAATAAAGTTAGCCATGTTGGAGGCCCTCCATGTCTCCCCATAGACCACAATCAAGGCCCGTGCAGTTTTATTGCACTTTTATTTTCATATTGTCCAAGAAATCTGCAGACTCCCACCGGTGCCCAGTGCCATAAATCGTATATTTTGACTGTATTTCTCCCACTCTGCGTTCTTTTATTTATGGGTGAAGGCGATAAAACATGCAGCGCTCACTCTGTGTGTCCACAGCTGTCATCTGTCTTGGACTTTATTGTGATTGTGTGGAAAAAAAGGCAAGTTTCATTTTTTATTTCCCTTCACAAATCTCCTCTCCTGTTAAAAACAGATGCTGATAGAATGAGGGAACACGATGAATGGATATTTTCTTTGTTTACGTCTCCAGACTTTTCTGATGAAGAGTTTTATTCGCTTATAAAACCAACAGGATTCGGCCCTGATTAAGAAAAAGTTCAGGTGGTGATCATTGTTTCATTAGCGGCTGATATTAGGCAACTTATGGCTCGGTTCATCGCCGGCGCTAAAAGCAAAATAATGTTCATCTGATTTATACGTTGTTTTTTACGCCGATGTTTTACTCATTTGGTTTTCTAGTTCTCGAGAAAGCTTCAGTTTTGACAGGTGGCTAATAAAAACTTAACCACGGACCGGGTCACAACATTGAAACACAATGACCTGCACAAACATGAGTTGCATGAGGACATTTTGTACCGTATGTAGCTTCATTTTTGCACGCCAAGGAGGAATTATTAATGAGATTCTGTTCAGATGAAGACATTCAAGCCTGATTTAACCTTTAAATTCTCAGTTTTTATGTGAAATAGATCAAAATAATTTCAACACTTGTACAAAAAAGTCTTCCAGCTTCTATTTTGTCATTTTTTTAAAACTTCATGTCTGTCATGAGGGTCTAGATGATGTTTCAGGAGAGCCGTTTCTCACATTTAGGGTTATATGAGGTCACAAATGATAATAATAATATAAAAAAAATCAGTGTTTTTAAGTCGAGGACATTTACTCTGTGAAAAAATGCGAGGGACATGACCTTAGCGTCCTCAATCGGAGCTACGACTGTCCCTGTTGTGAAGCCGCTCTGGGGGTCAGCAGTTGAAGACAGCAGCCATACAGGGCGGTCACCTTGTGTGAACCTGCCGCACTGTTTGTTCATCCAGTTGGTTGATGCTGGAGGAAAGCCAGCCCGCTGCAGCTTCAGCCAGATTTCCTCTGAATGAAAACGAGGATTTAAAAGTTTTTTTTATAACACGCTGGACCTCATGGAGTGAATCTCAGCACAGAGAAGAGAAAGGATGCAACTTGAAAAGAAGTCGTCAGTTTGATGATTCAAAGATGTGGAAGAAATCGACAAGATTGTCATGAGAGTTGTTTTTCTCGTTTGTGTTCATGTCCGTTGGTCCTGAGAGACGAGGGCGAGTTAGTCGCCGTCTTCTCTTCTGTGTATGTCAGCGTATTATGAGAGGTATTTTCTCATGCTGTCGCTCAGCTCTGCAGCGTCCATCTCTGTAAACAGCTCATAGTCAAATAAACAGTCTTTGTCTGTCCACTGCTTCTCTCATTTCCCATCACTGGAGAGACCTCTGTGTCAGTGAATACTTTGACATACAGCAGGTAAAATTAACTACATAGATGAATTTTATGGGAGATAGTTCTGTGGTTGTGTAGC